CCTGCGCAGTCTTGACCGTTTGTTGCGCCGGGTAGTCCTTTTGTATACGGTACGGACGCCGTTGGACGGACAGCTGTGCGCGTGTACTCTGGGGATCGATACAAGATGGGCAGAGAGTCGAGGGCGGGGCCGTCAGTATGGCTGGGAGTCCCGGTCAGGAGCCTCTTGATGGTGCTGGTACGAGTTTTCTCTGGCTTTCGTGCTGTTAGTTTTTTATGCTCACTGACAAATTGCTTTTTGGCTGGAATAGTTGACGGTGCAGTCGTCCGCATACATCCTGGTATGAACATCTACATATATCCGAATCCGCGTTGCGCGGGAGTGATGGGAGTGCTGACTGAGGCTGTAACTAGCTACTGCATCACTCAAGAGTTATGCCCGCTGTTGGTGGCCATAGATACATTCCCTCGACAGCTGTATTCCTTAACGAAGTGTTAAAGCTCGCCATCGCCCTCACAGCCGCTCTATACGAACTCTCCTTCACAGCACATACATCGACGACAGCCACGTCCCTATTTATCACTCTTTCTTCCAAAGTGTTCTCCGGAGACAGCTGGAAGCTAGCCATACCCGCTATATTCTACACCATTTCAAACTCACTTCAATATGTTGCTATGTCCAATCTGGAAGCCGCGCGTTTCCAGGTTACATATCAGCTGAAGATCATACTAGGCGCGGTATTCGGTGCTGCCGTTCTGCGCAGAAGCTTACCACCAGGGAAATGGGCAGCGCTCTTCCTTCTTTTAGCCGGTGTGGTGATTATGCATATGCAATTCTCCTCCGACCCTTCGGACCCCGATAATCACAAGCATGTAAACCTACGACGCTCCCTCTCAGATCTATCAGACATCATCATTGGGCGGGTTGAAGAAGAAGCTCCGAAGTTGACAAAACGTTCAGCTACATACGAGGGTATCATTGAAGACATGATGCTTGCTCATCCACGATTGAATGGAAATATCGGCGTTCTAGCTACCATTGGCGCCTGCATCACTTCCGCATTCGCCGGAGTATCCTTTGAAAGGGTTCTCAAGGATAGCCATACGTCTACTTCAATCTGGATCCGTAATGTCCAGCTAGCCATTTATTCAATTTTCCCGGCCTTGTTCATTGGAGTCGTCTTCACTGACGGTGAAACGATTGCTAAGGCCGGGTTTTTCCAGGGGTACAACTGGGTTGTTTGGGCGGTGATAGCTTCGCAGGCCATCGGAGGAATTGCAACTTCATTCTGCATGACTTTTGCAGACAGCTCTTTGAGATTTGCGCCTGGAGGAGTCAGCATTGTCCTGAGCACTCTAATCAGTAGCTGGTTCTTTGGCTTCAGCCCATCGGTAAACGTAAGTTTTCATTACTTCCTTCCCCCCTTATTGCCACATTATATCGGTATGCTCACCAAAATATAGTTCATCATCGGCACTGCCATCGTGCTCTCTGCCATTTACATATACCTACCCGGAATGCAATCAGGGAAACCCTCCAGTTCCTCCCGCATTCCTCCAATCCGCGTTCATGCAGCAGAGAAATCCGGAAAACCCTCCAAGATAGAGATCGACGAGACTCTTTCACCCCCAAACGACTTTTCTATCAAACTCCCTACTACTCCTCTCCTAAATGAGAGTGGAATGAGTACCTCTCGACCCAGCTCGCCTAATCGCCACCATTCGCGCGTCCACTCATCGAGAGGATCCTACTTTCCGAAGCAAGGCCGTGATACTTAAATCATGTTTTTCCCCCTGCCCGGTTTTTCCTAGAATTATTATACCATGCATATATGCTGCATATGAACTCTAGTTTCTTAAGCCTATCATGTGTTATGCCCATTTACCGGAGTATTCCCCTCTCCTAGCTTCTTATTTTTAGTTGGCTCATTTAGTTATACGTTGTTCAGGGTTGTTAAACCGTCCTTAGAGACCATGGTACGCAGCGATACTTTCGTTTAACCTAAATAAGGAGAAGAACTCTACCCTTTACATGCTTGCACGTATGACAAGACACCAAATGAAACATCTTCTCCATATATCTCTTCATCGCCCTTCAAAAATGTTTCTTGTTTCCGTCTTTTTGCCCAGCCGGCCACCTGGGCACCTGGGCAGGGCCCGCACCACGTGACCAAAACTTAAAACTAGGCCTCGGACTTTATTTCGACGTCATTTTTCAAACCTCCAAACTTCAACTTTGAAATATTTCATCATGAGACAGCGAGAATCGCAAGTTTCGTCCACTGGTTTAGTGGGAGTGTATGTAATATACTACGCTAACCCTGGCTTGCGCTGATTTTATTCCTGCCTGTTCTTTCTTGACGATACCCCAAAACCGCGGATCCTAATCCACTGTGGTCACAGATACCAACATGGTTAGCAATAGCTCTCAGAGAAATTTCCGCTCTCTCCTGAGCACATTTCGATCTCCAGACCATAAGCCCACACGAAATCCAGAGACAGATACTGAACTAGAAGGAAGCCAAACAAGAAAGACTTATCAGAAGGATTTGTTTCTTCCGAACTATGCAGAGCTCCAGGACCAGTCACAGATACCCAATGCGGGGATTGATATAGTTGACGATGATATACCCTTGGATGCTTTCGGTACGATAGCTATAGAGTAGCAATGCTGAAGTTTCCTGGGAGACGGTATAAGCTAATGATACGTTATTAAACCGTAACAGATAAGGAGCTGCTGTCGCAGCTAGGCTATGATGCAGCCGAACTGGCTGTGCCGATGTATGAGCCAAAAGATATACCCCATACTGAACCTTTTTCAACACCTCTACACCGAGGTCACTCAAGTAAATTCAGCAGCTGTATGCTACATTCTAAAGAAATGATATCAGTTTTCCATACCATTACTAACGACCATAGCAAATACCATTATTACACCCCCATTTCAACGGCTAGCCTCCAGCTCTTCAGGATTTGAATCACCCTTAAGCCCATCCCTCACAACCAAAGAAATTTACCAAGGAAAACTCCATAGAGAAGGCCTTGATGTCCATAAAAGTCCACATTGGCCATCTGCACGGGAAGCCACTCCTCCAGTCAAGTTTTCTCCTTTTCAGAGACCGCCAATTGTCAAATCCCCGGAGATTCAGTTGAAACATGCACAGCCTCTTATACAAGGCATTAGACTTGTATCTACCCGCGAACTCCCGGATCGTTTCCGGGCACTCTTTTCTTTCCATCTCTTCAATGCAATTCAGTCAAAATCCTTCCCGGTAGTATACCACCGTACCGATAATGTCGTTCTATCTGCTCCCACGGGTAGTGGAAAAACAGTAATTATGGAACTAGCTATCTGCAAGCTCGTTTCTGATCTCAAGGACTCCCGTTTCAAGGTCATTTACCTAGCACCTACCAAATCGCTATGCTCCGAACGATCTCGTGACTGGCGAGCAAAGTTTACTCCCCTTGACCTACAATGTGCCGAACTTACTGGAGATACTGATCACTTTCAGATTAGGAATGTCCAACAAGCAAGTATCATTGTTACCACCCCTGAAAAATGGGATAGTATGACTAGGAAATGGAAAGATCACATGAAGCTAATGCAGCTCATCAAACTAGTTTTGATTGACGAAGTCCATATACTCAAAGAAGCCCGCGGAGCTACGTTAGAAGCAGTGGTATCTCGTATGAAATCTGTCAATTCCAATGTTCGCTTCGTGGCTTTAAGTGCTACCGTTCCAAACTCAGAAGATATTGCAACATGGCTAGGGAAAGACCCAACGAACCAACATCTTCCAGCACACAGGGAGCGGTTTGGGGAAGATTTTCGACCCGTTAGGCTCCAGAAATTCGTTTATGGATATCAAGCTAATGGAAATGATTTCGCATTCGATAAAGTTTGTGAAACTAAGTAAGCAAACTGAATCACCATTAATACATCGGACTTTGACTAACAAGCCATAGGCTTCCAGAAATTCTCACTAAACATTCATCTAAGAAACCAATCTTAGTGTTCTGCTGCACGCGGAACTCAGCAATAACAACGTCAAAAAATTTAGCAAAGTTATGGTCCTCTACCAACCCACCTCAGAGGCTTTGGAAAAGTCCTACAAAACCAATCCATGTTCAGAACGCCGATTTGAATGGTAATGCTTTTATCTTATCACTTTCAATATCTATCGAATGCCTGTTAACCAATTATTATAGGTATTGTTCCCACCGGGGTAGCATTTCATCATGCCGGTCTCGATAGCTCTGATAGACATAACATTGAAACGGGGTTTCTGACGGGCCAAATAAACGTAATATGTTGCACTTCAACATTGGCTGTTGGCGTGAATTTGCATGCCACTTGGTGGTCATTAAAAATACAGTGTCATGGCAAGATGGTGGTTGCAAGGAGTATGCTGACTTGGAAATGATGCAAATGCTCGGTAGAGCAGGGCGGCCTCAGTTTGATGATACTGCTGTCGGAGTTATATTAACTCGGAAGGAGAGGGTAGCCCATTACGAAAAACTTGTTTCTGGCTCTGAGCCCCTTGAGAGTTGCTTACATCTCAACTTGATAGATCACCTTAACGCGGAAATAGGCCTCGGTACAGTTACGGATGTCGAATCAGCAATTAGGTGGCTTCGAGGGACTTTCTTTTTCGTCAGGCTACAACGGAATCCTACATGTTACAAGCTAAAGGAGGGTGGTAATAGGGCAGATGAAGATGAGTTGTTACGGAGTATCTGTGAGAAAGATTTAGAACTTCTCCGGGAAAATGGCCTAGTGACTACTGAACCCCCGTTCAAATCCACGGAGCTTGGAGATGCAATGGCTCGGTATTACGTGAAGTTCGAAACGATGAAACTGTTCCTGTCTCTTCCACCAAAGGCAAAAATATCAGAAATAGTGAGTCAGGAGGCCGTCTCTCGGTATGAATTTTCGTAGCTAACAGGTGATTATCAGCTTTCGGTCATTGCGCAAGCAGATGAATTTCGGGACATAAGGTTAAAGCCCGGTGAAAAGTCTCTTTACAAGGAGATAAACAAGGCAAACGGCATCAAATTCCCTATCAAAACTGACATAAATCTCTCGGCTCACAAAATAACGCTCCTCATTCAGTCTGAGTTGGGCGCTGTGGAACTTCCGTCTGGCGACCAATTTCAAAAACATAGATTATCGTTCCAACAGGATAAAAGTCTGGTTTTTTCTCACATTAACCGAATCATCCGCTGTATCATTGATTGCCAACTAGCTCATGGGGATTCGGTAAGCGCAAGGCATGCTCTTGAGCTATCCCGGAGCCTTGGAGCAAAAGCTTGGGACGACTCTGTGCTACAACTGAAACAGATAGATCAAATCGGGATTGTGGCAGTTCGGAAATTTGCAAGTGCTGGAATTACGAATATGGAACAGCTAGAGGCAGCGGAACCAATTCGTATAGAAACTCTGCTATCCAGAAACCCACCGTTTGGGATGAAATTACTTGCTCGAGTAGCCGAATTTCCAAAGCCAAGGGTTTCTTTGAAAGAAGTTGGGAAAGTAAGTGCCCTATTTCAATAGACGTTGTTTATCCAAGTGGTCTAAATACCATAGGATGTTAAACCTGGGAAAACCCCACGACTCAAATTCCGAGCGGATGTTGGATTCGTCAACGAGAAAGTTCCTCTTTATTTCCAAAAGCGGCAGGTTTATCTATGCTTTTTAGCAGAGGTCTCTGATGGACGAATTGTCGATTTTCGACGTTTCCAGTAGGTTATTCAAGGCTGACTTAGTTACCTCCTGGCTGGTAGAACTGACATTTCAAAAGTGCCAGTAAACTACAAAAAGGGCAGCAAATAGTTCTCACAGCTGAGATAAAGAATCCGTTTCAGACAATCACCTGTACCGTTATGTGTGATGAAATTGGTAAGCCTTCCTGGGCCTGTCGACGCTGTTTTGCTTATAACTAACTTCTACCTAGCTGGGACTATGAGACAAGCGGAATTGCAGCCAGCTCTCCCAAAGTTTCTATTTTCGGCGTGTAAGGGGGCTACCGAACGCAAGCTGGGTACAGGCAATTGCCCACCACCTAAAGCCCCAATGAAAACCGGTGCAGCCCCGCCCACGCATCCTCAGCGAAAGGACGTGGATGACTTCAGTGATGATCCGCTTAATTATAGCGACTTTATACCGGAAGGTATGGAAAGCCAGACCTGAAGACTGAAAAACCAACTAACGCCTAAGTGCTGTTGTGGTGAAAGATTTTGATGATATCTTCCAAAGTAAACACAAAAGCCCGGCAACAGCAGCGCCAGCTCCGCCATCTATAACTTCCAAGATGAAAAAAACAATAAGCAGAGGCAACAGCTCTGTAACTTCTGAACCGGTCCAACTTGACAATGGGAAGTGGGCATGCAATCATCGTTGTAAAGATAAAACAGCGTAAGACCGTCTTCTTTTTCGTTGAGACGAAATGGTGTGCTAATAAAGCCCAAATTCTATAGATGTAAACATTTATGCTGCAGAGAGGGTACGGACCACCCGCCAAAACAAAGCAAGAAGCAGGTTTTAGAGGCATCTAATCAGGACCCTCAATCGGGCAATTGCGAGCCGAAACCTAAAATACCCAAAGTCAACACTAAGCTAGAGCGCCAGGTTGATATAATTGACCTAACAAAGCCAGAGCCTACTTATGGAAAGAAACTATACAATAGAGCGATAGAGGGGAAATCGACTAGTAAGTGCAGAGGTAGGGATAAAACCCCTACGTCGCATAGTTTGTATAGCCGAAGAACTTCCTCTCCCTTATCAGACGACACACTGGATCCATTACAACTACCGTTGCCATCGACTAAAGCGAAAGTTGCAAAGCATACCTCCTCAAGTGGAGAAGATTTTGAGGAGTTTGAATCTTTGATGGGAGACTTCGAGAGCTCCTCTTCTGAAAATGACATGCCCGTCGAGAAAGAAATGAGTCAGAGATCAGGGTATTTCCCTTCGGCCAACGCAGATTTTGACAACCCAGGAGACTTGTTTGTTGAAAACGATATCATGGATGCTGATTATTTCAGCCAAATTAATGATAAACACTCGGGAGTTCTCTCCCCTATGAAACGGAGCGATGTCTCATACCCGGGTACCTCCCAGGGAGAGGGCTATGAGGGGATCTCCATACCTACGGTTCAAAGCCCAAAAGAAAGGTCACCACTATTACCGGCTCGGCCACTGCAATGTAACGTTGACTTGTTATCTACCAGCAAAAATGTAGGAAATGGTCATTCATCCGTTACAAACCCTCCTTCTCCAGAGAAAAGTATGTCTGATATGACAATGAGCGGCAAAGAAAATCTGAACATTTTTAAATTGGTACCATCCAAGAGAAGAATATCCGATTCAGCAGCTATCGAAATACCCTCAGTCGAAGACACTGGTCTCAATATACCATACCAGTCAGACAGTCCACAACCTGAACCCCCAAAATATATTGATCCTTTGCTTCTAGAGGAATTTGGGGCTGTTGCAGAATTTTATTAACATAATCGCTAATATATATCTAGTTAAAGATATAATGTCACCAATTAATATGCTAGACACAGTATACGATCATGCTATGCATTCTTTTTCTTTCGTCTTTCACAACCTTTCTAAGTTAAATCTTTTATCCCTGGAGCATGGTCCTTTGATATATGTTAAGAGCTTAAAGAAAACATTACTGGTATTGTCCTCTCTGATAACATGCCCTTCCACAGACTGTTCATTTAGATAGAAAGAAATGATATGGTAATGGGTGCAACACCTCGGCAACAGTTCTCGGCGTGATAGTGAAGTTTTTGTCTTCCTGTTTGTTTTCACTTCTCCTGTAGGGTGAAAGGCTTCTTAAAGGCATCGTCTTGCGTCTTTGGCAACTCCTTTGCAAATCCCCGAGCCTTCCTCCAGATACACGAAACTCCTCATCTGCCCGTTTCAAGGCGAGCCGTCTCGAAAAGAGTTAAGCAGAAGGATACCCGTAGGTAGGTTTGAACCCTTAGTACAGATATGCCTTTCGGCACTTTTTTATTCTAAGACATGAATGCTTGTACCAGGACTTCGTGGATATTAATGCAGAGACTGTTTGCTAAGCATCGACATCCAACTTGAGTCGTCGGATTTTCAACGGATACAACGCGTGTACTCCTGTGCTGAAAATATGGTCAAAATCAGTTATGCAAATGTGAGTGGGCCCCACGGACATGAGCAGATACAAGGACACGAACGCATGTGTTAACACAGAGTCGGGTATAAGCAGAAGAAAGCGTATGGAGTTAGACTGGGGAGGATTTTATCGAAGGAATTGGTAAGCTTCACATCATTCTAGCATCTGGTAGCCGACAAACCGTTGAGACCTTTCTTGACATGTTGATATAGAGGAGACGAATCCCACCTGGAATTAATGCACAAGATGCTGAGAAGGACCCGAATGTTGAACTCGACTTGTCAGGGAAGGCCCTTACTGATGATGGACTCTCTGTGTTTATCGATGACCTCGTGCAGTGCATGAGTTATCGTGATGAGAACTATCCAAAGGGGGCAGTCCGGCTCACTGAACTCTGCTTGAGTGGAAATAACTTGACAGTCATGGCCCTCATGAAGTTGAGCGAGGTTATATTCATTGGTATCACGTCGATAACCAAAGTGGATATCTCAAACAACAGTATTCGGGTTACCAACGAATACGAGCGGAGAGCATTGAGCGCCTTCCTGAATGCATTCCGCTACAGCTGCCTCGTCAAGAAAATCGACTTTAGTGGAAACCGCCTGGAAAATGCTGGGTTCGACGTTTTGGCTTGCATGTACTTCAAAGGCAGTTATCATTTGAGCAACATTTCCCTCATATCTAGTAAGTTGTAGACCGCGCACTATAATTCGACAATCCAAATGAAGGAAGCTATGCTGACCAATTTTTACCAGAGATAGTCGAATCGAGCGCAGAGCAGGCGGAGTCCGCAAATGAGTTAGAATTTTATGCCCGCAAAAGGGGTCTTCGGTCAATACCCTACCTCATATTCTCTAATACGTGCAACTCGCCTCTGTGTGCGTTCCATCTCTGGAATATTGTCACAGCCCATGAGTCCGCAGAGTTACTTCTCCAGTTCCTTCCGTCTGGTAAAAACATGGCTCCTCCAGGCCTTGAAGGCAAAAATTCGGGAATCGTGTGCACCCCAAACAAGGGTTTATCACCCCTTTGCCAAGCATATTTGGAACTTGGGAAAGAAATCCATAATATTATGGGAGCTGACAAGAGAATTGATGACACCGGCCTGGAAGCGAAATCGATAGAAGATCGTGAGAAGGCGGCAATAGAGCTAGAAATTCTTAAAGTGAAGAGGATTGAGATGGAGAGGGTGCAAAAGCGGCTCGTTATCTCTGCGCTGGAGTCATTTGGTATCCACAGCGTCAGGTTGTGGGCTATCACGTTCCAGCTGCTGGTGGCTGCTCGTGCCATCTTGCTTGACGAGAGAAACCGACCTCAAGAATTAGCTCTTTGGAATAGTGACGAAAATTTGGGACCGCTGCTGAAAGCCCGGATTAATTATCAGACTTCTCTGACCTCAAGAATCTGGGCCTTGAACATTTCCAACGATGCACAAATTCCGCAAAGTCCCATGGGATTTCCGACTAGTCTTTTCCAGCGACAGTCATACGCCAATCGCTTCGGCCACGACACCAATCTGCGCCTTAAGGCTGCTTATAGGTCGCCCTATCGTTTCGGCCTACCAATATATGTCTGGAGAGATATCTTGGCCATGGCTTTCGACGAGCTGGATATCTTGGGCCGGGAGCAACAGGTCCGCGTAGTTGAGTATGCGAGCGACTGGACTGGTATCGACCAGCAAATCGCCCTTCGAGGTGGGCGCGAAAGTGAGCAGATCTGGAGGATTCTGAACACCGTTGACTGTCTTGTCTACATCTTCGAGTGAGATTTGATATTATCGAGAAGAAAATGGACGGAGGTTGATATTTCCTTTTTCGGATGGAGTATGACTAAGCTTATTAAGTTTACACGTGATGCGTTCATTATGTCATTTGATTATGTAACTAGTTTGGTGAGATAAAGAGCGATAAGAAAGTCGGAAGTTGATGAGACGAAGAAGATCGAGGAAGACGAAGAGTCCTAGATTTCAATTCAGATTTGCCATTTTCGCTCTGGTTCTTCCAGTTATATCACGATATCTGAGACGAGCGTGTTCTAAACTTGTGCCTACGCTTGTCGATTATAATAATAGACGCCATGGTCAAGAATAAAGGGAGCAACTCGGCAAAAGTGCCGCTTCCACTCGCCATGGAAGCTCCCCATGTTGCTCCAACAACTTTCAACGACGGGCTTCCTCTACCCAAGATATTTGTTTTTGACTTAGATTACACACTGTGGCCCTTTTGGGTAGATACCCATGTCAGTGCTCCTATAAAAGCGAAGGATAACAACTCTCGTTGCGTTGACAGGTAAGCCCTATAGACCCATCCCCCAGAATCCGGAGCCCCCCAGAATCTAGAGCGCTCGTCCATGTTCTGGTAACTGACGTCCTTTTGTGCCAACAGATGGGGTGAATCCTTTTCATTTTATCCAGCAGTTCACTCGATTCTACAAGCATGTCGGGCGCGGTCTATACCTGTCAGCCTGGCATCGCGTACTCATGCGCCTGATCTCGCCCGCGATGTTCTCAAAGCTCTGCATGTCATCCCATCTTTTACAGATAACCCGGCTGCCGATAATCGTTCCGTACGTGCGCTCGATTACTTTGAACATATCCAGATATACCCTGGAACAAAAACACAGCATTTCACTCGCATTCAGCAGTCGAGTGGCCTGAAGTACGAGGATATGCTCTTTTTTGACGACGAGCCTCGTAATAAAAACGTCCAGGTAGAACTTGGCGTGACATTTTGTCTCGTTAAAGATGGAATAACTAAGGAAGAGGTCGATAGAGGAGTCTGGGAATGGCGAAAGCGGATGGGTATTAACCAGGCTGACCGGAAGTCAGGAGAAGACAAGAATTAATCACTAATGATAGAACACGACTTTAGATTGCTTTTTGTTGCATATACCAAGTTACAATATATATAATGATAGAGAATGTATACAATTTGAGCGTTGGCTTCATGATAGTTCTACAGCTGTTTACTATTGGTGGGATTGGTAGCTCTAGCTAGTTGTTTTATTTAGCTGTGGACGTCAACCATCTCAAACTACAGCTTCACAACTCCACCGTTCTGTTACCACGCCGTGAGGTTAGCCATGTCATCAAGAGGATCTTCCACCGCTCAGAGGCCGTCGGCAGCTCCCTCGATCCCAAGACCGCCGTTGAACGTCCATCCTACCGCTACGATCTCTGAAACCGCATATTTTCAAGGCGTCCATCCAATCTCAGTGGGTGCAGGAACCGTTATCCATCCTCGCGCAAAACTACTCTCCTTCAAAGGACCGGTCAGCATAGGAGAAGGATGCATTATCAGCGAGAAATCTGTGATAGGAGGGCCCGTTACGAGTAACTCAGGCTTGTCAACGCCTACGACTCCGTCAACACCTGCTCCGCCTCTTGACTTCGGCTCCAACATTGGCCCAGCTTCTCCAGACCGAATAACCACCATTATAGAAAATTCAGTGAGCATTGGTCCTCTCGCGACCGTCTCTGCGGGCGCTCATCTGTATTCAGCTTCGGCTATTGAAGCATCGGCATTTATAAGTAAGGATGTGAAAGTTGGGAGACATGCTAAGATCTGTACATCATGCTTGATACCCGAAGGAGATACGGTTGAACCCTGGACAGTTGTATGGGGCGGTGGACGAGTCGGAGGATCTCTCGGCAGCAAGTTACAGCGGCGGAAAAGAGCAGCAGGAAATGCTGATGATAATAGGAATCTTCATGGGCTGAATGGCGGGATGGTGGAAACTGGCCGGCTGGTAGCACTGAACCGCGAGAGAGAGAGCTTGACAAAATTGATCGGGATAAGCGCTGGGAAGAGAAGATGAGGCCACGATAGATATTGGGTTTATATCTATCTTTTGACCGTGTGTCTCCTGCGTTCAAGGTGTACTACTGCTATTATACCGTTGTTTTTTACCCTACGAGATACCCGTTTAGATGATTTAATGCATAGCGATATGATTTGAATGAACCTACACGAATAACTTGGAGAGTATACGGAGTACATCAAGGTTTCATTTACGTTGAATCAAGATGTAAATTAATATACATGAGCAACCGATATCATACCCACTGATGATTTAGTAAAAGATCAGATAAGTGAGTGCATTTTAAAATGAAACGTATAGCCAAACCATTCCAATAAGAAAGATTAACAAATGAAAATGAGTAAGGGAAGTAGAACGATGAAAGGATTAAAGAGAACAGAATGCCAAACAAAAGGAAAACATGAAGGGTGTATAAACGTTCGACTCATTGAGCCGTGCTCTAGCCTGAGCCTGCACCACCTCCACGGATACGTTTTCCGTTTCCTGTGTCAGGGGCTTCGGCTCCGTCTTCTCTTGTTCGTTTATTGCCCTGAGGGATGAACTGTCGGGCATGAGCGTTTAGTCCGCCCCGTCCACCTCTAGGGCTCGATTGGCTCGTCCCAGCTGGAAGATTTCCAGTCTGTACATTCTGTGCTCCACCACGGCCAGGCCCTCCTCTGCCACGGCCGCCACCACGGGGGATACCATGGCCTCGCGACGCTCCAAGTTGCTGGCCTTGCTGGCCTTGTTGTGGTTGTTGCAGACCCGTGCCGTGCTGACTAGCAACGTTATGTGGTTGACTTACTTGGCCTGTAGGACCACCCCTACCACGTCCACCACGAGCTACGGGTAAGCCTGATTGAAGGGCCCGAAGTACACCAGGACCAGTTCCCGCAGCAGGTTGATGTGTAGACTGAGGAGGCCTATTAGGAAGGCCTGAGGCTGGTTGACCTTGCTGGGTCTGTTGGGGCTGAGATTGTTGGAGCTGCTGAGGCTGCTGAGGCTGCTGAGTATTCTGGGCATGTAGGTTAGGTTGCTCCTGTGTTTGTTGCTGTTGCTGCTGTACTTGAGCTGTTGGCTGAGGAAGAGCAGTCGGCTGAGGCGCTTGGACTACCTGGGGTGCCTGGGCTGGTCGTTCTGCTGGAGTTGGAGTTTGTTGCGAATCAGCGGGCAATGTTGGTTTGGAAGGAGTCATGGGAGCTGCAGGTGTCTGTGGAGCGGCTTGCTGTGTTGCTTGTGGCGCAGGGGCCGTAGGTTGTGCGGCAGCAGGCGCTTGTACAGGAGGCTTAGGGGTGGCAGCCTGAGCAGCTGGTGCGGGTTTGGCGACTTTGGCAACTTCCCAAACTTCCACAACTGGCTTCTGAGGTGTTTCTGTCGCGGCTTTCTGAACAACTTCCAGCTTGGCCTGTACATTCCGGGCCCGTCCCTCCGTCATACTGACCTTGGCCAGCAGTCGTTTCTCAGCCAGTTCGACGGCTGAGCTGATTTTCTGGTCCCGCTCCTTCATATATGCCTCCTTTTCTTCGGTAAACTTCTTCTCCAATTCCTTCAGGGCTGCAGGATCTGCTTCCTTGGCCACAGATTCCCGCTCCCTGCTCAGGGCATTCTTGATATTGTTTCTGACAATGCTGCGGATGGTTTCATTTTTAGCCACCAATTCCCTGGCTTGACCATCAGATAACTCTAGAGGGAGTTCACCAGAGGCTTTAGCCGCAAGTTCCTGTTGGTGAGCTGCGATCATTTTGTCGACCTGTTCCTTGTGGATAGTTTTGTATTCCGCTAGTTTGTTGTTCAGTGTCTCCTTCATCTTCTCGATGCGTTCCCTGATCTTTCCATCCGTTTCTGCTTCCTTCTCAGCCAGGGCAGCCTCAAGTTTAGCAACCTTCTCCTCCAGTTCCGCTATCTTCTGTGCATTTTCGGCACTAGGCTGTTCAGAAGACACTACAACCTGGACTGGAGCTGGCTGCACCTCAGGCGCGCTTTGAGCAGGGGTAGCTTGTTGATTTTCGGATACGCTAACTTTGAGAGCATTGAGCTCTTCTCGTGTGCTGTTCAGCTCAAGCTGAATTGCCTCCTTCTCTTGAAGAGCAATGTTGAGCTCTCCTTGCTTAGCGTTAATTCTACCCGTAAGCTCCTTAGACCGGGCTTTGAACTGCTCAGTTAGCTTCGAACGGAGATCTTGGACCTTCTCCTCTGCTTGCTTAAGCTGTTCCGGGAATGCATCAATCTGGGCTTGAAGAGTACTCTTCTCGGTGGATGCTTCGGCCTTCTCCTTTTCAAGGGATGCAAGCTTCTCTTTTAGGGCCTCCATCTCCACAGGATCAACACGGTCATACTTCTGAAGAATGTTTTGTGTTCGCTGTTGCCATCGGTCCCTGTCCTCTTGAAGTAGCTTAACTTCACCATCTTTAGTTTCAAGGTTATTCTCAAGCTCTCGGATGCGGGTTTGAAGAGGCTCGGCCCGTTGTTGAATATCTTCAATTTGAGCAGACTTTGACGCGATTGCTGCTTCGTATTGTTTAATTTGGTTACGAAGAGTAACACTGCTCTCACGGAAGAGGTTGAGTTCATTAAGGGTTTCCATGAGTTTGTTGTGGTTGAGAGTATTATGCTCACTGTCGGCCTCAGCGCGGCGCTGTTGTTCAAGTTTGAGACGAGTTTCTTCAAGTTGGCTCTGAGTGTAGTCAAGCTGCTGTCGAAGTCGTTTCCCTTCTTGAGTTGACAGGTGATATTGGACGTCGACAATCTCTTTCTCTCTGCGCAGGAATTTGATGACTTCCTGGAGACCCTCCAAGTCAGTACCTGATGCATCGGCGTCTCCCTCGGTATTCTCCGGCATGCTGGCTCGGTCGCGCTGCAAGGCAGAAATTTGGCGAGTAATGGTTTCCAGTTGTCCATGTAGGAGTGAATTCTGTTTGAGAACTTCCTCCCTACGGCGGTTCAATTCCCCAATTTCAGACTCATAACGCTCCTTCAATTCATTCCAATTCTCTTCTTGATGAGTTAGACTACTCTTAGCGGTCTCCGCTTGCGTTCGCAGGTCAACCACTTCCAATTTGAGTTGATTAGCTTCAGCCCGGACCGTCTGTAGATTTCTGGCAGCTTCAGCATGCTTGACAAGCTCATTTTCGTAGTTCTGTTGGGCATTCTGAGCAATTTCAGCTTGTGCCTTAAGATCCTGTTGATGGTACTGTGCGGCAGCAGTGTATCGTTCTTCGTTCTCCTTGAGTCTCTTGATTTCAGCCTCCAACATTTCTTTCTGGTCCTCCATACGGCGCTGTGCTTCTCCCTCTTGGCCTCGAAGTTTCGATATCTCGTTGTTAGTAGCTGCAAGCTCGCTAGTAATTTCCTCCACACGTTTCTCCAAATCAGCAATCTTAGCATTCTTTTCCTCGAGAAGGCGATCGGTTTCTTCACGGTATTGCTCATTGGTATCACTAAGAGCCTCAAGTCTTTCTTCGGTTGACTGGCTGATGGCCTTGAAGTCTTCAGCCTGTTCCTTTGCATGCTCCAGTTCACCCTTGGTAAGCTCAAGATCACGTTTCAATTCAGATACTTCAATGGCAAGCTCCTGTTCTCGGCTCAACTGGTTATCCGGTACTGCGTCAGAAGACTCATCACCAGAAGTAGGCACAGGAGCACTGGTGCTGGGCTTATGCTGTAATACCGCGAGTCGTTCCTCGACACTCTTAAGTTCAACAGACAACTCATCGACCCTCGACTGCAAATGGTCTCTGCTCGTCTTCGTGGCAATGAGTTCTTCCCTAGAGGAGCTCAAGCTTGTGACAAGATCGTCGATTCTCTTCTGGCTTTGCTCGTGGTCATATTCTTTGCGTAATGTCACCTTCTTTGCTTCTTCGGTTTCTTCATTGAGTTTGCGTTTGGTGGTTTGGAGTTCGGATTCCAAAGCCTCAACAGCTGCTTGAAGACGGCGTCTGCTTTCTGTTTCGGAGTGCTCGCGTTCGTTAAGCATAGACTGCAAGTTCGCATTCAATGAATCAAGGCGGCTACGTTCATTGCGTAGCGCCTCATTGTCCTCAATCAACCGCTTCTCAATGCTCTTCCAGAGATCCTTCTCAGCCTTGAGATTTGCACTTTCTCTTGTGAGGCTATCTGCAAGACCGCGTGCTTCCACGAGATCTTCAGCAACCTGCTGTGTACGGAGGTCCTGCTTGTTCGCATTCTCCATCAACGCCGTATGTCTCTTTTGAAGTTCCACGTTCTCGCCCTTCAGCAAGTTGAAATTAGATTGCAAAAGTTCCGCACGCTGAATGGCAGACGCAAGTTGACTACTGGCACGGCTAACTTCACTCTGAAGTTCACTATTTCTCCTCGTTAACTCGTTGGCCTGTTGCTTCAAGGACGAATGATCAGTTGCTGTTTCTTCACGGAATGAATCGAAATGTGCTTGTAGTTTTCTGAGGAGGTCAGCATAGTCAGGGCCAGGGGCCGCAGACATAGTGCTGGCATCAAGAGGAGGAGCCGCTCCCAGGGGCAGGGATTGTGAGAATGGTTCAGAAGACTCTCCGGTTTCACGGCGTCGAATTAGCATGCTGCGGAAGGTATCACGCTCTTTGATGTAGCTCTTGGTTTGCGACACAAGATTTGCCATTTCGTCACGATAAGTTTGAACACGCACACGGAGTTCTTTCAGTTCTTCCTGGTCCTTCTGGTGTGAAATATCCTTCTGGCGAGCCTCTTCACCTTCCATCTGATCTCCAAGCTGCCGAAGCATTCTGCGCAATGTAACATTCTGTTCCTGGAGCTCGTTGAGGTTCTTGAAGGTTGTCAGGTTTCGGCTGATAAACTGACCAGTCTCTGTCATATCCTCTGCTGACTCTTCGATACCCTCGCGAGCAATTTTCTCGAGGTCTGCCCGGTCATACTCCTTCTCACCGGCAGACAACAAGTGAACTTCCATAACCAATACCTTAACTTGAGAGCTAAGGTCTCTAAGTTGCTGGCGCAAAATTTGCCCTTCGCGCTCTAAGCCACCAACCTGTCCCTGCCACTTTCTAGCCTCCCGCGTTGCGGCCTCCCTCTCTTTGCCGGCTGTATCCAGGATGTTAGACATCTCGACTACAGCAGCCTCGAGGCGCGAGTGGTCCGAACGAAGCTCATCAATTTCCGGCTGTCTCGATTCCAAATCCTGTACCATCTCATCCATGGCTGCCTTGAGCTCTTCATTATTCTTTTGCTCGGCACTGAGTAGGGTTCGCATCTTGTCGTACTCGGTGTACATTTGGGTCAGAGTCAGTCCTCCCTTTACGCCACGAGAAGACCTTGGTGAGAATGAGCCAACAGGTGTTCCTGGGCGCAGAGGAGTAGATACCCCATTATTGATGCCAGGACTCATGGGCTGCAGTCTTGCGGCAGAACCTTCAGCCTCCATTTGCTTGATAGATAGTTCTAACTCTGCAATGCGACGCTCTGCGGCTTCTTTATCGGAATGCTCGGTTTCAATTTCCCCTCGGAGTCTGGAAATCTGCTCGGTGGCATCTTCTCTAACCTTATCAAGAGCAATTTGGAATTCCTGAATTCGCTGTTTTGCAGTTTCGGCAGCTGCCTGTTGGAGTTGTGCCAGACGAGAGGAGCTGTCAAGTTCAATTCGGAATGATTCAGCAGCTTGGATGGCTTCCTCCTTGAGCTGTTGAACATTGGCAAGAGATTCCTCGTATTTCTGCTCAATATCGTCTAATCGTCGCTTGAGGGCATTTTCACTGCGTTCCAATGTCTCAGCCTTTGAGTTGGCTTCTTCATTTAGTCTCTGAAGCTCCGAGATCCGGGCACTCTTTTCCTTTCGGAATTTGAGATGCTCTGCAGATTTTGTTTTCAATTCCGTCTCAAACCATTCGTTGTTCTTCTTAAGAAGATCAACTTCCTGTTGTAGGCTCTGCTCGCGGAACCGGGTACTGGCAGCTGTAGATGAGGCTGCCTGTATCTTTTGCTCCAAAGCGGTTACTTCACGACGAAGGTCAATGGTCTTACGGTGTTGGGTGGAAAGTTCCTCCGCAAGCTTGTCGTAAGCAGTAGATTTTGACTCGAGAAGTCCAAGAGTGTCACGGTTTGATGCTTCCAATGAAGCTATACGTGATTTGAAGCTTCCGACTTCTGCCTCACTCGTAGATGAAGTTGACTTTAGAGTCCCGATTTCGGATTCAAGCTGGGATCGAATATTCTCTGCGTATAGGTATGGTTAGAACGCACGATATACTCGTTTATACCCTTGTCCTTGCCCTTATATGGACTTACCCGATTGCTGAAGCTTGGTTCGGAGGCTTGATATCTCCTCCAGCCCTTTCTCTACCGACGACTTCAGCACCTTCACCTTGGCCTCACCACCACGAACAGCATTTTCAAGCTCAACCTCTAGTCGTAACTTGTCCGATCTGAGCTCCTCTGTTTCGCGAGCCTTGATTGAGATGCTCTCCAGTAGCTGGTTTACAAGCTCTGTGGTTGGATTCTCCGATAGTGTCGTTAACGCGGCTTCTGGGATGGCATAGTGCGAGGAAAGGAATGGGAGATCAACGGCAGCAGTCGCCATGGCCGCGTCTACTGGACGATATAGTAGATAATAATTCTAACGCGCGTGTTTGTGACCATCCACGGCCGTCGATGTCGTCTGACACCCGTGTAGTAAACAGAGCTAGCTCATGGACGGACGAGCCTGATGTATAAACAAGCCGTTAAATCGCAAAGGCACCCGCGGTATACCTCAATCTTTCACCATACACTGTTCGCTCGAGGTTACCAGACGTGATGAAGCGGCTGGTGATGCTCCCTATCGATGAGATCTCCAGGCTTCACTCCTGGTCAAGCAGAAACTACAGCAAAAACTGCTTTTGGATCTTCGTTTTTTCGATGTTTTGAGGCGCTTTTTGTATATCACGTGATGGATTTTTTCCAACCTTCGCCTTAAAAACAACCTTCGCCCTTTTTACTTGGTCTTCATCTTCCGTTAACGACATCATCGACGCCGTCAGCTTCAGCGACACCTCGCCCGACGGTCAACCCAAGCGCAAGAGAAGGCTCACCATTGAGCAGAGGCCCGGACGTCCGCGGAGAGAGCTATGCGAGTGATTTCGTCTGCTCGATAGATGTGTCTTGAGGTCGCTGTGAGCCTCCAGTTGACCCTATGAGAGGATAGGGCAGGGCACTGACTGTATCAAACAAATTGTATACACACATCCTCCAACGATGTCTTATTTCCAGAAGCAGATCAACTCCTTCAGCAGCAGCGTGGTCTCTGTGGCGAGCAGACTCCCCTCTGACCGAAGAGCCGCTGTTGCGAATAATGCCGCTTCGTCTACTCCCCAGGCAGCAGCCTCGAACGCACCGACTCCTTCTGCTCAAACCCCCAGACGCCATGATGCCGACATCGTCTATTCACAGCCCGCCAATACGGGAATGGGGAGAGATATCATGACCCAGGTAGTCTTTGCGATAGAGCATATGAAGGGCAAGGATGTTCCGCTGATGTTTTCGGATATCGAGTCATACCTATCACTTTCGAGACAAGGGCATGATACGGGATACATCCATGCCCTGAGACGGATCCTACAGTCGCATGATAAAGTCCAATACGATCCGGCGGGTGCCAACGGTGAAGGAACCTTTCAGTTCCGTCCTCCGCATAACATCCGATCTGCCGATCAGCTCTTGCAGCACCTGCAGTCCCAGAAAACGGCTCAGGGCATGAGTGTCCGCGATCTGCGTGAAGGCTGGCCTACCATCGTAGAGACGATCAATAAGCTTGAAAAGGAGGGAAAGCTGCTTGTGACAAGGAACAAAAAGGACAACCATCCCAAGATGATATGGGCGAATGATCCGTCTCTCTCGCAGAAGTTTGACCCGGAGTTCTGCCAGATCTGGGAAAAGGTCAAGATTCCCGACCACCAAACTGTGATGGAAGAGCTCGAGAAGGCCGGAATTACGCCTACAAGCAAGCACAAGGCTGCCAAAACTAGGCCAAAGGTAGAGCAGAAAAAGGTCAAGAAGGCACGCAGAAGCGGCAAGACTACGAATACGCATATGGCTGGCATCTTACGAGACTATTCACATCTCAAAAAATAATGTTGCCCTTGGATTATCAGGGCCGATCTAACCGGGGGTTTGGGTGTCTACACGGAGTTTGTCGGTTTTATTCATTTTTCTTCCAGCATGACTTCGGTGTTAACTGTTTAAAACCTTGTACTTGTATTGATCATTTCCCGCTTTGCATGCATTTTTCCCAGCTTGGCTTTTATTCATTTGACTCTGCTCTTAAAGAAATAACACCAATAGGAACCGCTTCTATAGTTTTCCGTTAATATCAATCGAATAAACCCAAGGAACAGAGAGGAGAATGCACCACGTTAGTAAATCACCGGTAGTATCGTGAACCCAAAACGAAAAGAAAAGAAAAGAAAGAACGAGAAAAAAAGAGAGAGAGCCGGATACCCGTCTCATCAGTGCTTCCCATTAATGACAGGGAGAGGTCCCTCTGTCTTCTCCAGGTAGTCCACCAATGCCTCGATCGTACACACTTTGATGCCCCATTTCTTTCCAAACTTCAAGCATCCGTCTCGCCGAAGCATCCCACCGCCGGACTGCTCGGCCACGCCCTCCGGAGACTCGCCATCTTCAACTAGTTCACAGATAACGCCGGCAGGAAACTTTCCGGCCAGTCGACAGAAGTCAACAGTAGCTTCAGTATGGCCTCTTCGCTCACGCACGCCTCCGACCTTTGCTTGGAGGGGCAGGATATGACCGGGCCGTCGGAAGCTGGACGGCTTGACGTCGGGCGAGGTGAGCGTGCGGCAGGTAAGCGCTCTATTATGCGCAGAGATTCCGGTGGTCACTGAAGGATCATTCGAGTCGATTGAGACTGTGTAGGCGGTGCGGTGCGGGTCAGTGCTCTGGGAGACCATCTGTGGGAGTTCAAGTTGGGTGGCTAGGTTGGGGAGTATCGGGGCGCATATATAGCCGCTGTAGGATTATAATTGTCAGTTATGGCTGTTTAAGCCAACTACGAAGGGACTCCGGCTTCTTACTGACCTTGAATGTCTGACCATGAAGGCCATTTTGCGTGTGGTCATGCATTCTGCGGCAATGATCAGGTCGCCCTCGTTCTCTCTGTCTTCCGAGTCAAGGACAACGATAAATTCTCCATTTCCTGTCAAGAAAGCACAGCAGTTAGCAGCCGTATCCGGGACTCAAATAGCACTATAACGACATACTGAATGCCTCTATCGTCTCTTCCACCGTGTTGAACCGCAATTCCTCCTGTGGCGACGCCATTGTTGAGCCGTATCTAATGAAGCGGGGGGGTGGTGACTTGTTCTTGGCCGGGATAGCGTAAGGACGGACGGTGAGGGTATATATGCGATGTAGCAGGCGAGACAGAGAGGATATCTCAGGGGCTTCCGGGTAGATATAAGAATAATAAATGTCGAGCAGGCTCGCAGTTCGAGTATAAAAATGCGACTCGGATCCAGATGCGACCAGAATAAAAAAGACTAACCAAAAAAGCCTAAAAAAAGGTACCTGGTCGTCTTTTTTCCCTTCGGCCGCCGACGGGGAGACCAACTCTGAACCAACAAATGCTATTACACCCTGTAAGGCACCGAGCAGTCCAGAGAACAGTTACATAGAGCAGGAGCAGCAGGCTGAAGGCGCCCTTCTGGTGGACTTGGGCTTTCTTTAACTAAGAAACTACGAGAGAGAGAGAAGAAGCCGGGTGGCTCCGAGCCTCGGCTGATTTCTTGCGTCTTTCGCTCCTTTGCCGGTTGTTGATTTTGGCCACGGACGAGCAGGAGAGAGTAAGAAAAAGACGAGAGAAAGATGAGACGAGGATGGAGACGACGAGAGTCGCTTGCTTGATTTGTAAATCTTACAGAGGATTATGGAGCATGCTAACGAGCCAGGCGTTGGTGAGGACGATTGCTGGCTTGTGATTTATAAGTGCTATCAAAGCATTTGAAAGCAGACAGCGGCGAGATGCATCATCATATCCAGCCCATAAACATGCTCTGTCTGAACGTCCGCCAGGCCTCCCTCTCGTGTCTTGACATGTCTGCGTCCTGTTCAGAGGCCTCTTCAGCTACATCTTCTTCATTGGCATGAGAGAAGTGCAGCCGCCCAACCTGAGATCCAGTCCAGATGACCAGCCCGTCTTGGTCCAGGCTACTACCGCTGGCAGGAATGATCTTGCGAGCTACATGGCAGTTTGCATCATAACCCCAGCCCTGCTCCATTGGGGTGTTGATACTCTCTTGCTCATTTGATCCAGCGCCCCCAGGCTTAGCGTGCAGGCTCACTGTCCTGATAACTGTCTTGCCGTCTCTCTCCATCCATTTGATTTTGCCCTCTGAATCCGAAAACACAACCCGAGATCCATGAGTGGCCACGGAAAGAAGTTTGGAGTGAGAATTGATCAGTCTGTTCTTATAGAGACTCCTAAGCGCCGGAGCGGAGGTGCCATCTGCATCTGGAGAAGGCAAAAGGGAGTATAGCTCCAGGGAACCCATACCCTTATGCTCTCCGCATGCGACTATAGACTGGAGGCTGGTGCTGGAGTCTGGCGAACGATAGCATTTGGGAATAGACGACAAGGCTGCTAGCCCGCAGAGTCGCGCGCCAGAATGTACACTTGCTTGTAGACGGCCCAGGTTCCGGCGGTCGTAGAGAAGGATGCTTGGGAACCGCCCAGCCACGACTATGGAGTCCGTGCTAGGGGACGGAGGGTGAAGGACGAAATTAGGGCCAGGGTCAAGTAACTCAGTATAATTCACTGTTACGGGGTATCCTGGAGTTAGGTTTGATGAAGAGCGAGGCTCCAGGGAAATAAACGTATCTCTCTCTTGATATGTCGACTGAAGCCTCGGATCATAGACACGGAGGCTGTTCCTGGTAGCAACCGTAATAGGAGCATAATAATCCGGCGCCTCTTGAGATAGAGCGTATATGCTCTCTGTGAACGTGCTCTGTGAGATAAGCTGTAGAGTAGACAGGTCCACTTCGTTCAAGGCGTTGTTATCAGCAATATAAGCTCTTTGGGAGATTGAATCAACACTGATTCGCTCTATAATACCTTCATGTCTCCTATGCTTCGGTTTTTCCCGCGGCAAGGGAGCAGGGGCGAGAGGTAAAGGACGGCTTGACCGAGCAAACTTCCCGTTCCTCTGGCTAGCATCCCAAATGCTCACAGAACCGTTCTCAAGAAAGCCAATGACCTGATCCCCTGAGCCGTAGCTTCTGTCCTTCAGGATGCCAACTCCGTTGACATCTAGCGGACGGTCACGACCAACCAGGTCCTCGACAGCCGGACTCTGAAACCAAACGACACCCGAAGGACCATAACGAGCAATATACTCAGCGTACCAGTCAATTTCTTCCTCTGGATCTGACGGGTCCCAGCGCATCACAGTACCGGTTGAGGTATCTTCAAATAGCGGATCACGCCAGCTACCCAGCTGCATACCGGCCGCTATATGAGCGAGTCTCTTCTGGATTTGCCCATAACGCTCTTTCTGAACCCGATAGCATCTCTCACGCCATACACTGTTATCACGCGCAATGGAAAACAGACTTCGTGATACCAGCTGTAGACTTGCCAGGTCTTTAGGAGGGAGGCCTAGTTGCGCCGTCAGTCAGCCGTTCACTTAAATATAGTTGGACTACTTTTAGCACAAACAGGAACATCATACAGTTAATAATTAATCGAAGAACCTCAGGCGGCAATCTGTCCATTATTGTAAAACGTCCCTTTATATAGTGTGTCGGTGTGTCGTTGTCAAGTGGTGTATCAATACATAAACCGTGGTACATGTTGAGGGTCACCGTTTAGCCCGAGGACGGTCGGATAAACTAAATATACCCAGACATCGTCTAGCTGCCACCCATGTGTTTGGGCCACATGTCTTTAATACACTTATCAAGATGTATGAATGACTTCCTCAAATCTCCTCTTGGTGACTACTTTTCCAGTTTTATTGTTGGGCATCTACGGGATGGCGCTGGCGGGACATTCTGTTGACAGACGCAACAGCCCTTTAACATACAGTCCACAAGCTGTGCCAGTTGAAGCATTAAATCTGTATATTCAGGCGTATATCACTCATTGATCGGGTTTCATAACTGCATCTTTACATAAAATCGTAATCTTTTTGAAGAACCGGCGCCATTCCAGTGGGTCTCCCTTGATCTTCACAAACTCAACCTCAACAAGGCCCTCCGATACTGTCTCTATAAGGATATTCCCATGAAGTGGGCACTTCCTATCGTCTGAAGTTCGCAGCCGGATGAGTACCGACTCTGTGGACATCTTTGGTGCGGCAGGGACATGTAGGAGCTGCAAGGCCTCGCAGATCCGAGAAACCAAGGCCTTCGTAGACCAAGTGGAGAAGAAGCGAGTCAGGCCGGACGCTGGAACAATGTCCTGGAACCGCTGCGCATTCTGGGTGCGACTGAGCGGTACTGATGGCGTGGCGCAGAACTGTGACATGGATGGTTCCTCCAGGAGCTGCTCTGCTAGAAGAATGGCTTGATCAGTAGTTATACCTTCTTTAGGCTGGGAGGCCGATTGGAGTCCGGTTGTCAGTCGAGGCGGACCATCCCAATCCATGAGGCCTGCATCTATAGGTGTCTCTGGCTGGGTGGCAGAAAACTTGGGTTTCAGATCATCAGTGGTCTCCGGGTCAATATCCATGGGATCAGAACCACCGGGCTGTGACCGTGACTGTGACGAAGACAGCGGGTCCTGAGAGAAGTCTATGTGTAGTGACTCAAACATGGTTGTAGCAAGCTTAACAGGGTTGACGAGCTTTCCATCCACATAATGTTTGTTTTGCCGCGTAAACCAGGGATGCCTGCGGATATCGTCTATGTTGAACCTACTGTTAACATCTAGCTTCAGCATACCACGAAGGAGTGACAGTGCATCCGAGGGGATGTCGTTCCATAGTTCATCCGAAGGCCGTGAGTTTGATTTGACATAGTCACAAAATTCGTAGCTCTCATCCGTAGGGCTATCCCATGGGGTATTTCCAACCAAGAGAACAAAGAGCACAATACCACACGACCAGGCATCGGCAATATCAGCTCTGTAGCCCTGGCCCTTTGAATGGCCCCGATTGCTGCACCGAATGACTTCAGGCGCAATATACGGGGGGCTTCCACAGAGCGTAGTGTTTAACTTCAATTTCCCACCATATTCAAATAGCGTGGCAAGTCCAAAATCCGCAATCTTTAGGTTTCCATCCGCGGATAGCAGGATATTCTCTGGTTTGATATCTCGATGGCCAACTCCCTTCGAGTGCATAAATCCAACGGCACTAACCAGCTGTGAGAAGTAAACATGCGCTATATCCTCGCCCACGCCTTCATCGGCTTCGATCTTGTCAAATAAATCACCGCCTTCAGCGAGCTCCATGGCAATCCACCGCCAGGCCTCATTCTCCCCTGTATTATAGAACTCTATGATATTCTGGTGACTGCCGATATGCTTATGTAGCGCCACTTCCATCTGCAGCTGCTTCGCACTAATATGCCCATGTTTGGCTGCATACTCTTTGTGTATAAACTTCACTGCAAAAATAGGAGCGTCGGCATTTGTGGGACAGCCCTTCTTGATGCTAGAAACATGAAATCAGCAAGACTGTCACGTAGAAAACGCGTAGAGGAAAAGGCACAAAAAATGGCAAACAATACGCATTGCAAAGCATTTATTTACCATGCATAAGCCCCCTGTCCTATTGTCCGCGAGACTATGCGGAATGGCAGGTTATCAGGCAACGGCGCCAACTGCGAATGCTTCATGGCCAAAGGAGCGTCAGGGTCAAAGAACGAGTGAAACAGGACACCTAGGACCGTTGTTCAGCCTGCATGAACCAAGTCCTCTGCCAGCCTCTCTCGTCCAAACGGTCCTTGCCTTGTCGACTGTCCTCGACGCGGGACGAAGCAGTTTCAAGTCGATCCTGGCGCGCGCGAGTTGAGTGGACGAGAAGCGCCGCCCTTTGTCCCTCCTTATCGATAAGGCGCTCGCGGCGAGGCGGTTGCCAGGGAAATAGTTAAACACAAACACGACCAGCGAACAAGCGAACAACGAACAACTTTTTAAAGGCATCCAGCATCTTTCTTCTTCTTTGCTTGACACACGATCACGATACCACGGCGTTAGATTTTACGTTAATCCTTAATGAAACAGGCCTGAGTTCTAGCTAGCTGAGGTCAATATTTAATACTCTTGCGAGACCACCACACATTTCTTAATACTTCCATCGACGACTCTCCTTTGGAGCCAGACTAGACGCCTTATTGAAGCGAACAAGTCGAGAGAGACCATGGAATTCTCTATTGAAGATTCTCAGAATGCGGCTCCAGAGGGCCAGTCCAATGTCGAGCACCCTAAGCTCAGTTCAACAGCTTCAAAGGCGGATACCCAAAGTGTCACAAAGAGGTATGCTTAACCGGCTTGTTCTACGTGCAGGTTGCTGTGCTGTTGGTCGTTTTTGGCGCTTATGCTGACCTTTTTGCTTGTCAGACTCCAGAGCGAGCTCATGCAGCTCATGATGTCTCCTTCTCCAGGCATATCAGCTTTCCCAGACGGAGACGGAAACCTGCTCAGCTGGACCGCCACCATCGACGGGCCCGACGACACACCCTACCAGAAACTCTCATTCAAGCTCTCCTTTTCCTTCCCTACAAACTACCCATACGCTCCTCCTACCGTCCTATTTAAAACGCCAATCTACCACCCCAATGTGGACTTCTCCGGACGGATCTGCCTTGACATCCTCAAGGAAAAATGGAGTGCGGTCTATAATGTCCAAAGCGTGCTTCTCAGCCTTCAGAGTCTTCTAGGCGAGCCAAATAAGTTTGTCACCTGCCTCCATGTTTAACTATTAGTCGTCGTTGATTTGTTCTGCTTTGCTAACTTGCATCTTCTATAGTGCAAGCCCCTTAAACGGACAAGCTGCCGAGCTGTGGGATAAGGACCCTGCAGAGTATCAAAGGCTCGTCTTAGCCCGTCACCGGGAGATTGAGGCTGGCGAATGAAGTCTACGTCTAGGCCGTCATGATTGCTGGGAAGTGTCCTCTACGTCACTCCCAATATAAACGAATTTCCATTGCATTGTCGGAAGGCAGGGAATATGGCATTTTTATTCACCATCGGTCGCTGGATTTATTTCTTGGTTTGGTCTAGGAGCTGGGGTTTACACCATTGGTGCTGCATGATAACGCTCCAATGCGCTACGCTCCTTTGGGGTGGACATCTATGTTGTTTCTTATTCTACGTAGCCTGGTACTTTGGACGTCGGTTATCACATGGCAAAATATGCCTTTATATGAAAGGAGAAGATGATACCCGTGCATTGTATCTGGTGGATTTTCTTCTTTTTTTGTTCTGCCAATGAATTCTATTAATTAATTCAATACCACCACCATGCCCCTTTTTCTCTATACTGTGTCATTTATTTTAAAACGGGTAGCTGTAATCACCGTTTGAATGTTATTCAAGACAACCAAGGCCTTATGCGGTGTGTATCTGCGCTGTTACCAGGCACTAGGGGAGACGTGTTTATCCGAGTGCGATCTTTGATATCCATGTCAATAAACACAGAAAAGGAAGTTGCAGGTCCTGGAATAGGATACACAACACAGAATTTTTATCATGACTCGTCCGATTTACGAGCTTCTTACTAAAGGCAAAAAGGTGCTTATCAATGGCAGGCACGTCTCATACCAGGTTATAACGTCGTTGAAGAAAAATGTGTTTCAAGCTGTGACTGTTGGAAATAACAAACCGTGGGTTATGTTACGATGTTATGTATACACAGCTACCGAGGCTAACAGAGTGCATTGAGTAGAGTGATGATAAAGACAGAAAGCTCTGTTCCTGGGGTATATGATATGGAAAGGAATTGCTATGAGTTCCTCTGTATCAAAAGTTCACCATACATACGTGCCATCTATGAGGTGATCGACAACGACATAGACAGATGCATGGTGTTTGAATGGATGGATACAGACCTATGGACGTTAAGGCCACGAGCGCAAGAGCTTTGCCGGCCGTTTCTCAAGGCCACGGCCAAGCCTATTCTTAAAGTTATCAAGGCATTCTCGGACATGGACGGACAGGATGCAGTAGTGAATACAGGTAAAAAATGTTACCCTTCCTTGACTGATCTGCTGGATGTTTTGACTGATATCTATCCAAAGGTATCAATCCAAACAATATTCTTGTCTCCAACGTAGATTCACCTCAACCGTTAGTCAAGCTATCAGATCTTGGGGCGGGTAAGTGTGTATTTCTCACCAGATATACGGGGTTTGATAAAGCTGCTCACCAGTACTAGTAATTCCTTCCAAGGGGTTCGGTGGGTGGCGGCTTCAGGGTTTGGCCATTCGGGCGCCAGAGACATAGAAAAGGGCTTTACCCGCACCGCCATGCGATGTCTGGTCCACTGGCGTTACCGTTTGTTCGGAAGTACCGTTTATACCACCTGGAAACCTGCTGATACTTTTATAGTTATTTAGCACATTTCTCTGCCGCCAGAGCCTTATTTGGGCCTGGAGACCAAGATTCTCACGCCAAAGCCCTCTCAAAAGGGGTTAATCAGGCTGCTTGGTCTATCGCCAAAATAACCCAGCTTGTCGGCCCTTTGCAAGGGATGAGAATCCCAGGTATAAGCTAAAGTTCGATCTAGCTGATGTATTTGTTCAGAGACGTATAATCGAAATAGGGTCTCTGAGAGAGGAGCTTATCAAAGTCAATGTGCCTACTGATTATATCGACTTTATCCAATACCTCCTGACTGTTGACCACAGGGAACGACCAACAGCAGAAGAAGCGCTACAACACCCATGGCTTCAGGGATAGACCTGAGGCAAACCATTTCTTTACCCCCAAGAAATATTGTCAACCATGCATGGAGTACATCGTGATGATAACAAGGAAAGGGCACGCCTGACGACGGAGTCCGTGGGGTTAACCCTCGAGTTTTATCCTACGCTAACGAGCTAGTTCCACCTCGAATAAACCATGAGGTTTGGGGAAGACCATACCGTATCAAAGGGTCAGGGGTATCCAGTTAGCATGAAATTTAACACGAAATGGGTAATCGTGTCTCCTGTTGCGCCCCGGTCCACCCATACGGGAGAACGCCCAACAAGTTAGGGGTCAGCCCTATAAATAGGAATAATATACAGTCCCTCGTGATGTATAGCTATTTGCAAAAATGAACTGTTCATATTATGATATGTAAAGAGTAAGGCTCTAACAGCCTCAACTTCATCGCAGCGTGAACTATGATAGATATCATGTCCCCTGGGATAGGGTTTGGAGAGGGCAGATTAAAAGCGATGTAAAGACGTAAATATTTAAGGTAATGAACTCCAGGTTCAATTAGCTAACATGGTCATGTTCATCGCCATGGTTGAATTCATTCCCATGGTGGAGTTCATTCCCATGGCCATGTCCTTTGGCTTAAAGAACTGCTGCTGATCAGTGACCAGTAGTCCGGCGATGCTGGCGCTGGTGAATGTGCTCAATGCTCCTGTCAACATGGCGCTGAGGGCAACCTGTGACACGTCTCCAATACGTCCGGGAGCCAGTTGAGCTAAGACACCAATCTGGTTACCAAGGGACCCAATGTTTGCAAACCCGCAAAGAGCATAAGTAGCGATTAGGCGAGAGCGAGGGGAGAGATCCGCATAAGTTGGGTCTTGCTGAAGGGCAGTATATGCCACAAATTCGTTCTATGTATATTAGCCTCAGCGGATGAAGCAGGTATGGGAAGCAGGATATACAGTTTAATACTTACCGCAACAAGCTTGATACCAATAAGCTGGGCAACTTTGTATAAATCGCCGGTTCGAGGGACGCCCAGTAGGAAGGCAATTGGGTAACAGAGGTAACCCAAGATAAGCTCCAAGGTAAGGTCTGGCCCATCAATGGTCAAATAGCGGCCCCACCAGGTAAGAAGACCGTTGATGAGACCAATTAAAGAGATTATACAAAGGAGGGTGGCAGCTATCATACTGCCAATCTTCAAACCCAGCCAGGCGCCGGTTGCAAATGCGTGGAGTGCGTTTTTTGCCTTGTGTTCCTCATCTTCTGGGACAACCACCCGGCCAGCGGTAAGAGTTTCTTCAGTCTCGGGATACCTCATCTTCGAAACTGCCAGAGACGCAGGGATACTCATAACACATGACGAGATTAGAGCCTGAGGATTGACTCCTATTCCGACATAAGCAATCAGGACACTTCCAGCAATTGTCGCAAAACCAGAGCACATGACTTGATGTATTTCAGCCAGGGTAAGGTAGTTGATAAATGGGCGGATAAGCATGATCGATTCTCCCTGGCCGATGAACGGTGATGCTGCGGCAACAACAGCTTCTGCTCCGGAAACGCGCATGGCCCAGAAGAAAAATGATGCGAATTTAACAACGAACCACTGTATGAAGCCAACGTAGTACAGCAGCTGAACTAGGGACACGAAGAAGATGATGGCGGGCACCACATTGGCTAAAAACCATTTTATCTTCGCGGCGTCCGGGGTCGTGAGGAATTGGGTTCCGAGAGATGCGAATCCTAGGAGATCCGTTGCACGTTGAGAGATGAAGTTGAAGATGTCATACCCAACCGTGGTTCGGAGAACGAAGATAGCAATAACGAATTGTACGAGCATCCCAACAATGACTGTCCGCCAGACAATCTTCTTTCTGTTCTTGGAAGTAAGCCACAGGCATAAAATGAGTAAAGCCAGGCCAAACAAGCTGATTGCTCGGTTTTCACGAGTATTGTCCTGAGACTCCTCAGACACAAAGGCGCCGATGATGATCACGCATACGACAAAGGCAGCAGAAAGAGGCGTTTGCATCTTGCTGGGGATCATGTTGGCGGCCGGCTGCGCGGTACGGCTCCATAACCAGTATATCGGTTTGGTCACAACGGAAATGGGTACGTAGTTGAAAATAACCCGGAAAGTGACACCGAGATAGACGAGGAACGGGACAACCCATCCTAGCTGTTTGCGACGAAGGATCAGACCGGCAATCCACCAACTAAAATCACACATCGTCAGCAGAGCTTCATAGAAACCCACCCGCCGCACAAGAAATGAGATAGCGCATGGCTGCAAGAAACAAAGCAACTCACCCAGTGAAGATTAGCCAGATTCCAATGTTTAGTGCAAGACGAATCTCCTTTTTGTAACGCGCCCATATTGTACGTTTGTTGCCGTCCGCAACGGTTTGCGCGCTCTCAATATCCCCAGTGGTTCCGATAATAGGTTTTTCGGTCGAGCTGGCTATCCCGTCGCTGGTATTGGAAGTACCTCGTTCAGCGACTGCTCCGTCTCCGACGGGTTTCTCAACGTTCAAAGCTTGATGAACATGGTGGGCATCATGGTGCTGGTGCGCCGGGTTCAGAGTTGGCGAAGGCGGATTCGCTCCCGGTGCTTCTGGAGACGGCGAGCTCTCCGTGGCCGGTATCTTGCCCTGTTGATTCTCCATAATTCCAACTGCTCTTTCTCTGTAGATGAAGCTTCCCAACCACGCTATGAAATGGTTGATTCCTTTTCTTATGACGCTGAGGATGTTAAATTGCCAGATCTCGTCGGCCCTCCGGCTTTAACAAGGGAGTAAGCAGGTTGAATATACAAACTCCCTTTAGCTCAAGCTGCAACGGCTTTATGCGAGATGAATTGACAGGAATACTTCTGGCCGTTATATCGCGAGAATTGTCCACGCGTGTATAAAAAGAAAAATTATGGCAGGTGTGTGGGATGGTTGCAGAGTTTGTGCGGAGTATCAGTGGCGGTCCAGCTCTCCCAACCCAACTTAAAATAAGAAAACCACCGAGCCGGAGATGTGGTTGGAGTTGTCTGCGGATCAGCCGTCAGTTATGTAGAATGTGCAGCATCTCAGTCCAGGGACAGCTCGGCACGAATAGGCGAAGGCCGACAGGATTTTTCGTCCTAATTTTTTTTTCTCCTCTACGGGTCTCGGGCAACCCCAGATTCAGAGACGGGCCCCGGTCTGCCCTCGTGAGTGCAAGAGAAGCCCTTTGGGTGGAGCTGAGCCATGGTTGCATTCACGCCTGGCCTGAACCCAACCTTGCCCCTAAAGCAGCGATGCAAGAGCGGCTGGTGGTAACATGCGTAAGAAGCTGGAAGGAGCATGTTGATTGGGTCGGCCGTGCTTTCCTGGTGTCACAGCGCTCCAGATGTCGCATTCGCCCTCTGCGCAGGTTGGGCGGCCATGGAGCTCACCCAGCAGGGCTAGGGATATTCTCCCTATTGTTATGATAATCCTCCCTGCTTAAACAGCGATTCAATTTGCCCATCTGTCTGCAGTAGGCCGTTTGCCCAAGTCATGTCAACGAACAATTGGCCCAGCGAAGGCAGGCAAAAATGTGAGTGGCGGGGCGGCTCTAAGTGAGAATGTAACCCTGTAGTTTCTCTGATATTAAAGATCAGTGTTAGCTCGTTGATAGTCGGATCACTTTAATTCCCCAGGCGGTGCACGCCACAGAGCCGTGTGGGAGGGAAGTTTCATCGCTCGTTCAACCTCGGCGCTTCGGCGGTCCAGCGCCCAGGGATGTTGGACAAGGCGCTCTCTGGTCCTGGAAGGCTGACTTTCGACCCCGGATTTGACCCCATGTACGTCAGTTCTTCCAACGGCCTGGTCCGGTCGAGTCTCTGTTGATGTTATATGTCGTCTCACGCTGTGTTCTTGAGATGAAGTTGAAAAGGAAGAAAACTTTTTACGCCCTTTGGTTTCCCTTTTCGGGGTAGTCACGTGTATCCTAATTTCATCTGGTGTTTTCTGCTCCTTCAATATTTGTACCAGGAGTGGCGATGACAGAAGCACCGTTCATGTATCCCCGAGTGAAGAGGCGAATATATCGGCAAGCAAAGGAGGGCTTGAGCTTCCCACATGGGTACAGGTAAAGTCTCCGCTCGTATAGGAGCAGGATGTCAGTCCAACCGACTTATGGTGCCTGTACCCCGATAGAGCTGGAAAATTATTGCTGAGATGAGTTTCAGTCTGGATTCTATCGCATCTCGTGACTGGGGGATGTGGCCGACTAGAGTGAACAGTAACTACCTACTCCATACAAAACAGAGCGCTAAGATCTGAAATTCCTAACCAGCGAGTTAACTGTATGTAGGTTAGCCAGGTGGAACGGGCGACGCCCTAGCAACAAGTTCGGCGTTTGGCATATGGGGTACGGAGCACCTAGTCATTGAATGTCCATGACACGGAGATAGCCCGACGTGGTTCAAAGAGAAGTGAGCCGCTGTTTGAAGAGTACTATGACTTGCGAAGAGAAATCCCATCCGCTTCGTTGTCTGTGTTGGCTTAAGCCAACAAAGTGTTCAGCACATGAATCCAGGCTATTTCAATTATTATCCCAGTCGGTCCCTTGGTCTGCAGATACGGACAGTCTGGTCCCTGGCTCCCTGGCTCCCTGCTGCTCGTGACAGATGGCTCGAGCGACAATTCAGAGCCCTATTATATCTATATCCTCTTGTTTTGGTTCCTAGCCTTTCCCTTGCTAGGATGACACGCGAGGTATTACTTTATTCGTTAGCCAGTAGTTACGGAGTACTCCGTGCAATCTTCGGTGGGATGAGTTTGGCAGTTGTTACCTATTGCCCTATTTTTACGGAGAACAGAGTTCTACGGTTAAAACCCAGCAACTATAAATACAAACTACCAATCTTGTTTGAATTGTGATTTGCTGTTTTTGTATATTTTCAACTACTACGTTGTGAGGCTCCAGATAAGGTAATAGCCAATGTAAATATAAAAATTGAGTTATTGTCTTGCTAAAGATCAGCAGCTTGTTTCATGGTTAATTTTTCGTTAAATTACCGAAGAACCCTTTACTCTTCAAAGTATACTTGAAGAATAGACGTGAGGGTCAAGGTTGTCCCAGTGGAGATATGTTCGTTTTCTTTTAACCAAGCGGGTTTCCGCTGATAGTTATACGCTGGATAAGAGGAAGTTAAGCGCCAGGTTCTACCAAGCTATTACGTGGTATTCACGCCAAGCGTGTGATTATTTTTTTTGCTGCTTCTAGTTGTTGAATAACGGTAACTCGACTTTCTAAGCTAGGGTAATTTACTTGAGAAATGAGGTATTATTTGCTATTTAATTGTTCAGTTGGTCAACTTCTATGTAGAGACAGTTGTCGTAAGTACATGTGCCGTATCTACAACTCATCAGAACAGATGCGAAGTCACCATTCGCATGTGAACCATCGGACAGGAGAAAAGCCAAATGGCTAGTTTATGCGGCCTTGCAATGCTCAGCAGCAAACTTTTGGGCGCAAGCAGGCAGGATTTTGTTGTAGAGGTTGTCAACGGTGAAGTGTTTGTATTGCTCTTCGCAGTTGGTGGTAAGTAGAGGCAAGACGTTGCTCTTCTGTGCCCATAGAGTCGATAGTGCGCTTGATTTGAAACATCCAAGCACCTGAGTCAGCACCTCAGGCTCAACACTGCATAAGTTGACGTCACGGTACTGTCCTTCCGAGCATTTTTCTGAAACGGTTTGGAACATGGCGTCGGCGAGGTTGATGTAATAAGGGGAGAGAGTAGGAGCCCCCATGGCAGTACTTTCATCTGCGACGCACTTTTTGACAACATCCTTGATCTGAGTGTCGTAGTTGGAGGCACGGAAGTCGCATCCCTGGCCGCAAATTTCCTTCTGGAAAATGGCTCCGATTTTGGCAGGATCATAGGACTGGACCATTGTGGGTATCTTAAGGCAGGAGAGCGACGGTGAAGCAATAACATTGGTGCTTGCCAGTGCGATGGCGAGGATGCTGGAAACGAGGAAACGCATATTGTATGGTTTAGGGAGGTTTGTGAGAGAGGTTGGATCTTTGGCTATAAAATGTGGATTGTAGAGTGACTCGACTGAAGAAGAGAAAATGAGGTCTCAAGCTCAAGTTCTCAGGCACTGGGTAGCCTTTTATATCTCGTCCACTGCACATCCGTAAATCTTGCTCCTAACCCCCTCTTCTTGTCCGAACTGAAGTATTTCCAGTCACCCCTTCGGTTCTCTAATGACCAATTGTAGACAGTTCCGAGTTCAGTGGCTTGCTGATGTGCCATGGCTTGCTGTAGCGTTAGTTATGGCTTGCTGCCCCCGCGATACGTTGAACTTCCCGAAGTTGTCGATAATGCGCGAGATGAGCAGTCTATGATGCTTCCTCTAGGTATGATGGGACCTCGTTTTTTGCTCAGCCAGGAGCTAGACTAAGGTCCACTATCTATGACAGCTTCACTCAATCTCCATAATACACGTAGTTCCACAAACTAGAGATGGGAGAAACTAGATTAGTCACACAGTACAGTACTCCGTAGTTATATTCGCATTGCCTCTGTCAGTCTTCCCGCACATGGGCCAAATTAAAAGTATCTCCTTGGCGTATCTGCAGTAATAATCTCCTCCTGAAAATCCCTTTAGTTTCTAATGACTGACAGCAAGTCATCTTCGTTGAGCTTTGTGGCACAATTAACAGGAACTTTCTTTTGGTGGACAGACGAGCGTTCGCAGGGCCTTCTAGCTGATAGATTACGAAGGATTATCACTATAAACACGGAGGACGTACTCCGTACGCAGGCTCACCATCCACTTTCCCCGATATCCAATTTTTTGGTATTCTCTGGCCTTGGGCGGGAAGGCTGTGACTGGTGCCTATACAATGTCGTTGACTTTGGTTGTAATGCTTATTCCCTCGCTAACACGGAAACCGTTCAAGGCTGTTGTAAATAAAAGGTTGATACCGGAGCCAAGCCTTTAAGCTAGCCTTTTTAGGTCTAGTGAGTAGATCATTTGTGGAGAAAGCACGGTAAACTTTTGCGAAAGATATAAAATAAACATTACGTGTCACATAACCAGCTCTCACCAGGCAGATGCTGTGCGTGGGAACGCAGCAAAAGAAGATGTAAATTATACGGGCTTGCTCTCGGCGTGGCTCGGAATCAACTGTTGCAAGTAATTAACTGGTCTTCAAACACCAACGTGTTAGCTAAACTTGGGTAATTAACATTCAGCAAGGTGTTTTCGAGGTATCACATGAATGGAGTATATATTCCAAATTTTAGGAGATTTCATCGGACACTTTACAGCGAGATACCTAGTGATGCCTTAATTTTCTGGATGGAAGGCCATTTGAAATCCCCACACTGCCGGGGCAAGAAGAAGGATAACAGACATAAGCCACTTTAAGTGGTTGTTCGATACCAAGTTCCGCATAGCTCGTGGTTCCTCCACCACTTTTGTATGAAAGCCCATCCTTGCCATTTTCTTCCGCTGCCATCTAAGTATGACAAAAAATAAGTCCCAGTACTGGAATGCTGGCCACTGCATGTCCAGAACTTCGATAACCGTGTCTCTATGGCACTGCCAGAGTAGGAAGTCGCTTAGCCGGCCGACACCAGACGTTCGGATTAGGATATCCAGCGGGCTGCCTTCGTTAATATCCATATTGCTATCGAGGATCTCGGCTGTGATATGATTTTCACTCTGTGGCGAGTCGTTGTGGTTCCGCACCGTAGTTTCTATAGCTCTGGCCATTTCATCACGCGAAGTATAGGCTACACATATGTTGAATGTTGCTCCATCACAATTTGCGGTCTTCTCGACCAGCTTTTTCATGAGCTTCCTAATTTTATTAGGAAATAGTTCCAAGCGGCCCAGAAACCGAAACCGAAGTTTTCGTTTATTAGGAGAAGGATATAAGCATTTCAATATCCAAATTTCGAACAGACCCATTAAATCATCCACTTGGTTTTTTGGCCGTTTAAAATTTTCGATGCTGAATAGGTATGCAGTGATGAATTCGACACCGGTTTCAAAGGCAAGATCCAGGACCTGAAGCAGCAAATAAGCTGGAGTTCACGCAGAATTGAGGTGATATACGTTACATTGTTCAAAACATCCGCTCCCAACGTATGGCCTTTTTTGATGCTAAAGCCACGGGATTTGGCGTACCGTCTGTTTCCATCCGCAATAATAGCAATATGCCTGGGAATAGGGCCTTGTTGAACAATGCTCACTAATAGTTTAAGAAACCATTGCGATGCCAATTGGCTCTTTGGCAATCGAACCAGCGGCATATTGACAGAGAGCGGTTATGCGATAAGTGAGCGAAGGGAGTTTGGAATAAACTGATTTCAGCAGCCGGTGGTATTTATCACACAAGCACTTTACAGTGAGATAAGTGACCTGTCAAGCTGGGGATGATGGAATTTGAGCTGCCATTTGCAGTATACTCGGCACATAGTCAACTTCTGCAGCAAGCAGACGGCCGGTAATTTGAAAACAGTGATGATCTTATAATTAGTTTTGTAGTTTTGTATGTTTCTTTTTTTGCTTGGGTCGAAATTGTAAAGCCAAAAATGAAGCAGCACATCGCGAATATCAGCTAACTAGTTAGTTACACAATAGTTCTTCGGCCAATCATCCACCCCTTGGTATATTGACAGTTTAAAAGAATCAAGCAGGCATGCTTCGTATTTTTGGGCACAATGGATGAATGTGCGTCGATATAATTGCTTGTTGATCAGGTAACTCGCCTGCCCACTCGCTTGACTTATTATCGGCCTCCGTGAAAATCCCTCGACCTTGATCTCTGCTCGACATAATCCCCCCCTGGGCTGTCATCAAGGAAAAGCGGTTGCCTTGTTTTTGTTAAAATTGTTCAGAGATGTCGATCCTCAGTCGGCTCCAGCTCCTCACCAGAGCGAGCCGTCCAGCATATTGGACAACAGCCCTGACGTTATACCTCATTGGCCATTTGCAGTCAGGCAGATATCCCCAGACTGTTCCAGAGATCATGCTCGGTGTTGCGTTCTCGGCCCCTTTTTCCTTAGGTAAGTAGGGATAGCTAACTACCTACCTAGGTAGTTAGATAACTTAGCTGCTCCTCCCAGTAAATTCTACTTTGGCTAACTACCATCGAAAAGTTATACAAGGTGGAGGTGATATCCATGACTACGACTCAGATATAAAGAACCCAAGAAAGGGTCAAGACTGGCTAGATGGCCGCTCCATTGAGAAAGCAGATCATGCCTTCGTTTTGTTGGCTTGCAGAGTTGCGACTTTTGGTATAATTCTGCTTGCAGTACCCGCTGCAATACAGACGCCTCAAGTCATGGGCTACGTTTTGCTATGCCTTGGGACTTCATGGGCATATACAACTCCTCCAATTCGACTTAAAGGACGGCCTCTTCTAGACTCGCTGTCTAGTGGAACACTCTACTGGTCAATTTGGGCGAGCGGCTATCATTTACGGGGCGATCAGACAAACTATGGCATACAGAACTCAAACTCAGGAGCTTGGACTTTCTGCTTTTGCATCGGTCTGCAGATGTTCGCTGCAGCTCTTGATCAGAAGGCAGACTCTGCTGCTGGTATTCGGTCAATAGCCACAGCTTATGGAGAAAGGCCTACTGCATTTTTCTCGGCGACATTCTTGTAGAGTTTCTCCCTTTCCTCCCATAGTATCTGGGGAATGATCATTGTACTGACTTCCTGGTTTAGCTTTCTCGCCGCAGTGTCGATGGGTTTGTGGACGGTTTTAGGAGCTGGTACTTTCGTGCTCTCGCTGCTATCACTAGGCATTGTGATAACACCTGAGAAAATAATCCCGGCAGCTTATCACATTGTCCCCTTTCTGGCTGTCTTGGGCGCTGGGTGGGGGGTATATGCAATCTACAGTGCCTATCAAGGGCAGCCTATTATCTGGTGAAGAATAATAATAGGACTCCTTCCATCCCCTTGGGCCCCAGGCCCAGTACCTAGTGACCTTGTCACGATCCTATTAGAAGAGGCCTATTATTATCAGTTCTTTGGAGCCAACATTGGTGGACGTAGGAAACTAGTAACCGTTGATTGATATCCTTCATTGGTGAATATTCATCCGTAGTCACCGATATAGGCTACGTAAATATGGCAATGCTATAGCTTCCATTTATTCCTCTCCCGACGCCATTTGAGCCAACCAACCCGCCTCCTGGTTGCCATACGGCTGAAAAAACCTCAACCTGCCAGCTCCGTCCACAAAGATAATACAAGGAAAATAAACAGCGAGGGCGCTGTACAAGGAACAAAGGAAGTATGGAGGTAGAGGTGTAAGAGAGTTGTCTGTCTATGAAACTGTAGGTCACTTGCTTGATTGGTATAAGAGTATGCTTGCTTGTGCATCTGCCATGGTTTCATAATTTAAGAGTGGGGGGTATGTGAGTGTAGAAAAGTAAAGGGGTTGTAGCATTTTGAATCAAGGATATAGAGGGGAAATGGTAGAGCAGGAGTTAAGCGTGGTATTGGATATATAAGTAAAAGCAAGGTGCGTTTCCTATGTTTCCTACATTGCAATAGACGGGCTAGCTTTACCTGTAGGGAAGAGGTAGGGGAGCAGCTCATTGTATCTCGGTGTGTGGAACCATATGTATAGCCTTGTTGTCTTCCGTAGTGGCTTGAGAGAAATGGACCTTCTTCTCAGCACAGTTAGGCAGTCTTGTCAGCTCTGATACAAATGAGTGACCCCAGAACGCACTATCAGCACCGTATTAGCCTTATAATCCATAATAATGACAGAGAGATGAAGAGTATACAAACCTGGTGTACTTGTTAATATATCTTTCCAGCTTAGTATAGTTCAACCTCCGCTTCTCTGGGCTCATGGTGACAGCCTCCTTGTAGGCAGCGGCCAGTTCCTCGGTGTTCCAGGGATTGATGATAAGGCTGCCATTAAGACTTTGGGCAGCACCGGCAAATTCTGACAAGATGAGCACGCCGTTACGATCCCGCTGAGTAGCGATGTATTCATATGATACAAGGTTCATTCCATCTCTTGTCGAGGAAACGATGCACACATCAGAGACGGCATATAAAGCGATAAGCTCGTCAAAGTTGACTGATTTATGCAAGAAGTGTATAGGCATAAACTCAACAGTTCCTAGAAGTTATGTGTTGGTTAGTCAGTTAGTAGCAAGGGGTAAGTTTGGGGTTCGTACCAAATCTCCCGTTTATCCGCCCTACGAGCTCGTTTACGACAGCTCTGAGGTTCTGGTACTCTTCAACGTCCTGTCTACTTGGGACAGCAACTTGAACCAGCACAACCTTTCCAATCCACTCCGGATGATCGGTTAGGAATACTTCAAAGGCATGAAGCTTCTGAGGTACCCCCTTGATGTAGTCTAGTCTGTCCACACCTACCATCAATTTGACCCCCTGAAACTTTTGTTGAAGTGCAGCTATTCGCTTCTGTACTTTCTCCCTTTTTAGTCCCTCTGTGAACTTCTCGGGATCTATACCGATTGGGAAAGCTCCAACTGTTACAATCTTTCCAAGGAACTCTACTCCGTTGGGTGTGGTCGGTAGACCCCTGAAAATGTAGTAGTTAGCAAAAGAAACAGTGAAACTGCGCAGAAGTGTAAAAAGGACTAACAGTATTCGCGAGCAACTACTTAGGAAGTGACGGGCGTAGTCGTATGTGTGGAAGCCTATGAGATCACAGTGAAGGACTCCGAGCAAGAGCTCGTTCCTGACAGGCAAGATTCGATATATCTCGCTACTTGGAAATGGCGTATGTAGAAAGAAGCCAATCTTGACATCCTTCTTGCTATCTCCAATCTCTTCACGCAGCATCGACGGTAGCAGCATCAGATGGTAGTCATGTACCCACACTAGGTCACCGTCCTTGACATCTCTTGCGATTGCCTGGGCGAACAATCGGTTTGCTTCTTGGTATGCCTCCCACGCAGACTCGTCGAAGGTGATATCTCCCGGGTGATAGTGGAAAAGAGGCCATAATATCGAGTCTGTCAATCACCCCGCCACCGACAGATCAGTATATGCTTTCTCTACCAGTGTCTACAACAATATCCTAAAACGGGTAAAAAGGGGAAGAGAACGAAAAAAAAGACAGCGTAATTACGTACTAGAGAATCCGTTGTAGTGTCTATCCGCCAGATCGTTGTCGATAAAGACCGGAACAGCGTTATAGTCCTCCTTCAGCTTCTTTTTGAATATATCAACTTCGTCGAACGGTACCTCCAGCCCCGGCCAGCCATACCACTGGAACTTCGTTGTCTTGGACAGGCCGCTGAGCCCGCTCACGAGACCCCCCGAGGACATGGAGGACTCATACTTGCCCTGGCTGGAGCGAGAGATGGTGATGGGCAGCCGATTTGAGACCAAAAGCAGCCTCGACTCCCCGCCGCTCTGTATCGCCGGCATGGCTGTGTTTTGTGCTGTTGGCGAGCTTAGAGCGTGGGGGTGTATTGTGAAGAGGCAGTTGTGTATCTGTTCACGCGATGTCCTGCACTTTCCGGCGAGTGAGCGAGGTTCAGAACCGACGGGCAGAGACGGAGGGCAGAGCGAGGCAGGTCGAAGGGAGTAATACCCAGGGCGCAGCAAACGGGTTTTCGACAGATGTGTCAACGCATAGAGAGCAGGACGACGGCGGCGGGACGGACAGATGGCGCTCTTCTCTCGTCAAGGAGAGCTTGCTTGCTTGTTCTTTCGCACGTCACGGCCCGGAACAGGGCGAGCAGTGACTCCAGCGAGCCACCTCCGGGGGAACTAAAAATAAGAGCCGGCGGGGACGAAGCAGGGAAGAAGAAGCAAACTTCCTTGACGCCACCAGCTTGGCGGGAGACGGCGAGGACGAGACGAGCTCTGGACGCAGGATGACGGCAGCGAGGAGCGCAGACGAGAGAGACGCTGGTTGAAGCTGGTGATGTTCGTCAGGAGCTGGCGGGTTGCATCTACGGAGCACCTGGTTGCCTAGTTGTTGACTATGAAGTCGAGCAGGAAGACCGGATGAGACAGCGACAGCATGCGAGACGACGGCCTATGAGAGCTTCTGAGGCTGATAACTAGCGATAGACGCAATATCCAAGCAGCAGGAGAGTTGTTTGGTTCTCGCCTGGCGGGTTCCCTGGAACTGGAGGAGGCAAAGGCTGTGGTGGTGATAAACAAGCAGACGCAAGCAGGAGCAAGTTGGCCTGGCGGTTTATATTTATACAGGCACAACCACGGAGTCGCCAGCTGGGGAGGGAGCTTGTTTACCTGACACCGGCAGCCTTTTGCTTCCTTTCCTTGCTCTATTGCGGCGCATTCCGGCAAGCTCGACCGTTCCTCGAGACTGAAATCTGCCCGGGAGTCAGACTTGCACTAGTTATTACATTTACTTCTCTCTGCTTTTTTCCTCGCCCCAATTGCTCGTATAGAGCAAGATCAGGACCTGCAGGTTCGCTGCTGCTGGGTTTGCACCCCTACGCATAAGACAGCATAGAATGGCATAGCATGGCTTGCTTGCATTCTAGTGTTACGTGAGTGTCATGACAGGGAGGCAAGGCAAGGGTAGTATTAGGGTCGAGATGTAGCTATTTATCTGTTGATAGAAGCGGTAACTAAGTCCTTGCTTGCCACCCGGGGTTTTTATTCCATGATTAAGGATAAAAGCAACGGAACTCGCATTGCTTGCCTAACACATTCTTTCGCAAGGGTTTGATAGCTGGCGGCCATTCAATTACCCTCACAAGGCCGCTGTTTTGCTGCTACAAGACCATCTCCCACTTTGTTCATCGCTGGTCACTTTACCTTCGTGCTCCAGTTTGTTCAGGACCTGTATCACTCCATGCGAAGCAGGTAGATGCAAGCTCTCTGGCACTGCAGCATATATAACCTTGACCAGCTCGATAGGAGTCCAGCCGGAAGGTTTCGTATCACCTGGTTGGCTGCTATCGAGCGAACCGTACTTCAGTACCCGCAGAATCTCGTCTTCCCTTTGCTGCCGATGCCGGATGTACTCTGCTATCTTGGACTTGCAGTTCTCAACCACGGGGCCGTGGCCAGGGTACCCTCTGCCATTTGTACTAGCTTGACCGGCCATCTTCTCCAGGCTGGACATGTATGTCTTTAGCTCTTCGAAGACCGCCGTACCATGGCCCAGGATGTCTTCCAAGTAGACAGTTCAGCTAAGTAATTCTAATCACCTAGCAGCAGGGGAAGAATTGTACTCACTATCACCGGTAAACATGGCTTCTTCTTCCTCCATCAAGAACACAATATGATCTTTTGTGTGGCCAGGTGTATGTAGTGCCTTCACTGTTGCTCCTACCACACTAAACACCTGTCCATCTTCAATGCCACGTTGCCCTTCGCCTTGCTCTGGATCATGCTTGTACACCTGCACCTCAGGGCATATCCGTCTCAAGTCCCGTACACCTCCGACATGATCGTGGTGCCAGTGTGTGAGCAGAGCGTGGGAAACAGTTGCCCGCTCCGTGTTGAGTGTTTGCTGCAACGCCACTGACCATGACGGCTTGCCTTCTCCAGTGTCGATGAGAAGGCGCTTAGCTCCACGGCCTAGTAGATAGGTATTTGTTCCTGGTTACGCAGCGTTTGTTGTTGGCCTCTCTGCATGATGTAATATTGTGAAAGCAGATGCGCATACCTTGTAGCGTGAACTGGGATAACGAGTTAGCCCACTTGCACCGAGTGTTGGTAGCTGGCCCAGACGTACCTTGCCCGGATTTCCCCCTAGTATTCTGATCACAGAGGCACTGAGTCTCTCGACCTCTGCGAGAGGGACCAGTTGCGTTGCCATCGGCAAACGTATCCGTCCACGTTCCCTCCGGGGGATATGATAAGCAGATATGATAGTTATAGAATTAGGGTATCTTTGTCCGTAGCCTTCAAGGATCTATCCAACCTTAGCGAGCAGAACGGACGGACAGAGAGCTGATGTATTGATATGGCTAGCTAGTAATATTGGATATTTGTATGTTTTCTATCTCTTGCGGGTTTCTCTTAGACAATAGGAGGCAGCCTCAATAACACTTTACCTCGGCTGAAATTATTTACTGTTCTTAGTAAGCAGTCGAGTTCAGATGAAAAGAAGCCGAATAATTGAAGGATTGAAGAGTCCAGAATGAAACAAGAAACCTGAATTAATTAATATTCAAGTAGTATATATACACATGCAGGCAAGCAACATGATCTTTGGCTTTTGAGATAAGGTAGAACAGGCAAGTTGACAAAATGAAATACGACCAAGCTGCAACTGCTAGTAATTACCTCCACACCGTCATCAACAGGACATGAACAAAAGCATCAGTTCGACAAAAGAGGCGCAAGGGGGTGTATTTGGTACATAAGGAAAAAAAGAGAAACACACATAGAACCAACGGGCAAAGAAGAAGTAATACAGTAAACAGCAAAGCAATATAAAAATCCCTTTCAATCCTCTATTGGCTGAAAATTAAGACAATATTAGGCTTAAGTCAAGGGGTAGCTGTTTACTGGGCCTTCTTGGCCATGGTGTTCAAGGCGCTTCCGTTCTTGAACCATTCGATCTGGCTCTCGTTGAAGGTGTGGGCGAGCTGGACATCGAAGGAAGAACCATCCTTGGGGTGGACACGGAGAGTCATTGGCTTACCAACGGCGATCTCAGTGCACATCAAGTCAACCATGGCAGTTGGTGGGATACGGTCGTAGTCAGCAGGGTCAACGAAGGTAAGGGGAAGCATACCCTGCTTCTTAAGGTTGGTCTCGTGGATACGGGCGAAGGAGCGGGTGATGATGGCCATTCCACCGAGATGACGGGGCTGGAGGGCAGCGTGTTCACGGGAAGAACCTTCACCGTAGTTCCAGTCACCGATGACAACCCATGGGATGCCGCGGGCCTTGTAGGCACGGGCAGTGGCTGGGACGGAGTCATATTCGCCAGTCTCGAAGTTCTTGACGCTGTTGCGCTCACCGTTCTCGGCGTTGACGGCACCGATGAGAAGGTTGTTGGAGATGTTGTCGAGATGGCCACGGTACTTGAGCCAGGGGCCGGCCACTACAATGCTGTTAGTAATCGACCTTATGGTATAGGATATGCTATCAAAGTAGAGAGGACTTACTGGAGATGTGGTCAGTGGTGGTCTTGCCCTCACACTTGATGAGGATTGGGATGCCAGTGGCGTCCTTTCCGTCCCAGGCCTTGAATGGCTCGAGGATCTGGAGGCGGTCACTGGTTGGGCTGACGGCGACGTTGATGGAAGCACGGTCAGCTGGAGGAGCCTGGTAGGTGTCACGGCCTGGGTCGTATCCGTTGGCTGGCAGACCTTCACCGCTTGGGGGAGCGAGCAGGAACTCGTTTCCGTCCTTATCCTTGAGCTTGTCGGTCAAGGGGTTGAAGTTGAGGGTACCAGCGATTGTGAGGGCGACAACGAGGTCAGGAGAGGCGACGAAAGCGTGGGTAGCAGGGTTGGCATCGTTACGGCCGGTGAAGTTACGGTTGTAGGAGGAGATGATGGAGTTGGGCTCGTTCTTCTTGACATCCTTACGGTCCCACTGGCCAATGCAAGGACCACAGGCGTTGGCAAGGATAACACCGCCAAACTCCTCGAGGGTCTTGAGCTGGCCATCACGTTCAATGGTGGCACGAATCTGCTCAGATCCAGGAGTCACGGTGAAGAGAGACTTGGCCTTGATGCCGTGGTCAAGAGCGTCACGGGCAATGGATGCAGCACGGGACATATCCTCGTAGGAAGAGTTGGTGCAAGATCCAATGAGACCAACCTTGAGCTCAGAGGGCCAGTTGTTGGCCTTGACGGCCTCCTTGAACTTGGAGATGGGAGTAGCAAGATCGGGGGTGAAGGGGCCGTTGATGTGTGGCTCTAGCTCGCTGAGGTTGATCTCAACAAGCTGGTCATACTGGGCGTTCTCGTCAGGGCGAAGTCCCTCAGCGTAGACGCGAGAAAAGTCACCAATGGACTGACGCTTAGTAGCCTTGAGGTAGTCGTACATGCGGTCGTTGAAGGGGAAGACGGAGGTGGTAGCACCAATTTCGGCACCCATGTTACAGATGGTACCCATACCAGTGCAGGAGAGAGAGTTGACACCCTCACCGTGATACTCAATGATAGCACCAGTGCCACCCTTGACGGTGAGAATTCCAGCAACCTTAAGAATGATATCTATGCAACAGTTAGACGCTGAAGATCAATGCTTTCTAAGCTAGAGAAAGGAAACTTACCCTTGGGAGTGGTCCAGCCAGACATTTGTCCGGTAAGCTTGACACCAATGACGTTAGGAGCCTTCAATTCCCAAGGAAGACCAGCCATGACATCGACGGCATCAGCACCACCAACACCAATAGCAGCCATACCGAGACCACCACCGTTAGGAGTGTGAGAGTCGGTACCGATCATCAAACCACCAGGGAAACAGTAGTTCTCGAGCAAGATCTGGTGGATAATACCGGATCCGGGCTTCCAGAAACCGATGTTGTACTTGGCACAAGAGGTAGACAGGAAGTCATAGACTTCCTTGTTGATCTCGTTGGCACGAGCAAGATCCTTGTCACCGCCGAGCTGGGCCTCAATCAAGTGGTCACAGTGAACGGTGGCAGGAGTAGCGACGGATGGCATGCCGGCAGACATGAACTGGAGGATGGCCATCTGAGCGGTGGCGTCCTGGCAGGCAACACGGTCTGGGCGGAGCTTGAGGTAGGACTTTCCACGCTCGATCTCCTGACCATGGGGGTCGTCAAGATGGGAGTAGAGAATCTTCTCGGCATAGGTGAGTGGGCGGTTAAGACGAGCGCGCACAATGTCGAGGTTCTCGGCCATTTTCCTATTACCCGGTTCGGTTAATATGAAGCTCAAGCTTGGATTTCGCCTCGCTAGTTCAATACATACTTGTAGTTGATGAAGTTGCCCTATAGCCGTCAATTAGCCTCTATCTACTCCAAAACCGGTGCAATTGGAGCTCTTACCTTCTCCGAGTTGGTCATTTCGACCTTCTTGTCAAGGTCAGCGGCAGAGGCAAAACCCCGCGCTCCGAGAAGCTGTACACGACGCCCAGCGGTTAGTCAACGTAGCGATTGGAGCCAGAGAGTGGCCGACTACACTTACGAGGCGGGTTTTGGGTGCCTAGAGAGACGATAATTAGCATTGCACTTGAATAATAAACCTGAGGAAGAATCGGGGAAAAAGACGCACCATAGCACTGGCACGAGCGAGTGTGGTGAGCATGATGAGAGTCGATGTTCCAGCACGACTTAAGAAATCAGGGAAGAGTCATCCACCGTCGAGGCCGCACTCGAGCAATGGAGCTGGTTTATATAGAGTGGAGTGGTTTGGTGAAGGGAGTTGGTGAAGAGAAAGAAGGAAGAAGAAGAGAAAAGCAGAAGATGTCGCAGAAGTTGAGGTTTAAAGCAGAGCAGCCGGGAAGAAGGTCCCAACACTGGCCAATCAGCGAGCTGCCAAATGGTCGTTACTAAGGCCCGCCTGTGCCGAGGTGCCCGCAAGAGTCACGTGATGGGGGTAACTGCGGAGGCGGAAGACGCGCTGGGAGAGAATGACTAAGCAAAGAGATGAGAACTTGGGGAAAAATTTGCTGGTCTGCAGACGCGCTAGAGCGAGACGGGCCTAGCGTAGGGCTGCACTGCCAAATCGGACGGCGCTGGTTGGCTGCGTTACAGAGTGGAGTCCACGTGAGACGACGGCGACGGCGGCCGAGTGGGTCACGGGGCAAGACGGTCCGTCTCTCTCCGTCGTCCACATCACAGGCAAACCCTTAAAGGAAGGGTTCTTCCGCTGTCGGGCTATTTGTTTCCGTCTGCTTACTCATTTCTACTGCTTTGATCGAACGTTTACAAAGACTAAAGACAACAAGTTTGCGGTGCCTGAGCAAGCATTTGGAGTTGACTGTTGACTGTTGACCGTACGAATGCTTTACAGCAGGTTGTGGCCGGCCTATGCGCCCGATGTCTGAGATCTGGTCCCTCTCCGTCAAGATGAATACGAAGCTTCACCAGGGTTTCATTTGCTGCAGGTTACCGTCGCTCCCACAAAAGCCGCACCTTGTGAGCCGTCTTTCACCCATAGCATATGATACTCCATACGGAGTACAAGCCCAGCCTATACTGTATACAAACAGCTTCAAGTTCACTGCTTTCCACTCTATAAGTACCTCACGTAATCAAAATGCTCGATGTTTCTGTCAATGTTAGGAATGCAAAGGAACGCCAGGGAGGCAGTGTTGACATCGATCAGAATTTGGAGTCAATAACGATTTAAATGTATTACAATTAAAGTTTAGTTGCGCTTACTAAATAACTTTATTTCCACACGAAAGAAAATTTGTTGCTGATAACAGAGATATCAAGACCAAAAGCAGATCAGCATCAAGCATCTTATTATATCCATACCATACGTAATACACACACGACAATGGGTTCAATTCGCCGGTCAAAGACGAAGCGCCGTACTAGGTGCGCTCTACTCTCCGAGTATCTTCCTTCCGTTTGATTCTAACCTCTGTCCAGGGACTACGACCAAGTCGTGGCCGACCTACGTTCGCGCAAGCATCTCACCCAGTACCACAACACAAAAGACGTCGAGGACCTTCCCGGTTTAGGAAAGCATTACTGTGTCGAGTGCGCCAAATGGTTTGAAAGTGATTATAACCTTGTCGCCCATAGAAAGGGGAAGAATCACAAACGAAGGTCGAGCATTCTCCTGCTTGGAAATGATTCTTGTCCAGGACTTAGGCTAACTTCTTGATAGGCTCCGAATGCTTCTACATGAACCCCATACACAGAAGACAGCTGAGGCAGCAATTGGGCTCGGAGTAGATAATGGGCCGAGGACAACCGATAGCAACACTGCTATGGAGATCGAGACCGAGGTGTGAAGTTCATTTCCAATAAATAACCAAGCTGAGGATGAAGTATACATTATTGGGTATTGTCTGCATGGATTGAATGAATATTCGGTGGTTGGCTCCCCGAATAAGTGGACTGCTATAACCCGCTCGCGGGGTCGATAGATGGGGGTTTAAGGAGGGGGAAGAACTGAAATTCGGAGAGATTGGTTCCAGCCCGTATTTCCTCAAGAATTGAGCGAGTGAGAAACTGATAATGAACCTTCTTACCAGAACCCAAGTTAGGAGGATATACCCCTTACAGTGGATAATGACAACAGATAGCTACTTCTGGATGGATCATACAGTCTTATTCATAGCACACCGAGCAGTGGTGCGTGTCTCTATTTATATTGCTACCATAAGTTGCCTCTCGCTGAATACTTTCATCATCCATTCATATATTGCCCACTGCAACGGATCCATGGTTAGCTCCTTATACGAGCGTTGGTATCTTAGAAAGAGGGAAGCTTACCTGTACAGCGTTCACCACAAAGGCTCGCAGGCTGCATACCCCCAGCCCACTATAAAATACCCGAAAACCGCCAGTCCTGTATGCTTCCCTACTTATCTCCCATGCTCCAAGCACTCTAGGCCTCCCCTGAACCTCTCCTAGCAGTGGCCGGGCCTCTGTGGTAGTAGGAGCAAAGGATGCCTGAGTTTGGAGCCTTGTCTTTATGACATCCAGGGGAAATACAGATGCCCAAGTCACGATACCCGCTATACCACCACATATAAGCGTTTTTAATGCCATCTGATGCACCGTTTCATCACTCCTTGTGGCCATGCGCTTGCATAGCTCATATGACCAGAAACTATTCCATTAGCATTCAGCGAAAAGTATCCAGAGGAACATTAAGGCATACTAAAATCCGTATCCCACGGCATCTCTCACGCTTGTAACGCCTCCGCCAAAATATAGCCCCTTCACTCCATTGCTTCGAACAATACTCTTTGCAACTTCCCAAGAAGATGCTGCTGCCGCACCAGTGCCACTCTGCAATTGGGCTCTGCATTTCACTAGCTCTGTAGGCGAAGAAATCAGCCAGCTAACCATCCCCCCAACCGCTCCGGCAACCCATATTTGGCTTAAGGAAGCCTCTAGGGGCTCTGTAGGGTTCTGCACCCGGGGTTCCAAACCGGTCAAGCAGCGGTTGTAGCTGGTGAATAATAGTGCGTTTAAGGCGCCATATGTTAGTATCGGGGCCGCAGCACCTACATTGAAAATGTTAGAAAGGGCATCTTGGAAGTATATATTGAGTATCAGTATTGTACCTCGAACTAAGGAGCTTGTTGATTCAAACTGCCGGGAGTATGTACTTGATCCCCTTTCTCCGGCTGTATTGGCTTGGAGACGTACTTTAATTATATCAAGTGGGTTACCAATGATTATCCCCACGGCTCCGCTGAGGTACCCGGCCCAGAAATCTGCAGACATTGATGCATCTCCCTACCAGTGGTAGCCTATTCAAACACAATGTACCTCTTGACAGGGTACCCTCGGAATTATTGAAGACGTATATCACTTTAGGTGGGATGTTTGGTGGGGGTTGAGATACCGAGGTTAAATTAAGATCACGTGGTACCGTGCGCATTTGGCGATTTGACGCGCTGAACTTTCTTTAGTCAACCAAACAAACGCGTTTGGACGTCAACTCCATCAGTCAACGACAAGGCAGCCATTTGGTCCATCGCAGCTTTTTGGACGTTTTGATGTACGTATCACTCCTCCTAGAGACTGATTTCCGACTTTGTTACTTACACTACATCTATAGGCATCGACCCAAGTCTTCCGTCGCTGGATCGACGCCCTCCAAAACTGGCCGTCTTTACTCCGTTGGGCCTCAGGCTTCACTAGCCCTCTCGAAACCTTTCAAATGCCCTGGTTCAGAGACCCGTCGAGTGTCTGACAAACCCGCCCGCAAACGCCGTAAAGTGAACTATGCTGGGGCAGATGGTAGCGTTGACGATGATGGCGCCAAACCATGGACAAATGAGGATAGACTCGCCCTCGCAAACCGTGACGCAAACCGCTTCCCAGTATTCAAGGTCAAAGATAAAGAAATCGCCTTTCGCCAACGATTTCATGTCCCTCTAATCGACAAGTCGAGTGGTGACTATAGTTCTGGCCGCGCCGCTCCGACTCTGGGGATGCGGTGCGGAGCGTCTTTTGTCGTTAAACCTCTACATGACCCTAGCGGAGAGTTTGCAATCGTACTTTATGATCCAACTATCGACGATAAACCGAATAACAAAGAAGAAAATAAAGAAAACTCTGAGAATAAAGATGGTAAAGAGGTCGAACAAAAGAAGCTGGATCAGCCGCTAGTGCATAAAAGTCTAGCAGAGATATTAGGAATCAAGAAAAATGTTGATGAAAGACCAAAAGTACCCGTTGTTATTGATCCGAGACTTGCAAAGATCTTACGACCACATCAGATTGAAGGTGTAAAGGTATGTTTCTATTTACATTATAGCTTTTATCATATGCATCATGCCTAATATTTGTAGTTTCTCTATCGATGTACCACTGGACTAGTTGATAAGAATGCCAATGGGTGCATTATGGCAGACGGTATGGGTCTGGGGAAGACAGTAAGTCCCTCTATTTGTTACTTTTTCCATATTAAGCTGACCTTTATAGCTACAATGCATTACTTTGATGTGGACTTTACTTAAACAATCACCGGAGGCAGGTAAGCCGACGGTCCAAAAGGCTGTCATTGCATGTCCAGCTACACTAGTAGGCAACTGGGCAAATGAACTGGGTATGTTTGCACATTACTGCTTTTACATACAGTATTCTAATGACTATAGTGAAATGGCTGGGCAAGGACGCTATCAACCCCTTTGTAATCGACGGAAAAGCCTCGAAGGCCGAGCTTATATCCCAATTAAGGCAATGGGCAATTGCCTCTGGCCGTTCAGTTGTCAGACCTGTCTTGATTGTCTCCTATGAGACACTGCGAATGAATTCGGATGAGCTTCGAGATACCCAAATCGGGCTGCTTCTCTGCGACGAAGGCCACCGGCTAAAGAATGCTGACAGTCAAACTTACGTTGCACTGAACAAGCTCAATGTCCAGAAACGTGTTATTCTTTCTGGAACGCCTATTCAAAACGACTTATCTGAATATTTTAGTCTTCTCGACTTTGCAAATCCAGGCATTCTGGGATCACGCAGTGAATTTCACAAGACGTACGAAATCCCTATTCTCCGTGGCCGTGATGCGGACGGGACCGACGAACAGCAGCAGAAAGGCAATGAGCGCCTCGCGGAACTTCTCAACCTCGTTAACAAGTTCATTATTCGAAGGAGCAACGACCTTTTGTCCAAATACCTCCCCGTCAAGTACGAGCACGTTGTCTTCTGCAACCTTGCTCCATTCCAGCTAGACCTATACAATCACTTTATCCAAAGCCCTGAAATCAAGAGTCTCCTCCGTGGTAAAGGAAGTCAGCCCTTGAAGGCAATTGGTATTTTGAAAAAGCTTTGCAATCATCCCGATCTTTTGAAGCTCTCAGAAGATCTACCAGGATGCGAGCAATATTTCCCAGAAGACATGACAGTGTCCAATGGCCGCAGAGGCGACCGCGAAGTCAAATCTTGGTACTCTGGCAAGATGATGGTCTTGGATCGAATGCTTGCACGTATCCGACAGGATACTAATGACAAGATCGTCCTAATCAGCAATTACACGCAGACATTAGACCTCTTTGAGCGTCTGTGCCGGGCGCGTGCGTACGGCTGTATACGCCTGGACGGAACTATGGGTGTCAAGAAACGATCGAAACTAGTCGATAAGTTTAACGACCCCAACGGAGAGGAATTTGTCTTCTTGCTGTCTAGTAAAGCAGGCGGATGTGGTATCAACTTGGTTGGAGCAAACCGCTTGGTGCTCTTTGACCCCGATTGGAACCCTGCTGCTGACCAGCAGGCATTGGCTCGAGTGTGGCGTGACGGTCAGTCAAAGGACTGTTTTGTCTACCGGTTCATTGCCACGGGCACGATCGAGGAAAAGATCTTTCAACGCCAGTCGCATAAACAGTCACTATCATCATGCGTGGTTGATTCAGCCGAGGACGTTGAGCGCCACTTCAGTCTCGACTCGCTTCGAGAACTTTTCCAGTTTAAGCCAGACACGACCAGCGACACACATGATACGTTCAAGTGTAAACGTTGCAGGCCGGACGGGGCACAGCATATCAAGGCGCCTGCCATGCTGTACGGCGACACCAGTTCTTGGAACCATTTTGTCAACACAGGCGAGAAGGGCCCTATGAACCGGATCCAGGACTTACTGTTACGACAGGAAACGACGGAGCAAGCGGTCAGCGCTGTCTTCCAGTATATCAGCCATTAATTGGAGTATTACTTTTTCACTTTCTTAGGGGCCGTCAGCAGCCCTGGTCATTTTTTCCTTAGTATGTCTGGAGCGAGGTCTTGGGATGATTCTCTTATATGCCACATGATTGATATAATATTCAAAGAAACGAAGCGTAGAATATAGCGAACTAAAATTATTTAATCGTTGTTTGTTTATACTGATGCCCCTTTAATATTTTATTGATATAGCCATGCGCCCTGAGCTAAGGCCTGGGATGTCGTCATTGACGGTTTAGCTAGTGTCTTGGGTATAGCGACGACGTTTTGCTACATCTCAGATTCTCTGCTACACAAACCATCAGGAGGCCCTACATGTCAGATAGTTCTAGAGCTTCACTTTTCAGCTCGAAAGAAGAAGCCTGCCAGCCCCCTTGATAACCGTGACAGCCTACGGCCTTACCTGCAGGCATTGATAAGCGGAAGTCTCCTTCTCCCTTTCGTTTTCATTCACCGCCGCGGCCAAGTTCTGTAGCATCACAGCAATTGGCTGCTCTCCGCCGCCTCTCAACGCCCATCAACACCAGCATCGATCCGCCATGAGTCGATAACTAGCAGCATGCGAACAGAGTCCTTTTTCAGATATACTTAGCCTGCCTATCTCCCATATACGCACGGCCATGGCAACGATATACATGGACCCGTCCATCCAGCGGTTGCTAAACGATAAGCTTTACGATAAGAGGAAACAGGGTGCTTTGGAGTAGGCGTCTCATCAAGCCCCCGTCATCGATAGAGGAGAGCAGAGTAATAAGCTAACGGGATACTTTGTCCTTTCTATAGGCTCGAGAAGACGATCAGGGAATCTATCGCGAGAGGTGACCATACAAAAATAAAGGGAATAATCGATCAGTTATGCCATGAATATGCCTACGCCGTACACCAGCCCCATGCCAGAAATGGAGGCCTAATAGGCCTGGCGGCGGCAGCTATTGCTTTGGGATCCGTGAGTGACGCCGGAAATGGGGAGATATACATGAATGATAGAGAAAATAGCGATTAACCAGTGGGTTAGGATGAGGTTGCACCCTTTCTGAAAGAGATTGTGCCCCCAGTATTGGCATGCTTTACTGGTCAGGATGCTCGAGTTAGGTACTATGCCTGTGAGAGCATGTATAATATTGCCAAAGTAGCCAAGGGGGAGATACTACTCTACTTCAACGATATCTTTGATGCTCTGTGCAAGGTTAGTCGTGGCTATTTCCAGGCCACCACTGTAATAACGGCATGCTAACTGCTTGAGCATAAAGCTAGCATCGGATTCAGAGCTGTCGGTAAAGAACGGTGCAGAGCTCCTCGATCGATTGATAAAAGATATCGTTGCTGAATCTGCAGCCTCCTACGTTTCTGCGCTGGACGCCCCACGGCCGGACATATCAGACGAAGAGGATGGAAAAGACGTAGACGAGCTCGAGGATATACCCACGGCATTTTCACTTGCAAAGTTTATACCTCTCCTTCAGGACAGGATATTCGTTCAAAACCCTTTTGCTCGGAATTTTCTCGTCTCATGGCTTACCTTATTGGACACAATACCCGACCTCGAGCTTGTTACCTACCTGCCTGCATTTTTAGGGGGCTTGTTCAAATTTCTCAGTGATACAAATCGAGACGTGCATACTGCAACTCAGGGGTTACTAGAAAGGTTTCTCAATGAGATAAAACGAATAGCAAGAGTTAAAAAGGGTATTGCTGAAAGTCGGCGTGACCATGAGAGTGGACAATCAAAGGCATCCGCCAGTGATAGTAAAAGTGTTGACTCCGAATTGAGCATTTCACATGCTGTGAGTGACAATGCCATTGCAGACTCCGAGTCTGCCACCGCCAACGAAGACCATCTTAACAACCCTTATGGTGACTGGGTGCCCGGTCAGGATGTTCATGTCGACCACTCGAAGATACTGGAGATTCTTGTCAATTTCGTTGACACTAATTCAGGTATTTGCCCGTGATTATATTATCTTCTCATTCAATTACTTACAATTCATTATTTACATTACAGAGGATGAAATTCAGTTAACAGCACTCCGCTGGATTGATAGCTTCTTCGAAATTAGTCCCGCAGACATATTGCAATTTGTTCCACGGCTTCTGTCCCAAGTACTCCCGACCCTTTCAAGCGGCTCGGATGAAGTAAGGCAGGCAGCCAATCGTGTGAATAACTCTCTTATGCAACATATCGTCTCTCTGACGGATGAAGCTCCTCAAAACGAGGGACCCAAGACATCCCCTCCCCTTGCAGCTGTTCAGGCTAGCAGTAAGGAAGGGGAGGGCCGCCGAACTCCCACTCCCGTTACAAGACAGGCATCAATAGCGTCCAGCAAACAAACGTCACGGCCGGCGTCCAGGACCGAACCAACTTCTGCATTAGCAACTCAACCATCAGAGCAAACATTGGAGCAAACATCAGACCTGGACTATGCTGCTGCGGTCAATGCTCTTACTCTTCAATTCCTAAATGAAAACGAAGCCACAAGAGTTGCTGCACTGGCGTGGCTCATAATGCTTCACCGAAAGGCTCCCCGGAAAGTCCTTGCTTTTCACGATGGAACGTTTCCAGCACTCCTTAAAACACTCTCAGACCCCGCAGAAGCTGTTGTCACTCGAGACTTGCAGCTTTTATCCCAGATATCTCGAAACAGTGAAGATAGCTATTTCACATCTTTCATGGTGGATCTCCTCCAACTATTCTCGACGGACAGGAAGCTCCTTGAAGGCCGTGGTAATCTTATCATTAGGCAGCTTTGCATGAACCTGAGTCCAGAACGAATATATCGAACGCTAGCAGATTGTCTTGAGAAGGAAGAGGTAAGGCACTGGTTTTCTCCGTCCCGGGCGGAGCATGTTGAATGCTGATGTTTTCGTAGGACATCGAATTTGCCAGTATCATGATCCAGAATCTCAATAACAACCTCATAACCGCCCCCGAGCTTGCCGATCTCAGAAAACGATTAAGAAACCTAGAAACTAAAGTAAGTCATATTGGGCTTGTAGTTCGGTATCACATATATTTAACACATCTTTTTAGGACGGTCAACTGTTCTTCGTTGCCCTCTTTAGATCATGGTGTCACAACTCTGTAGCAACATTTTCCTTGTGTTTGCTTGCTCAAGCTTATGAACAAGCGTATAATCTTTTGCAGATATTGTGAGTCTTTGAGTTCCCGGTTTTGTGTATCGCCTATGCTAATCAATTTCAGTGCTGAGTTAGAAATGACTGTCAACATGTTGATTCAAATAGACAAACTGGTCCAGCTACTCGAATCACCGGTATTTACCTGTAAGCCAATACCCCCAGAAGCACACCGGTAGAGGCCATTACTAATTCTGTGGAAGACCTTCGCCTGCAACTCCTCGAGCCTGATAAATATCCTTATTTGTATAAATGCCTTTACGGCCTTTTAATGCTGCTCCCACAGAGCTCCGCGTTCGCAGCGTTGAAGAACCGCCTCAACAGCGTCAGTAATATCGGGTTACTGTATGCTGGAGTGCGACCGTAAGCCAAACCACATTAGAATGCCTATTCGCAATCCCAAGCTAACTGCCGTATCTAGGCCGACGATGACTGGATCAACGAGCAGTGGACCATACGAACGTTCCGGAAGACTTAAGGCTCGCGAAGAGAGTGCCATCCGATGGGCCGATCTGCTTGACAAGTTTAAGAGTGTCCAGGAACGATCGAGAAGATCTCGGCGTAGATCTCAGAGAGATATTGAATTGGACAGGAACGGGATATCAGCTTCACCTATGGCTACGACAACACTTCCCCTTTATGGATCAAATACCGGAGGCATCGACAGGACGCTTTCCGACATTCCGGTCAGTGCCCTCGGGATCGGAGGTGGTGCCCGACGTCAAGGGGCTCAAGGCGATTCTCTTGGGGCCCAGAAGGGCGGATCGACGGCAAAGCCAAAGACACCTCTTGGGACATTTGGTCGGTTAAGCGGAATCGGACAGAGGAAGTCAAAGAAATGATGGATGATAGACACATATAAACTAGTTACTCAAGGCACACGTTCTTACATAGTTGGCCGACTTTTACATAGTTATTCTTTTAATAAACCCTGTCAACTCTAACAACCAGCCCGTCTCACATATCTAGTGATCATCTTTTCAGATTTCCATAGTTAACCCGCGCGCCGAGACTGTTTCATCTTCTTCCGTGAATCGCTGCCAATCCCTTCTCTTCCAAGGGATATGTTCACGAGAGGAAATTTTCCAGAACCCCAGTACATGTATATAGATAGTATCAACCGTAAAATTAATATGATCGACTTATGTCTTTGGCAGATTGCCATATAATAGCCTATTTACTTCCCTGTTAATTATCCGTCTCCCTTGCCTGCTCAGTGCTGTATATAGATATCTTCTCAACACATCCTTGGCTGATTCAAATGTTGTATCCATCCTAGAACGTTCATACATTCCTCGTAAAGTAACCCCTTTTGAAGCCCATGTCACATTTAGAAGTCAACAAAAGGAAAACACGGATTCATTGTCTTCGGGCAAGCAGGTCCTTGGACAGCCGCACCTGAACTCAGGGAGTATGAGGGACGGGAAGGCTCGTACATTTTATATCCGGCACGCGCCTTTGTAGTCCATACCGTGAGGTCCAAACACATTCAACCTCGAAATATAGAGGCCTCTTAGAGGTAAAAAGGGGTTGATGAGCATCAGGTAAATAAATATATACATGGGTTAAGCGCATATATACGTTGCTACCTCAGGGAATATTAGATAACTAATCCCGAGACTAGCTGAGAATCTTTGAATCCCGTTAAATTAATCATCTCTATATGGCCATGCATTTTCCCACGCTTCCCTCTCTGCTTCATTGCTCGCCATGCACTCCATGAATTGCTCCTTGACTATTGCCAACTTCTTCGTAAGAGCGTCGTAATCCTCGTGGCTAGACCAGCCGTCCCAGCCATGTTCTGTACCCCCCAGAGCTTCTAACACGTCCCCCTTCAATTGAACCCCTTCTTCCCATCTTTGCTGGTCAAATTCCTGTGCTGCAATATCAGCTTCGGTGAACTGAAGCGGACATGGGAGGCCGTCTGGGCCAACGAGTTTCTTCCACTCGAACGAGAGCTGCATTATCTGCCCCTTTATGATGGGTTCTCCGTCGTTGAACACTTGAGAGATAAGTGAAATGATTTGGCTGCCTAGGATTTCTGAATGCTGCAATGCTTTGAAGACAGGCATGTTCTCGCGGCCAGAGTGTATTTCGTATATCTTATACAGGGACTGCTTTGACTGTAATTTCTTGGCTTCTTCCTTCTCAGCTGTGCTCAAGGACTCAAAATCGTCTGGTAGCGGAGGCAAGGCTGTGAGACCAATGGACGGTTGGGGTCCGGCAAAGTCAAGAAAGCCTGGAGTTCGAGCTTGTTGGAAAAGTGGTGCGATATACGTGGCTTGCCAGTCAATGATCGAGAGTATTTTTGATGGGTCGTCTGGGTCGACAAAGATATTATTGTCATGGAGGTCACCATGCCATAGAACCGGAATATGTACGGATGTGTCTTTGGGAAGAAGATATGCTGCGACCTTCTCAAAGTCATCCAGCACATCAAGTTTGTTCTTTGCTGTAGGCTCATAGCCTCCAGGACCACCGAATATTCCTTCTGGCCGCGGGAATCTAAGTCCTCTCACAATGCATTCTCTCTCGCGCCTAGAGGAGGCTAGATTATAATCTAAAGCGGAGTTCCCTATGGCGTATTACGGTGGTTAGTGAGGAACAAGATAATATAGTATTAGCAGTACTTACAAGGGCCTTTGTCTGTATACACAGCCCTTCTCCCGTCATGTATAAACTTCCTCTCAGTGGTAGGCCCAATGATAAAGTCGCAGTAAGAGGTATCAAGAAACATGTTGTGATGCCGTGCAAGGTCCTGCTTGTGGTATAAACTCCCGATATGATGGAAGTGGTGGGCCAGGAGGGATTTTTCCAGCAAAATAACGCTTTTGATCAAGTTTATCTTCTCATCATTCTTCATAGAAGGCCACTTGGAGCTTAGCAGGACCCCCTTAGCCTTTTCCATAATAATGTACTCTGCACCAACATCATTGTTAGATGTATGCGGATTCCAGTCATACACCTTTGGAATTGGCAGTCCAGCAACTTTTCTCCCCTAGAAATGTATCAGTAAAACCCCTCTATAAGATCCTTATACATTCACTAAAGCAGTAGGTAAACCTACAAAGTCCATGGTGGCCACCTCGCTGGCGGTGGTAAAGAAAGGCAACCCAGCGTTTCTGTTAGGCACCTTTGCAACCACCTGGCGCCCATCATGCAAAGTAATGAGAAAGACCTTGTTGTGGTCTCCCTCAGGCAGCTTTTCCACTTTCACGCAAGAGGAAATATCGCAGCCCTGGGATATAGCAGCAGCTCGAACGAGCTCTGTCATGTTGAATTTGACGGACCGGTCTGCCATCTGCTTTTTTTCATTGTAGAGCCAGCGGCCGCCAGTATATCGATAGAAGCTCTCATCGTCCCAATGCGAAGCTAGACAGCCATTAGCCACCATCTGCTTGCACATCCAATGGGGACATACCAGTGTGGCATTGAGATGTAGACATCAATCTGGCCCGGCAAAAAGCACCATGGCTGGTTGTCGAGTAATAGGTTCTGGTAGAATACCGAGAAAGGAGGCGAAACAACCCCATATCACCATATAAATACAATAAGAAACAAAACCAGCAGAGCCTGCTGAGACTGCCGGTAGGTATACATATATGTACCTCGCCGAAAAGGATGGTTGATGTCAGAAGTTAGTTAAATAGCTTGCATAAAAAACAACTTACGCTGCATGACCGTTAACTAGTCGACTAGTAGCTAACTAACGATTACAACCATGCAACAAAATAGGGATTTGAATACTCTGCCCCTTGACGGTGTCGGTGGAAATCAGGTATTTGCTCGATGGATTGAAGATATAATAATGCATCTTTCCACCACAAAGTGATAAAACATGCATAGCTTTCTCAAAAGAAACATATTCTGTCGCTCTCTTGCCTTCAAAGCCTTCCTAGTCGTGGTACAGCCCTTGATCAATCCTCCTCCCCGGAAGCAGCCAAAAGTCACAGCAGACGGCGTTTCCTGTCATCCCTCCACGGCGGCCGTTTCAAGTCGTTAAAATTATATAGGCTCCAGGCTACTTTTGTGCGTTGCATGTGGCACTGAGCAAGCCGTCTTCCTTTACTTCCCTCCCCATTTGGAGGATTTGCCGCCGGTCGACTGCTTCCGTACAGTGGTTGCCGATGGGGTTGGAGAGACAGCTGGGCTGCTTGGGCCGTAGACGTATTCTCCGTCGACATACTGGGCACCGTAGGTGAGAGTATGTCGGTTCTTGCGGCGAGCATATCTGTTTTCTAGACGGCGGAATTCCATGACTGCAAATTGATATATAATTAGCTAGCTGTCTAGGCGATTGATTGTTGTATTTGATAAGCGTCAACACACTTTCTTCGATCTTGTCCTTGAGACCCATTTTGGCTGTATGTGAAATGTAAGAGCCGGCTCTTATATTGCAGTATATAGTGAGAGAAATGTCTCTTTGTCGGAGACGATAAGTCAAATTAAAAGAGATGTAAACGACAGATAGATAGCTCAAAAATGTATATAGACAGATAAAAGAGTGTGATGAGCTGTGAAGAAGAGAATGAAGAGGTAGAAGCTGTTTATTCAGAGAGAAATAGATCAACTATATCACCGTCCTGCGGAATAGAACAACTGTGGCTACCAACATATTAGGCTCAACGGGGACTCGAAGGCGTTATATATACGTGTGTATGTTGCGCACATCTTCCTCCGTTCAGCGTGGGTATAGTCTATACGGACGGAGTCCAGGGGTGTCAGACGAGATTAGGCAATTTCTTGCTGGATTCCGCTGATCAAGTTAAGGATCTTTGCGTTAGAGTTGTCCTGCACAGCCGTCCGGGGGGGAGGGGGTATGTAGCTGTATACGGAGAACATGTACCATTTTTTCAGGGTAGTTTCCCGAAGTCAAGACCCAAAAAAATAAAAAGGAGCAGCAGGTGTCCTGGAAACTTTTTCTGGGCACTCCGGCTTGATACTGACAAGGGCAACGGGGTATTAGACGGGGTTGCTCATCCTCACACCCGTCGTTTCGGGGCCTTCGTTCAGGGGTCGTTCGGTTACGCTAGTCAGGGGCTGCATCGCAACCTGACGGCCGTGGGGCTTCAGACGGGTCAAGGGAGACGGAACAAGTGTAGAGATGCGAGGTTAACTCTAAAGAACATGATAGATGCAGAATATGAGGTGCAGCAGAGCGAGCAGAAGTGCTCCGTACGGAGTTGGATGTGGGAGGTTGGAGATATGTTACAAGGACCCCGTATGAGATATCCGGGCAACTACAAGCACAACACGAAGACGAACTAGCTTTCGCTAACAGTAAAGTCCAGGCTTCCAGAAAAGCGGATAACAGGCGAGCAAATTGCGTTTCATTTATTAATTGATATAACCTGGGCTGTCTATGAAATAAGAGGGACACGGGAGAGAGACCTAGAGATATATACAAGAACACGCAAATGGAGCCCATACTGGACGAATGTGATAACGTCATAGATCGGGCAGGTGACTTATATAGTTGGGATACGATGCAGATATCGTCTATGAACGTACGGAGTACTCCGTAAGCATGCAGCCATATAATTCCGCAAGGTTGGGGATTATAATATAGGAAAGGTAGCTATATATTATAGACGAGCACTCCATCAAAATGCCAAGGAGGGGCGTTTGTGCGGATGTGCTTCCGTGTTACTATGCAGAAGAATATATTAGATATCTCTGTGTAATATAGACGGCGTTCTTGCGAGGATAACGGGACAAGGCTGGGGAACGGTGACTTACAGAACATAGTCGTCTAAGCTAACGACATCCGGGTCGCTGAAGAGTAGGTAGAAGTACTTGAGTGTCTCGCCTATCCAGAAGGATTCCATCTCGTCCTGGAAAACAGGCTCTTTGCTGGTGACATCTCGAATGGCGGAATGGGCGTATTCAGCTCGCGTGGCGCGCTCAATGGCATTGAACATCTCCCAGCCTTTCTCCCGCCAGGATTCGTCGCCGGTGATACGATACATGATGAAGACCGACTCGATAGCTTCGGGGCGAAGGATATACTTCGCCGAGTTTACTTTCGTCATACCGGGAGGGATACGCTCGTCCCTGATATGCATGTCAACAAGCTGTGCGTGCGACATGGAGGTAGAGGTAGCTACTGCTGCTCCACCCGGAATGGGCTTGGACGGATCCGCGACGATGCGGTCAGGGATAGGTGTTTCGCGTATGTCGTCTCGTTTGGCAATGTTGCCTCCAGCCGCGGGAGACCGAGTCTGCTGCTGTTGATTGTGGCCCATATTTTGTTTCTCGGGGGAGGGTGGCGTTGCCAACGCCTCAGGATCGGCTTTATGAGTGGCAGTGGGTTTTTTCACGGCTTCGTTGCCGCCATTCTTCATTCCGGTAAGGGAGTCCTGGTTGGATTTTTTGATTTCATATGGATAGACAGCGTGGTTGTATGCCGTCTGATTCCATTCACAACTCTGCATATCCTTGCATGGAAGCACCGCAAAGGCCTCTGGCATAATTTGGGTTGCCGTTACGTTGTACGCCCAAAAACAGGCGTCTGCCATCTTTTTCGCAATTTCGAGGTCCTGATCGAGGCCAAAGAGCCTGGAGCCAACTCCAAACATACCCCCAACGAAACAGCCAAGATGTGAGGGGTGGTATTTGTAGTTGAAATACTGTTCGTCCCCCTTCCTGACAGAAGTGGTGGTGTCTGCAATGAAAAGGATATCCCTGGAGTCTGGAAGCATGGGCCTGAAAGCAATGTGCTTCATAGTTGCATCCCTGGCTAGCTTGTACATGTTTTTATACTGGTCATTTAGGCCACCTAGGAGGGCATACGTCTTTGGAAGATACTCATAGACTGAATCCGCGAGAGCGGCCAACGTGTATGTTGCGCTGAGTACTCCTGGTGGGTATGAAAGGCCCTGCTCCTCGCACTGGTCTTCAAAGTCGATCTCTGGTTGCTGCCAGGGCTTGTCATCCGGTATCTTCAGTTTGGAAGGGGGTGCTGTCTCGACCTTTGGCACTGACGGCGTGCCATCGTAGTTCGCTGGCTCCTCTCCGGGAAGCAACTTGTTCTCGTCCCGCTTCCCAAGACCGGCATTGTCTTGTTGTGGCTTTTGTTGCTGTGATGAGGACCCTGCAGTATCTGGGTTAGACACTGGAGAGTCAGGGCTTTGCTCTGCTGGTTTGCTCTTCTTCCTCGGGAGAGTTTTGCATCCCGAAGCGTCCAGGAACGATGGCCAGAGGCCGGGGATGCTTGTATCAGGTTGCCATTTCTCCAGGGCGTTTGTGATACGCGCTATTGCATCATAGTAGCGGTTGTTCTCAGTAATCTGAGCTAATCTAGTGAACTCGACAGAGAGCGAGCCGAGTTCAGCCAGGACAACCCTCTTGCCCGAGCGGTGACGCTGGGATGCATATTCCCTAATTGCAAAACTGGTTAGAAAGAAGCGAGCTAACTATTCCCTTGCAAAAAAGAATCCAAAACACCAAAACAAAAGCGCATATATAAATAGAGCCAACTTACGGAGCCCACATGTAGTAGGTAACAGGCATCCTGTTTGGGGTGTCAAACGCACCCATCAGGATATCTGCCAGTTCAATGGCCTTGTCGAGAAGCGTCCCGTAGCGTCCGTCCGAGATATCATATGCACCAATTAGACCGCCGAGATAGCGAATAACGGTTTCGAATAAGGGGATATCTCTCCTCTTGCTGGTCTTGAAGTCGAGCTTTCCAACGGCTCGCACGGCCTCTTCAAACTCCTCCTTCATCCCAGCTATCCAGAGGGTGTCCAGCGAGTCAACCAGCGTAGCACCCCAGCCCATAAAGGGGTCTCTGTATCCGCCCGACTCAGGCCGCACTTCATCATGCAGCCAGGCATGTTGTCTGTATCCGTTCCAGGAATGTTTCAACGAGTTCTTGATCTGGGCGAGTTTCTGTTCGCGGGCTTCTTTCGCTTGGGCGGATTCACGGGGGAAATCGAACTGGATTTTGGGCAGTTTCTTGGGCGAGCCTGTTGGTAAGGGGATGACATTCTCCGAGGCAATGGGGAAGTGTTCAGGCTGCTTTTCCCAGCGAGGCTTATCCGCGTCCTCTTCTTCTTCTTCGTCGTCGTCGGCGTCTTGTCTTCCTTTACCCTCTGGTTGACTGTAGCCCGGTCTATCGACTGGAGGTACGGCTGGCCGCGGCGTTTCTTTCACGGAGGGAGGAGGAGGAGGCTTAACACCAATATCCTGCTGGCCATTTCCAGGCACTGGCGGCGCGGGAGGTGGTATAGGCTTCTGCTTATCCTCTTCTTTGACTGGAGGCTGTGGAGGTTGTGATTGCGGTTGTTGTGGTGGCGATGGTGGTGCTTGTGGTAGTTGTGGTTGTTGCGGCTGTTGAGCCGGCTGCTTGGGGCCGTCCGGCTTCAGGACAGGAACGGTTGGCGCATAGGAGGAGGTCGAGGAGAGGCCGCGAAACCCGGAGAAATGGATAATGGCAAGAATTGAAATGATGGAGAAGACCAGGTAGACTCGATACCGACGGAAGCGAAACATTGTTCTGGTTTTCGCTCTGGTTCTGCTTGACCTGACCGCGGAACTAAGTCTCGTGTGCTCTACAGCCGGGCGTTTCAACAAGATAAATTATCCTTGATGCGGCGTAGTTTGTAGAGAAAGATGGGTAGATGGAGAAAATCCCTACATCATCACACGAACAATCCAACCCTGACCGGCCTGCTGGTGGCTCTCGCTGAAAGTCGTGGAGATGCAGGAGAATAAAAATTGGAGAATCATGCAGGAGAAAGAAGAAATAAGAGTAAAAATAGCGAGATAGTCTTTCGTGGCTGCGCTAAAGTGGATTCTCAGCGCCTGGACGGCCGGCGTTTTGACTGAGAATTCGGTAGCAAAAGGAGTACTCCGTAAGTATTATTGATAATTAGAGAAGTGAGCCCGAGAGGCGACAGGAAGGTGTTTAAATAGAGGCAGAGGACGGTTATGTACTCCGTATGATTTACTATTATTGTGCGGATAACTGTTTCGCGGATGCCTTGAAAGACCGATCCAACCCCTTGGACGCCAGGGGGTATAACAACTACTTAAGTATTAACTGCTGGATGGACGTCTGAGGAAAAAAATAATGAAATCTACACCGGACAGAAACAGAAGCGCGGATAACTCCAACTCCACTCCAACTCCAAGGGGCACCAGTACATGCAATGCAAATATACAAGGCGAGCGGCGAGAGCTGTGTTACATTCCTACTGTCCTCCGGCCTTCGTTTCCTGTCATCTGGAACTGCTGGATCAAGCCCAGCACGCCGGCTCCCTCGACAACCTCATTGATGTCTTCTTCCTCTTCCTCCTTGTCTTCCCCTTCGACGTCAGCGGCTTGGTTCATACGCCATGATTCTTCGAAGTGGCTGTCGTCTACTGCCAGTCTGGTGCTTGAACCGGCCTTGTGGGATCCGCGGGCAGCTAGTCGAGGTGTGGCTACCTGGGACTGGGACTGGGACCGGGACTGAGATTGAGACTGAGATCGGGACTCGATAGGCTCCGGGATGGCACCTCTCATGATGCTTGGTTGGCGAGTAGGTCGGGTTCGTGGTGAAGGTCCTGGAAGGCGGTTTACATTCTTCAATCCAGAGGCGGGCGGCTGATGGTGTGAGTCCAGGAGGACTGATGCTAAGGGCGAGACTGGCCTCGTCATGACTGGTTCATGGGGAGGAGAATGAAGGCTCGTCATGCCTAGGTTGTGATGTATTGACCGCTGTGGCCCACGGTCATATGGGTTCGTGCCAATGTCTCCGGTATTCATCTTAGACAGCGGGTTCTGCCGTCGATGCAGCATGTAAGCGTGTGTTCCACCAGCGGTAGGGTTGGTGGAATAATGGTCTAGAAAGCCGTAGTAGGATGCCAGCATCTTTCCATCCTGAGTAGAGTAGTAGTCATTCCGTCCAGGAGCTGGAAGAGCACCGGGACCAGCACCCGTGGCAGGAATAGTAGCGCCAGTGGCATCACGGCCCTGCGGGATGATATTGTTACCCTTCTTGAAGTCGAACACGGCAAAGGAACAAACGTATCCCAGCCCATCGACGTGGACAGTGAATTCACGGAAAAAGTCAATCAGCCGATCACTGCACTTCGGCAGGCTGAACCAAAGGACGAACGGCGTGAAGATCATGCTTAGTATTTCCTCGAGGAAAATGACCAGCTTCATCTGGTAGAGAAGAGAGAACTCTTTCTTGATCTCATCGCTGTGCAGCCTTCCTTGCCAGTGGCTTGGCTGGTAATGAGTGTATTCGATGACTCGCCGAATGGCAAGTTCGGGATCGAACACCAGGTTTTCCGCCGGTATAACGCCCTGAGCTACAGCCCAGACGGAACCAAAGATACCGAGATAGAACAGCGCAGTTCTATCGTGTGTTATTTCGAATCCGAGAAATAGCTCTGGATCGATGATTGTTGCGAGTGCAAGGACAGAGGCAAGTGCGCTGGCTATGAATGCTACAAACCGAGCGAACTGGACTGTTTTGTCCTTGGGGAACTGGGCGATGTACTCGTCCGCAGCGAGACGGGACATGTTTGTGCGCCGTTCGAATAGATGCCAGAGTTCATTGAACTCGCGGAACTTCCACTCGGCGAGTGGAGTGTACTGTCTTGACCCGATCTGGGACGGGTTCTTCTGGTATTCGCTGAAGTAGCGGAAGAAATAATGCATGAGGAAGTAGGTGACGATAAAGGGGGCCATGAAGATGTTCATGAAGCCTGCTAGGATGAAGCGGCGTCGAAGGCCGTCACTTAGGGCCTTTCGGTGGGTGTCCTTGAGAAAAAGGGGTCGGAGCTGGCCCTGTTGGTTGAATGCGTAGTCCAGCACGCAGAGGTTGAGGTTCCACTCTAGGGTACGGGAGAAGAGCTGGCGTTTGCGGAGGAAAGGAACGGGCAGAGTGAGATCGAGGATATCTTTGTTGAAGAGGGCGATGAGATAGTTCTCCCGTCTCATGAGGCGGTTGGCAATATCGTGTGCATCCATGCGCTGTTTGGACTGGCTGCCTAGGAACCGACGGTGTTTGGCAGACACTGCAGCAGCGGTGGAAGGGTTGGAGTCTCTGAGGGCCATGAGCCGGCTTACGACCTGCTGCCATGAGACAGTCTGGACATCGGCGTCTGGAATGCCCAGAAGGTACTGGTAAAAGTCCTGCATGTGCCGCAGACGACGAAAGTCAACGGCGTATTGGAACACCTTGCCGATCCAGAATATGGTGAAAAGCCAGAGCAGGAAGGTAGAGAAAGCCGACATCTTGCGAACGCATCCAGGTATGAGAATCTGTGACATGGTCTTGCTATGCGGCACTCTCTTGTAGTCGATGCAGCTGGAGAGGAAGGTAGTAAACCCAACTACAAACGCCAGAGTGCTGCACCAAGTAATTAGTATAACATATCCTGCAGTCCATAAGGGGGGGGAAAGAGAGGTGAGTGGCTTACATCAAGTTAAGGGCCCTGCCTAGCATGATACTCCAGATACCGTTCCCAAGGAAATAATCATACACTTCCTGCAAGAAGTTATCCAGGTTCTCTACGTTCGCCCACCTCCAGAGGGCCTTCTCTTTGGGGTCAGCCAGACGCAGAGCAGCATGCTGCTTCACTCCCCAAACACGCGGCGGCTCTTCCTGCTCAGGTATACCCTCCATCCACCTGTTCCTCGCCTGGCCAGCCGACGAGGTTGACGGCCCGCGTAGGTGTAGCGAGTGTTCGCCTATCCCACTCGACCTTAACGGATGCATGGGCGGAGGCGGCAAGGGAGAACTCGGCACCGCACTCCCTTCCACCAGCAACGAGGCGGGAACTTCATCATCAGCTTCTTCAGTGTCTTCCATCCGGACACCACCAGCAGCAGTATTGCCGGCATGCATGGTGGAGGTGATGTTCACGTTATTCCCGAACCTCGACCGGCGCGAGAAGGGACTGCTCTGTCTCGACTGGGTGTCCGAGGCATGCGCAAGGGCATCTTCGAGCTCGTAGTCCGCGTACTGGTCTCCGACAAGGTTCTCTTCGTCCACCGCCATGCCAGCGCGGTTCTCGACGTCAGAGCCATCATCGGAGTCGTCATCGTACTGCCGTAGAGTCTCATAGATGGACTGGGGGGTGCTGACATTTATGGGCATGAAGCGGTTCATGGTGCTTTTGACGTTACAGCGTAGCTGTCGGCGAGAGCGAGGGCGAAGAAGGGACGAGGATACAGCTTCTCATAACACCGCTGGCCGGACTCATGTTCTATTATCTGCAGCTGGGAGATGAGACTCAGGCTGGTTAGCTTCTGTATAAATAACTGCAAGCAAGCAGGCAAACAAGCAAGCAAACGCTCCATCCCGTGAGCTGTCTCTCCCTCTCTCACTGTCTCTCTGTCTCTCTGTCTCTCTGTCTCGGGGCCGTGGGCTTCGGTGAGGTCACAAGGAGCAGTCCGGTGGAGAGCTGCAACAACTAGCTAGTTAACTGGAGGAACGCACCTTGATGCTAGAACAGGTCGTGGGTTGCCGGGGGAATTATTTATTCAGTATCCATCGTCCATCTGCTTGTCCAGCTCATGCGACTTGGAGATGGTCTTCTTCTCCGTTTCTTCGTCTTTTCTTTTCGTCTTGAAGTCGAGGCAGCATCACCATCACGTGACCAGTCGACTAGTGACGTAGTTGGAGAAGAAGAAGTAGAAGAAGAGAACAGATAAAAGAAGTAGAGACAAAAGAAGAACAAAAGAAGAACCGATAAAAGAAGAAGAGATGGAAGATGGAAGAGGAAGATGTCGAGATGAGATGAATGTTTAGTCGGCAGGCGACGTGCTGGTGGAAGAAGAGAAGCCGCACCCCATAGAGTAATAGAGTAGGGATGTCTAGTCAGCCAGTTACAGTAACTAGTAGATAGATCCTTGGGGCCGGCAAGGTCATCTGCTTTCTTAGTTATCCTACTAACTATATTACTAGCGAGCTAACTACCAGGTACTTACTAACTAGGGACCTACTAACTCCCAACTAACTAGGCAATCCCTATACTCCGTAGCCGAGACTGCCATCTCGTTATCTCGCACACCAAGCCAAGGTCGGCCCTTGACTGCTTTTACTGCTGTCTTCCCAGTCCTGCCAATAACAGCGATAATATAGCTAAAACAATAATATAATAGCAGCAGAGATAATAACTAATGCGCAGGCAGGCAGGGCCCAGGAATCTGGTCACTAACTTAGCCTCGCAGCAAGCTAGCGGCTGACAAGGATAGGGATCGGGATACCAGCCTTACCGCGATGCGATGCGATGTGATATGATGTGATGTGATGCAGGGCGACGGCTGACCCAGCAGGTAGGTAGAGCAGAAGAAAGTAGAAGAGCAGAAGAGCAAAGAGTAAAGCAGAAGAGTAAAAGGGTAGAGTAAAAGCCTAGCGGCGAGCATCTGCTACCGAGCGGACAAAGCTGTCAGCCCAGCAAAAGGAACAAGCAGCCAACTACTCGGCCAACGAGTGACTATCTACTCTCTGCCTCCAGTAGTTAGAGACAGACAGGCCGTTGAGATGTCACTGGCAGGCAGATAACTAGTCAGATGCAAGTAAGCACATACATATAGTTAAGCAGGAGGAAATACAGCCAAGGGACACGTAACTACTATGTAACTAACTGCTGCTGCTGCTAACTGCCAACTGCTAGACCCAGCTCAGTTGTAAATGTTATGTATCTACTGCCTCTTCGCCGTCTACCTCGCCGTCTACCTCGCCGTCTATCCGTAGTCTCGTGTCTCGCAGTCTATCACAGTCTACTGTAAGTAAGTAAGTGAGTAAGGAGAGTCTTCTGGCTGGCTGCAGGAACAGGCGCTGGCTTCCTTCGAGGCATGAGATCATGTTTATTAGCTGGGTTAATGCTTCTTCCACGTCTTCCACGTCTTCCATCTGCCTTCTAGAAAGCTGCCAGAAAGACGCTGGAAAGACGCTGGAAAGACGCTGGAAACATGACCTGTCGCTTTCTCCTGTTTCTCCTTTTCTTCGCTGTCTTCCATCCATCTTCCATCCTGCTTCTCTTCTGCTTCTTCTGCCTCTGCCCTTTTCTGCTGCTGCTGTCTCGCTGACTAAGCTGAGAGGGGAAAAGCGACGAAGAAAGAAACAGAGAAAAAGTCGCCCTTTTCGTCTTCAACGTCAACGTCGACTTCAACTTCTTCAACGTCCATCTTCGACCTCGACCTCGTCTTCTTCTCCTCCTCCTCATCCTCATCCTCCTAAAAGACTCGAGAAGAGAGCAGAGAAGACGAGAAGAAGCAGGGAGAACAATCTTGCGCAGGTTTCTTCGCCTTCGTTTTCTCTCTCGTTTCTTTTTCCTCCTTCTTTTCTTTTCTTTTCCCTTTTCCTTTTTTTTCTTTTCTTTTCTTTTTTGTCTCTTCGTCCTGTCTTCGTCTTCGTTCGTCTTCTGCGTCGTCTTGCGTCCTCTCTTGCTGCTGCTGCTGCTGCTGCTGCTGGCTGCTTCTACTGCTGCTTGGGCATCTTCTGTGCTTGTCCTGATATTTATTTACTTATTTTTGGCCCGCGTCCCTTTTCGCTGCGGTGCGGCGGTGCTTGTTTTTTTCGCCTCTTCTCTCTCTCTCACACACTCTCACTCCCCATCGGAATTCGATTCTCTTCGACCTTGCAAGGGAAACGAAAAAGGGACATGTAGGACGGGCCGAACTGTACTCTTTCTTGCTTACTTTTAAAAAAAAGGTACGTCTTCCTCCTCCCTCCCTCTGTCTCTGTCTCTCCCTCTCGTCTCCGCTTGCTGGACGATGGCCTTTGCCGCGGTTTAGCCGGTCGTTTCGTCTTCTTTTTCTTTTTGCTTCGTTTTTTCCTTGGGTGGTGGAAACGCTTTTTTTTTCTGCCTGCCCTCTCGCTGCTGCTGCTGCTGCTTCCGCCGACTGCAACTGACGCTCTTGCTTCTCCGCCTATTTCTGCCCTCCAGGCCCTTTGCTGTCCTCGATTCTCTTCTCACCATCATTTGACTGCAGATAATACTTCCGACGCTACGAGACGGCCGACACTCAAAAATACATGTTCTCTCTTCTTCTTGCATCTGGAAACGCTCTCTTTTTTGCGACGCTCTGAAACGAACATCGCCAACAGCCATACATACCGACACTCCGGCTGCTGTGCCCGATCCGTCACCCCCCCTTCTCATCCCACCTTCACCAGAGTAGCCAGCCTGGCCTGTCACTGATGAATAGCCAACATCCTCTCGTCCTTGATATGCGGATAGTGGCGGTAGAGTCGGCTTTGAGATAACCGAATAGGGATTATGGACTCTGAGCGCCAGAACGGTTTTCAGAGGGACGACCTAGATATATATTCGAGACCCATTGAACGCCGCCCTAGCAAAAAATCTTCTTCCAAGGACCGCCACGGGATGGTTTACCCAGACAGCTTCAGGGATACCTCCATCCGGCCCGTCAGCCCCCAGGAGTCGCTCTCCGATACTCAGACCCATTCGCCGGCCTCAGATGCCGAACACCTTGCGAGCAGCGCAACAGCCTCGCCCAGGGCCGGTCTTCGCGCAAAACCGCGTGATCGGCGGCGTGAGTTCAGTCCCTTTCATGCTGGACATGGTAGCAACAGCAACAGCAACAACAGTGCCAGTGCTAGTACCGCCAACATCAATCACCACCACCACCACAACCACAATAACAACAATAATAACCACAATAACAACATCAGCAGTAGCAATAGCAACGCTAACAGGCTTAATGATGACGACCTACCCGTACCAGATACTCGGAGTTTAAGGGCCAGAGCAAAGACGACCACCATGGAGGACCAGAGAGGTGACCTGCCGCCCAGTTCCTTCCTTGGACGCACTAGGATGAGACTTGGCTCCCTGACCACTGCTGCTTCTGCCAACATGGCCTCGGGCTCACCTCAGAGTCCCCGGCCGCCGCTCCAGGACGATTCCATTGCCTCCATCGGTTTCCCTTCCATCATCCAGACTTCCGGACCACGGCCACGTTTCGTCAAGTCACACTCCACCCTCTCCTCCGGCTTGCCTCCCTCAAACGCTTCCAGTCCTGGGCCATATGTATCTCACGCATTGAACCCGGACTCCACCAAGATACTGGACCTGATGAAGTCTACATGTGGCAGAATGCACGGCATCCTCTCATTCCGCATATCGGGATCTTCTTCATGGACTTCGGGCTACTGTGCCATCAACGTTGCAGCCGGCAGCCTCATCTACCAAGCAAAGGGCGAAGCGAACCAGGCAAAGACCCTTATTCCGGACCTCCGCGGCTGCCGTGTCCGCACCCTCTACTCTACCGAACTACAAACTTCCTACTTCAGTGTCTCGACCTACTCCTCCACCCTCAGCGTACATCTCCGTCCTCATGTAAAAGAGACCTGTGACTCCTGGCTTGCCGCCCTCCTGTGCTGGCAACCCATTCGCCCAAAGGGCGTACAGAACAAAATGACTAAGCCCCAGTCAGTCGCCATAACTGAACGGCGTCTTGCAGATCGCCGGAGAAATTCAGAGAGTACCCTACAGAAGGAAGCCACCATTATCAAAGTAGGCAAGATGCTGCTGTGGGATAGACAAAGTGCTTCCGGCGTGTGCCCGCCACCAACGCCCCGGAGGATATCAACCTTCAAGCAGCAACGGGCCCTTTCGCATTATTGGAGGAAGGTCAACTGTACATTGCAAGAAAACGGCCACATGAAGATCGTAACTGAGGCTGGCACAAACCTTGTATCTTTCATACAGCTATCTCAACTCTCTCGATGTGCCATCCAAAAACTAGACGCTTCCGTCTTGCAAGATGAGTTCTGCATAGCCATATACCCCCAGTATGCCGTCCATGCCGGAAGTGACCATCTCACCAGACCCGTCTATCTCTCCATGGAAAGCCGTGTCCTGTTTGAGGTCTGTTTCGTCTTACTCCGAGCCTTTACATACCCGAACTATACAGACTCGAGCACCCTTCTACTACCACTACCACCACACGGTGCTTCAACTGACGATTCCGGTCGGGCTCACTCCCTGATAATCTCCCAGCAAGTCCCCACTACTACGACAGACATGTTCCGAATCGAACGCCTTCTCAATGTCCGTGTCATTGAAGCCAAGATCTTCCCTCAGTCAAAGGCAGAGCTACCGGAAAAGAACAAAAAATCATCCAAACAGCAGGGTGGTGCCGCTCAGACTTCTGGTGATTATTACACAGAAGTGCTACTAGACGGTGAGGTCAGAGGCAAGACCGCCGTGAAGAGCAGCACCTCTGCTCCGTTCTGGCGAGAAGACTTTATCTTCCACGACCTGCCTCCCGTCCTGTCCAGCGCTACCGTGCTAGTTAAATGTCTCAACCCCGTACAGAAGGACTGGACACTCGTCTCTCGAGGCACTTATACGCCCAATGAGGGTGAACGTGAACATGACTCGTTAGCGACTCTAGGGGATGTAGAGGTGGCTTCTCAAGATACCACGTTTGGCAGGATAGACCTGCCCCTGGACAGTCTAGATGCAGGCAATGGATCCGAAAAATGGTGGCACATCCTCGACGAGAACGACCAGCCAGTCGGCGAAATGCTGATGCGTGTTCAGCTCGATGAGACCGTTGTTCTGATGTCTCAGGAATACAAGGTCATGTCCGAACTGCTCCATTCCTTCCCTAACGGCCTCACAGTTCACCTCGCAGAGCTCGCACCCCAGGAACTCCGCCAGCTCTCTGAGATATTCCTCGACATTTTCCAGGTATCCGGCCAAGCAAGTGAATGGGTAACGGCGCTCGTCGAAGATGAAATCGATGGCCTCCACCGAGAGACATCCGCCAGTCGCCTCCGCTATACCAGCCGCATCCACTCAAACGACTCCTACGAGTCCGGCCAGGAACGAGAAGTACTCGTGCGAGACCTTGGTCGCTCTGCAACCGTCGAAGCAAACCTGTTGTTCCGCGGAAACTCCCTGCTCACAAAATCGCTAGATATGCATATGCGTCGACTGGGGAAAGAGTATCTCGAGGAAACAATTGGCTCGAGTATACGAGACATCGACGAAAGCGATCCAGACTGCGAAATCGACCCCAACCGTGTCAGCAGACAGGAAGACCTTGAACGTAATTGGCGCAATCTGATAATTCTCACAAGTAATATGTGGCAGTCAATTGCCGGGTCCGCCTCGAGATGCCCGCCGGAACTAAGGTATATTTTCAGACACATCAGAGCATGTGCTGAGGACCGGTACGGTGATTTCCTACGATCCGTCACGTATAGTAGTGTTTCTGGATTCTTGTTTCTACGGTTCTTCTGTCCTGCAATTCTGAATCCAAAGCTCTTTGGTCTCTTGAAAGGCATGTTCACCTTCCCCGCCACCTTATCATTTATCATATGCAACTAAAAAGATCCATGAGACTAACATTATCAATAGAACATCCACGATCTCGTGCCCAACGAACTTTGACATTGGTCGCAAAGGGCCTCCAGGGACTTGCGAATTTGACTACATTCGGCAACAAGGAACCGTTCATGGAACCCATGAACAAGTTCCTTATGTCTCACCGCAACGAATTCAAGGATTTCATTGACTCCATTTGCGCCATCCCTGCCGAACGTCCACCCCAAATAGTCAACCCATCGTTCGCAACTCCCATCCAAATTCTCGGCCGTCTACCTCCAACTTCCCGAGAAGGATTCCCTAGCTTACCGTTCCTCATCGACAATGCTAGGAGCTTTGCCTGTTTGGCTCGCGTCTGGCTGCAAGCTGCACCAAGAGGCCTTACAGAAATTCCCGATATGGATGTGAACATTCTCAAGTTCCATTCTCTCTGCATTGATCTAGAGAAGCGAACGAAGGAATCCCTCAACAAGGCCGAGCAAGCCGAACAGCCTAGTGGTAACCTTGAGGTGAAATGGGAGGAAATCGCCGAGCAAGTCGAGAAGTCCGCCACTTTCTACGAGGAAAGCTCGAGTAAAGCTAACACGCCCGGTAAAGAATCTGCCGTGACAAACGTCAGTTCTACAACGGCAGGCAACAACCGGAATTCAATTGGTTATTTCCCTCGTACACCATACCTCAAGTCCACGGAGGCCAGCGTCAGCGACGATGCGGATGATGATACCCCTTCCAGTGCCACATCAGCTCCGTGGGAACAACAGGGCCGCCCAGTATTCACCCAACCAAAATACTATGCTGACTCCCGTAAGAGCACTGAAAGCCTCCAGAACCCTTCCACCGTCTCCTTAGCGCAAACGGAGACCCCGACCGGTAAGAATCGACAGTCAGGTATGTCCCGCGATTCAGGCAAATACAGACTTTTCGAATTCGTCGATCGGACCAGACGTAAAGGCAAAGAGAGGGAATCATCACATTCTCAAGGCGCAGCGCACCCGCCGCAGGACGTGGGCCCGCGAAATGAATATATATGATATCACGCACGAAGTACGCCGCAGTTTACGGCTACACAAGCAGTCTTTTCTGCCTTGACCTTTTTTTCCATTTTATCTTTTTGAATGAAACGTGATGACTGGAGAAATATGAAAGATTTCATTCATTTTGTTTTACTCATTACTCCCCCCAAATCTCTTGCTATATATTCCCGTTCCCATCGAAATATGCCTATTCTCATCCCGCCCATCTACCTACTCCCCTTTGATTCATTTTGCCATGTTTCACTTGCAAATTCCCAGCGCTTTTGTTCTGTTCTGTTCTTGTGTTTCTGCACTTTTCTGTTTCCAGCCCATTTTATATCTTTTTTTTTCTATTCATATTCCTGCATTTGGGTTTGGGTCATGATAACGGAGACCTCCCGTACGTCCTCCTACCGCTCTATCTATTTATCTATTTGTCTCTCTACCCTTCTCCTTTCCCCCTTTATTTGTCTTCCTCTGCATCCCTTTTCCCTGATTTCTTTTATCTTTTACTAACATGTTCGCCCCGTCATAACGCATTTCTCTTTACTTGACATTGCGAGAGATATCCCCCCACAACCCAGGAATGGAGTTGAGTTATTTGGGCGCCATGCCCCCAAACCCAAGCATGGCACGGCATGGCGTGTCAGGAGCTATTGAGGAAAATACAACACAACATCCCTCGCCTTCCTCAACATCCGCATGTATCTTGAGCTTGAGGCAAGGCGAGGCAAGGCGAGGCGAGAATGTGAATGTGAATGTGAATGTGATGTGATGTGGTCTGGTGAGAGTGTGGTGGTGCTTGGGGGGATTTTTGAAATAACGCGGTGCATTTCTCATGGTGTTGGATATACCCAATGGGTTGAGGGAAACTAGGGGAAAGGAGGCAGGCCTTTACTTGACGACTCAAATCAACATCATTTGACGAATTTCTCAGATTTATCTTCTTCTTTTTCATCATTCTTCCTTTTCCATCACCTACTAACCGACTGACTGACTGATTGACTGACTGACCGACTAACTAACTACTCGACTAGCCCATGTATGTAAGATTAATCCTTCCTTTTCTCTCTTTCTTTTTTTTCTTCTCAGGGGGAAAAATTTTTCAAACCGGGTGGTTTACTCGTTCTTGTGCCTCTATCATTCTTTTTTCTTCTGCTTCCCTGCGCTCTATCTATCTACCCGACCTACCAACCGACCTACCGCCCTTGTCAATTATGCAGATAGATTTACTCCTTTTACGAACACCCCCTTTTGTCCTTGCTAGAAGTAGCTAAGCTTGTCCTGTCCTATTTGCGCTTGTATGCTAGCTAGTACTGCCTTATGAACGTGAACACGGTATATTATGAACCCAATGAGTGGTCTTTGGCTTGAATATCGGATGTATTTCTACCACGTTGTCCTGTCCTCTAAAGGAGGACCTTAGCCCCTATTCTCCTCTAGATATACTTTTGTGTAGTTAAGGGCAAAATTGGCAACACGTGACCACCTGCCGTTGACGCGACGCGACGAAAAGAAACGGCGGATGATGGGTTAGAAGAGGACGAAAGGAAGACACGGATGAAGAATAATAGGAGATGACGAAGGTGGACTCTCGGTACGGAGTACATAAGTGAAATTGAGGCTAATTGACCAACTATCGCCAGTTATATTTGACCGGCAGCCGGCATGAAATAGGTACGGTTAGTAGCATGACACTCCCCCTACCAAATCAATTGAGCTTTATATATGGATTATACTAATAGAAAAACGGTGTAGACTTGCAACTATACAGCCCGGAAACGATAGGTACCTAAAAAGAAAAAATGAAATAGCAAGCATTGTGTTCGGACTTGCTCATTGTGATACTGCCTCGCCACGGAAGATGAGCTCGACATCCGCCTCGAACGACCCGTCAGTATTCACTGGAAATGATGTAACGACAGACGAGTCTTCCGTGGACAAGGACCTCGTGGGGTTAGAGGAAGTTCAGCATAAAAAGCCGGGAAATGAGTTAGTGGGCATAGTTTGTCCACCCCTAACTAGCCCGCCATCAGCTTATGAAGGCCATCCGTCGCCATACCCCATATGCAAGGAATGGCATGCTGTGAATACCCTGTTCCTTGCGCACGATAGCGCTCGGAAAGAATATGGCGGCTCAGAGTTCGTCAGCTTCGTTCTGGATGATTATACAATCTACAGCCGCACGGGCGGGAATGGACGCCGGGCTGGTATGGTGCCACTTAACGACGTTGCCAACAAGGAGGGCGGTACGATTTTCTTCTTCGACGGCATAATCAGGCCTGAGGGAGAGGTAGATTCTACCGTTGGCCATTTCTACCTAAAGCAGATTTCATTCAGTAGAGTCTCTCTTGGTGGCTATGAGGATCCCGACCTGCATACCGTGGGAGAGGATATCTGGATACAATCCACACACTGTCAACAGAAGGGTATATGGTACCGTCTGGGGGAGCCTTCATTAGCTTATGAGCCATATCACTGTTTCTTTACCTGGTTAGCTGACCTGGCTAAGCATTTCGTCGATTATCTCCACGCAGACGAAAAGCGAGACGTCACCCTTAACCACTTCAAGGAAGATTTTCACGATTGGCTACTAGGCTGTCACAATGAGAAGCCAGAGTTTATCTCATGGCTAGGAAAATATGGTTCCCGGGATTTTCGACATGCTGTGAATGCGCATGGCAAGTTTCTGCGAGGGCAGTCGTTTACTATTGATTTTTCTTCGTACAGTCACCATACCCTCTGGGACGAACTTGGACTTTCGGAAACACCGGTTATTACAGAGCAGCCTACAGTAGTGAAGAACACTGTCGTCACTCCATTCGTTCACAACTGTTTTAAGAATATGCCCTGGTCCAACCATCTCCAGAAAGTTCAATTTGCCCCTGAAGTCGAACGCCAACACAAGGAGATGGTGAGGCGGCAGACTAACAGCGCACTCCTTGGGACTAAAAGAAGAACTAGCGTGACTGGGGATATTGCCATTGGTGATGTTGTTACTTTAAAAAAGGATGACGAGTCCATCTGGAAAGGAGAGGAAGAGTACTGGTATGCTCTCGTCCAAGGGTTTGGTCCCGGTAAGCATCGTGATCTTCGGTTGCTTTGGCTGTACCGCCCAACTGATACTGTTTGCTCCAATATGACGTACCCGCATAGCAATGAGCTATTCTTGAGCGATCATTGCAATTGTAAGGAAGGCGAAATATTGGCCAAGGACGTGGTCAAAAAGGTTGCGGTTGACTTTTTCTCTTTTGATGAAGACCGAGATGGCTCAACGCTATTCGTACGGCAGACTTACCAGACGAAAGACGAAACTTTTAGAACTTTGAGTGACAGTGATTTTACCTGTCATTGTAGGGCTCCTAAAGAGCCTACGCAAAATTTCAAAGTTGGTGATACTGTGCTGGCACAGTTCTCAAACAAACTAAAACCTGCTGAGATTATCAGCATAGGGGCAGAGGAAGCTGTTCTACGAGTTTTCATATACCATCGAGACCTTGGGGAGAAAAACTGTCGTCCCAATGAATTGGTTCACTGTGACGATTATCATTCCGTTCCAATACGCCGCATTAAAAGGCATTGTCACATCCGCGTTTTCAAACCCGTTCAAATATCTAATATTCCATGTCCTTATAATAGAGACGGGACAGGAGATGCGTTCTATATCATCTATCGAAAGGATGAAGAGAATTTGGTCCCTTTGAATTTTCCTCCGAATCTCAGGGAAGGGTTCGACCCTTCCAACCCTGCTTTGCCTAAGCTAAAGGCTCTAAATCTATTCAGCGGTGGAGGGACATTCGACCGAGGTCTCGAAGAAGGAACGGCGATCGAAAGCAAATGGGCTGTGGAATGGGGCCTTCAGCAGATGCTAACCTACAGGGCGAATCACCCTGACGGTAAAGGATTGAACTTATTTTGCGGGTCCGTCAACGATTACTTGTCCCAGGCCTTCAGAGGGGAAGAACACGAGTATATTGCTGGAATAGGAGACGTTCATTTCATTTCAGCAGGCAGTCCCTGTCAGGGCTACTCGACCGCTAACGCCCATAGACATAATGAGATGTCAATGCGAAACTCATCGATGATTACATCCGTCGCAAGCTATGTCGACTTTTACCGGCCCCAATATGCGATACTCGAAAATGTGACCGGAATGGCTAGCCGGACGCATGAACAGAATCCCCTTTCCCAGCTTTTATGTGCCTTTGTCGGCATGGGCTATCAGGCTCGTGTTTTCAACCTAGACGCATGGAACTTTGGTGCTCCCCAGAGCAGATCTAGGCTTTTTATTGCGGTCACTGCTCCGGGTCTTCACATCATAGAACATCCTCCTTTAACTCACTCGCATCCGCCTGGAACTAAATCGCGTACCCTTGGTGATAACCCGAATGGCTCAACTTTTGGAGAAAGGCGCTGGGATACTCCTGTTTTCGACTTTATATCCGCAAGCTCAGCTACAAGGGACCTACCTCCTATAAACACTGCACGAATAATGTCTATAACCTGGCCAGACCACCGTCCTTCTCGAATTGAGTCTGAAGGAAGGCAGGCATTAATACAGAGCATTCCCAAGCGTCCTCGGAGCCAAGGGTTAATAGAAGCCATAGCAAGAGGTTGGGCTGATCCTGCTGACCATCCTGAACGGATAAAACGTGGAAACTGCAAAGCCTGGTCCCGAGTCCACCCTAAAAAACTATTTCCAACAGTTACAACCTCGGTCTGTCCTTTCTGTATATTTACAGGCCGTTGGCTTCACTGGCAGGAAAATCGCTTGGTAACAGTTCAGGAGGTGAGGCGTGCACAGGGATACCCGGACAACGAAGTACTTATAGGTAGCCCTGTTCACCAATGGAAAATCGTCGGAAATAGTGTAGCAAGACAGGTCGCCCTTGCACTTGGCCTTGCAGTCCGAGAGGCATGCATCCGCAATCAATATGGACGTTCTGCTCGAATTTTAGCCGCAAATACTGCCCCCTTGTCAGAAGAACCAAAGAGCCAATTGCTTTTAACCGCCACAACTCCTACGCAGCTACCCGCCAAGCGACGTATTAACATTGCCATCGAGGCGTCCTTGTCATATAAAACAGAGGAGAAGTTCACAAAACGGCAGAAGATGCTTTTATGTGATATGTCACCTTGACTCTATACCGTTGTTGTTGAATCAATCCACGGAGGCATGTTTCTCTAGCATGGAACTGCCATAGTCCCCTATTCGAAATGACGCTCCTCAAGACGTTAAAAAATCGAATGAGCGCGTCGTATTCGTCATCAGAGACATCTAATTACCTCTTTGGCATATGGTGTCATGTGCATTTAGAATTCCTATCTGTGCGGGATCAAGACGCATTTTTGCATGTTAATAGACGCCAATTTTTAACCATGTTGTAAAACCCTCGTGCACACTGATGTTTAAATCTGCATTCATCATAGATGATCCGATGAGGCCAAAACATTGGCATGTTTATAATTATATAATGATAAGCTGGTGTTCAGTGCAAGATTTTCTGATACCAAAATTTTCAGTAACAGAGGTCGTAGAGATAATTGTAAATTAAAAGTCTAAATGAGGTGGAAAGATGGGCCATTTATTATGTATCACATCCATAGACACACCTTCCCACGTCCCGTACCACCTACCACCCAATCCTTTGTGGGATGGAAAACGGTAACGGCCGGGACAGCCGTGATGCCCTCGCCTCCTAGCTGGGCTAATTGTTCACCCTTGGCGGTGTAAATGTCAACAAAACGGTTCATATTGGCTATACAGAATCGCTGAATCGCTGACTGAGGAGCCGCTTGCCATTGTGGTCGGAGGCTAGACTATTTGTTAGAAAGGCAAAGTATAGGGCAAAATGAGGAAGGAGGAAAACGTACATTGTAACCCATCGCCCCGTCTGGCAATTATGATCAATCATTGCGTCAGGTTCAATTGTTAGAGTTTCAGTGGATTTTCGAGACTTCAGGTCAAAGGCTCCAAAATTGTAGAGCTTGAGAGTGTTGTCATAAGATGAGGTTGCTATCTGGCCGGCGCTGTTGAACGCCGCATGAGAAACGGATAGCGGACTCGTGTGCTCTGCCACAGCTGTGGGAGTTTTCTTAGATAGATATCTAAGATCCCAAACTTTCATAGTTCGGTCTAAAGAGGCTGTCGCAATGTATTGAGGTTTGGTTGGACAGATAGAAAAGCCACCGATTTTGTTGTCGGCTAGCTGCCATTCGTCTGCATTGTAATTTTCGTCATCTTTAGCGGAACCATCAGGTTTAGTTGCATTATTCCGGGTATCATATCGGCCAACAACACCGTTCAATGTTGAGAAGTATAGAGTATGAGGATCCCCAGGAGACATATCAACGCCAGACAGGCCAGCACCATCGGAGACATAAGCCTCCGTGGCCAAGGATTTTTCCAAATCCAGTTGCCGGATAGAGCTATCATAGCTGGCGGTATAAAGTTTCGATGGGCTGGAAGAGTGTATGTACATAGCAGCGATTGGCCGACTATGAGGTTTAATTGTTGTGACTACGGGGTCATCATCTTCCTCCTCCCCAGGAGCATTCTGTGAAGCATCAAGAATTCCCAAGTTTCCGATCTTATCACCAGCAAATATCAATGGTTTAGATTCAGTGGGGTGAAATAGCATCGTATATATTCGTTCAGAAGTAATTTTGATCCCTTGAACGCTAAATGTTAGTGTTGATATAAGTACAATCTGGGAAAGGTAATTGGGATAAAACACACTATTAGGCTCCCAAGCATCCCAGAGATTTAGCCCGCTCATCTTTTCCCTCATAGCCTTCAGATCTTTGTCGGTAGTCTTCTTTATGTCCTCTTCGCCAAAGGTTCTCTCATGCCTCGCTGGCCTGTTGGTAGCAAGAGAGTCCAGAGTGAGGGCCTCCCATTTCCCTTTAACTTCGATTTCATCCATCCGCAAGTCCCCAGTTACTCGCCTTTTTTTCGCTTCCATTTGTAACCTTTCTACTTCATAGGCTTCTTCAATCTTGCGCTTTGCAATCTCGCTATCCGGGGTTAGGCCTGCGAGACGAGCAGAGGATCGGCGGGGAACAGGCGCTGCTTCTTTCTCGCGTTTGGCTTTCTTTGGAGCCGCTTTTTTCTTATCTGGCAGTCCAGCCTTTGGCGCCGGTGTCTTGGACAGCAGACCTGCGGATTGAGCTTCAAGACTGATCTTCTTAAGAAGCGCATCGCGCTCCGCGATGTTGGCTAAGCGCTGCTTCTCGAAGTCGGACATTTCCGTAGCTGGTTCAGATTTTACAGGAGCCATGTTCCTTTTCGGGTTCCCCCAATGCTTCCCCGTATGGTATATCGTATCCAAAAAAGAGAGCAACACACAAACGCAAATAACACAAAATGCTTGTCGTTCTCTTTATCGAACAAAAAACGCGGAAAGTTCAATTAAACAATTTAGAGTCGCGTGGTCACGTGAATTCCAGAACTTCGATGGAAGGAAACAAAAAAGTTTCCTTTTGGACTTTGGGTTTCATTTCAACTCCAGTTGTGATAGCTGTGATATGGATGAAGGAAAACAAAAAAAATTGGTTGAAACGACAGGACGAAACAAAGCATTCTGCCGAGGGGACAGATGAGACGGTGAAAGATGTCAAATTCCTGCAGCCTTGTTGCGCTCTGCCGGGAGTCAACACATCTCCCTTTTCTCTACCTTACTAGGACTCTAACAGCTCCAGTTCGACGACCACAGTCGAACCAGCCTCGCCGGCCAGCAGGCTATCAAGAGAGATGTCTGTTTTCGAATTCCAGCCGAGACGAGCTACGATCGTATCCAGGGCGGCGGCATGCGAACCCCCAAGCCTCAATTTCTACTCCTACGCCCCGAAGTTCGAGAACGGCAGGCGGATTTTCGGTATCTCACAACGGAAACACAGCTCCAAACGGTAGTCATCCAGCCCAAGATAACCGGGAAATAACAAATATCTTTAGCTCGGTTCTAAAGACAATGAGTGAACTTAACAGCTCGAGCAACCGCCAGAAACTTCAGCAGCCGTTAGATACCCTCTCTAATTCTAAGTTGGAGAAAGCAAACATGAATGATAAACTACACAACTTTCAATTCACGGAAGTTGACCCGTCATCACCAGATGAAGCGAAATTTGCCGGTATTGATCTTTCTGTTGCCGCATTTGCTGTAGCAGAAACTGAAACAAAGAGAATCTGCAAGAAGATCGACGATGCTGTGGTGGACGGGGAAGGCGATCTCGGGATCTGGAAAATATGCGAGAACATGATTTTTCCAATGTTGAAGCAAGCAGGCTTGGATGAAATGCTGCCTTCCCGTTCGACGGCAAGGCTTTCCGGAACCGGTGATAGTGCCGCTGGAGATCTATCCAACTGCCCTGACAAAAACAACAATACTCCATACCAACCAATTCGTGTTCATCCAGACATACCTATTGTAACTGTCGTACGACATGTATACCCTGCTACACTTCTCCATGCTTTAAGGATCCTTCAAAATAAGTTTCCAATGTCTCCGCTTACCACTCGATTGTTTGAAAGTATCCGATCCCACGGACGAGCTTCGTTCATCATCGGGTCATCAAAGGAACTCTTTCATGAACTGATAGATTTCCGTTGGCGTGTTTACAACGACTTACCCTCTATCGTATCTTTACTGAAAGAAATGGAGGAAAACGGTATCGACTTTGATAAGAGAACACTTGAGTTAGTAGAAAGAATTCGGCAGCGTGGGGCACGAGAAATATTGAAAGCAAGGCAATTTGATGGACGAAACAAGATTAGCAGTATCAAGAGCAGGAGCAGGCGAACAGGCAGCAATGCAGGTGTCAGCTGGTGGGATTCGCCTGCAATTCGAAAAGCGTACCGAGAACTTACCAGCTGGGCAAAAGGCATGGATGCACAGATTCGAGAATTTAAAGAATTTGACGACAAGGCACAGGAGCTGTGGAGCATCAAACGCCCATAATCAAAATATGCAGGTCAATCATGGGACTAATTATCTCCGCTTTAAAACGCTACAAATGTTCAATAACTAATTAAGAATATCCTACACTCTACTATTTCATCTCCGACGTACTAATCAAACGCTCCTTGGAGGCAGGATTACCTCCTTTTTATATTTTCATTCCCAGGCTTCTTCCAGCCGCAACCAAGCTACCGCCAAGGAAGCCTAGATATGTCTTCACATCACCAACGGTTCCAGTGATAGCATTGGAGTCCCCAAAGCGTCTTTCAACAAACTCTTCTGTAGAAGTAAACCCTTCGGATTTATCTTCTGTCATAGTGATTTCGGCAGTGGCATATACAGTTGACACGGAAAGTCTCTTGGAGTACCACGACGAGTCTACAGAGCGATCTCCAGCAAGGTAGAGGATATCAGACGAAAGCTCATATAACTCATGCAGTGATGAGGAAATGTTTGCAGGTAATGACATTACTGCTAGAGCCTGAATATCGATAGTGTCAGTTGTAAGGACCATGGAATGCAACAACGGACAACAGGAGCTTACATCTTGCCAATGCTGAATTATATCACTGTTCATTTTAAGTCTCTCCAGGACAAGCCTTTTCGCTTTCTTATCAACGCTTAGCTTCTCCTCTGCTGCGAAAATCTCTCCATTTTGGACCTTCTCTTTCAAGAGGGCTCGTCTTGTTGATAGCCAATAAATGATAAGTTCAATTTCTCCTCCACGGGGAAACAGCTGCAAGGAAACCTCTGGGTAACCTGCATCCTGTGCTGCAAGAACAACAGCTTCAGTTGTGAATCCAAGCCTGGGGACATAGTTTGAAAGAGCAAGGGAAAGTATCGAGGCTTGTTCTGGGGAGAAATGGGTGTTCGAGGGAGAAAGGTCGGAGGCAGGGTGATAGTATGACCGGCTCCAAGAAGCAACTGGCGAAGAAGGGCTTTGGCGACGTAGGCGAACGTTGCGGCTATATGGATGTGATTGTCGAGTGTAGTATCGAGGGAAGCTGGTTGAGTTAGGCCGCAAACTCGAGCTGGGTAAGGCCGTACACGATCGACCGCAGCTGATGCCTGACACAAATAAAGGTTTAGTGGAAGAACCCAATGCCACTGCCTGAGGCAATTGACGCCGAATTAAAGACCCCGGAAGCATTTTATCCTGCTTTTCTCGTCTTTGGTCGTAGAATCACAGTTCGGCGGAATTTCACACCAGCCACGGTAGACGGATGTATAACGTGCAGATCTTAGTGACAGGAAGGTTAAGGAAAACGCAACGCTATCTAAGCTTCAGCACCTGCAAGCAATGTCTGGTGGCGGTTGAGATGCGCAAAGCGTCCTTGCTCGCGCAGAAAGATAAACGTCCTTCGATCGCCTTGAGAAGGTCTTCAAGAGCTTGATTGTGTCACGTGATATGTTAATTTTGGCAAAGTGGATGTTCTTTGGGGCGAACTTGAATATAGAATAAACAACGACGACAGTGATAGCTATCTATGGCTATGGTTGGCGGCAAACATCACGTCTACTTCTCAGTGCGGTATAAATAGCTAATGGAATCAGAAAAAGGGTATATATAGCTATGTTACAGGACCTCGACGCCCGAGGTCACCCACATCCAAAGCCAGGGCAAATTTTGGCAACACCCGCCCATTAACAATCTCCCAAGCAAACAAAAGGGCTTTATGAATTAATACCCATTCGGTGCTTGTACGGCACCGGCCGCTGGCCTCTATTCAAACCGGAATCAGAAGCCTTTGGGCCTCACGAAAGAGGAGGTATGGAAAAATCCAAGTGCCAAAACAACGATAAAAGGGATAAAAAATAGAAGCGAAAAATAAACGAAGACGAAACGCACACATTAAAATTCTTACCGCGACCACCGTTGCGCCCCTGCATATCATTACCAAGGAAACCAGCCCACCCCATTAGGAAAGGGAAAATAATGAAAATAGCCAGCAGGCATGGAATCATACAGCCCGGTCATTAACATCATAAGTAACATCCCAGGCGGTGGTCTGGCGAATAATCATTATATCAGATCCTGCAGAAGATGAAGCGCTTTGCTGCCGCACATGGCGCCGATCATTCCATGGTTTCTTAGAGGCCTCGGTCGTTACCGAGACCCGGGCAGGTGTAATATTGGACAGAGCATACTGCTCTCCCGCACTGTTGGTAGATACACCCCTCGTGTCGAACCATCCAGTGTTGAATAATTTCACGAATGGCTTTAGACACGGTATCGTGGCTGCCATCAGCCCGTAATGAAGCTCAACTTCGAGACATACAGATGCGGCGGCGCCATAGAAAAGGAGGTCCTCTTGCATTTGCTGCTGACGAAGATAGTATAAGCGCGCACCTGCTGCTACCAGAACACTGTTTGGATGGTTAGCAACTGCCAGATAGCGCATGAAGGGACTCTAATGGTGGGTACTACTCACGGAAGGCGGAAGGAAAATGCAAACAGAACAATGATCTTTGATCGTAGATGCATTTGAAGGCTCCAGACAAGGTATACAGGAACCCACGCCGCATAGAGCTCAACAATGATGCCCAAGGTCTCAATGGTATACCACCGCGAGTACTAAAAATAAGGTCAGATTAACATCCAGGCACATACGGCGAGACGCTCAACACAAGGGGGGAACGTTCGTACAATTTGAGGGCAACCTGGCGAGAAGAGGTCCCAGGGCCGCGAAAGGTTGCAACGCATGCAAATGAGGAACACCGATGTTATGCTGATGACCATCGATCCAATAGCACCCATGTGTGCTGCCCGAAGGTGGTTCTTTTGTTGAGTCACTCGAGAAATCAGTAGAAAAGTGCTAACCCGCGAGAATGCGAGTGCGACAAGATAAAAGATATCGCCAGCATACGCCAACTAGATATGCCATATTAATTAGCCTCAGAATTCTCTCATGCATAGGCGTCTGAACCTGGCTCCCTAAACCAGCGTACCTTTTCAAGGCGCTGAATCTCCTCCATGGGTACAAGCTCCCTTCGTCTTCCAAGGCCGGCATATGCCTCTGATATCTTCAAACCAGTTTGTACCACTGCTATAAGCTGTGCATGGTTAGCCATATACGAAGAATGAAATCAGCCAGAAGCGCAACCTACTGATCCAAATGTCAATGCCCAGTCATCTTTCCCAAACGGACCGTTGATCGTGAATCTCATGAACACTCTGATCAGGTAGCATAGTATCATGTATGTTACCATGATCGCTGACGATACAACAACCAGCGGTCCATTTTCGTCTCCCGTGATGTGGTACGGAGCCATCAGAGCGCAGACTTCAGGCGAAAAGCGCCTCTGTCAGTGTTGACTAGTCAACGAAGTTCAAGCCTTGGTCGCAAACGTCCGCGTATATAACAATGATAAAAATAAGGGTAAATACCCTTTGCCGAAGTATTGAGTGTTCAGATCGAACTTTTGATCGATTGATTGCCTGACAGGATCGGAAGATGGACTGAACCGGCTGCAGGTCTATACATACCATATCATCTTCTTCCTTCCGTGGCTTTTCACCGAACTCCCAGGCCGATCACCAGTGGATAAAAGAACAATTTACAAGAAACAAAGCCCGACAAAGTTCTGCAACGGCGTTGGCGAAGAGAAAAAAAGTGCTGTCCTATTGACTTTTGAACGGCGGGGACAACACTCTCACTATCAAGTATACGGTCAAGGCAGGCAACACGAGTGGTGTGAGTGGAGGGGGGCGAGCGCCGCCGGGAGCTGCAGGGAGCAGGACTCTTCTCTTTCCATACTATACCATTATTATTATTGATGGCTAGCTATGCTGGGCTAGCAGCAACCCAACTGATCGAGTAGCAGAAAAAACGGAGCCGAGGGACGAAACGGCGGATCCAAAGTAGCATCGACTGGTTTGCGTGTTCGGCGGCACAAAAGTCGATTCGACTGGGATGTTTTGATAATTATAGATCCCTCCCCTTGGCATACGTTTAGCAGACCAGCATTTGCCGTAACGCGGCCGGTCTCTGCATATACATCAAAGGCCCAAAGACCCCTGTCGGACCTTCAGGGTTCTCTATACATATACAGGCGGTGTAAGAAACAACGATAGTAGAAGTAGAAGCCGCAGAAACAGCATCATCGTCATCACCCTACAGCAGCTCAACCTCTTCCCCAAGCGAAGAAATCCCAAACTAAGTATGCAAAGGATGGTCTTTTTCGGTTTGATCGCCCTTGTATCCGAAATCCGTTATGGAGAAAAGGCTAACCTGTGAATATGCTTAGTGAAGGGCTAAGGGCTCTAGTGCCAGACATCCTGATACGAGAGATACGTCGAATGCCCAAGAGGCTAGCATGTCAGAGACTCCGTTCGAGGTTTTCTTTCTCTTAATTACTCGTTCTTTGACAGGATGCTTGTTCCTTTTCGAAGGATCTTGGAGAAGAGAGGCAAGGGGAAGCGGAGGCTCCGTTGCCTGGAGACACTCGCCCGGGTCGGTGACAGATACCCTTTTCGAATATCAACCTGCAGTGCAAAGACGAATAGTGCAAGTACATGCACAAGTACGTGCAGATGTCCCCTGCATGCATCTTCCCTGCACATCACCATCTAGCAGCCGACATCGCGAACATATTAACTGATTCAAGTGAGTTGAATCGCCATCTTCTTCCCTGTGAGAGAAAAAATAATTATAACGCGAACGAATCATGTCCCAAAAACGAGTCCCGAGAGAAAGGGGAGAATCCAACGACTAAAATGTGTACCTTGAAGTTTTCATATATCAGGCCAATCAGTCACGCTGAAAAGGCCTCAAAAGATGAACAAACTAGCTAGTGGAGCCGATCTAGATGTCCGGTTACCGGATATACAGCCCAGCTAGAAGGCTTCTATGGAGTAAAGCTGTAAAGTTGGAAGGCTCGCCTCTCGCTAGCCAGGACAACAACAATAGAGCAGAGCTAACTAACCAGGGGACGACATGTCCTGTACGGAGTACAACCTCAGGAGATGTGATAGAGAAAAAGAAATACAGACGCCAGTTGGAAGTCTCCGATGCGGCTGGCGTTGAAGCTAGCAAAGACGACTAACTAACCAGTTGTTTAGTGAACAGCCCCAGAAAAGACGAGCAAAGCAATTTCCACGAGTTATCTGAGGCCTGGCTAGTCAGTAATCGGATTATGCAGGCGGACGAGCTAACAGCCAGCGCCCTTCGGAACGGGAGCCCATCAAGTCCCATAATTATAGTACAGAACTATAACTACGGGGCACTACTCGGAGAAGAGCAGCAAGCAAGCAAAACTAGTCTCTGTCTAACTTTTTTCCTTTGCTCCAACTTGATCTTCTGGTCAGGTGTTGGCTGATACTCCATCTTGTCTGCCCTTTGTATCAAACTCCGTCGCAGTCATGTTTGATGTTCAGAGGTCATATTGGGATCTCTTGTCCTCAAGCTCTGAAATACTCAAACACACGCTACGATAATTATCGGTAATTGATAAGGGCAAGCAGTACGGAGTACTTCGTACGCCAAATTTACCTCCTGAACGCGTCTATCCCACCTCACAACGTGGTTTTCGCAGGGGAGACGAGAAACTGAGTACAGTCGACCTTGACCCTGAATCACTTATATCACGGCGCAATTATACATCTGCGTGGCAGTGGGGGGGAGGGGTGTTCCTGGTCCGTCAATAGCCCCGTTGCCAACCCCTGCAATCATCCAGAAGCGTGGCTGGCCAGCAGACGGCGAGAGAGAGAAAGATACACCGACGTACTCCGTAGTCGAGGATAACTAACCAAGCAGTGGCGGCCAGTCAAGGGGCTTGGAGAACGACTGGAATCGAGAGATTAGAGTCCAATGAATGGACGACAGGGATGAGAACCCAGGACAGGGTATGTAATCAAAAGCAAGGATGAACGGCTCGCCTAAACAACATCTCGCTGCTCCAGAATTGCCATTTCGACCACAGCAAGGAATGTGAATACTTGCATATCCGATCTTTGGTTAGGCAAATTAACAACAGCAAAAGGCATGCTCGTTAGCTTCTGTCATCCGGATCCAGGTCGTAGCTTCTATCCACCCTGTGGAGAAATGCTTCATCGCGCTTTCGAGCAAGTCGACAAGGCGGACTACTTGACAGCTGCTTGTGAATTATAAGCTTGTGCTGATGTTTAAGGCTTTCCTAACTAAGTGGAAACGGACGCAGACGAAAGCCATCCGTCTATCCACCGTTGAATATAGTTACGGAGTACATATACATATGTATGAACTAACCAGTTAACCTTCTGGTGATAATATCCGGTCAGTATATAAGAAGGGGTACAGGAGCAGTTACTTGCACTATTGGAACCCACAAGCTATAGCTGCCTGCCATGTCTTGCTTCTATATATGTACGACCCTCTACCTCCACTTACCTGCACATGGCATTCAGTCGTCCTGGTATCGCGGTTTTTTGCCTACTGTATAGGGAGGGGTACGGGCTTTATCCTCCAACCTGGTCAACTACTCCGTACACGATATCTTCATGGGAAAAAAAGGGGGCAAGGCTTTTCCCCTGGCCAAGACGCTGCCGCACTCAGCGGTCCGGCTATTGGTTACTGGTAGCTGTACTCCGTACTCCGTACTTCACTGGTAGCATGCTGGAGAATCCGAGAAGCCGTTGTTCCCGGACTTCTTCCTCTTATTCGTTCGCGATGCTGGGTTCGCTCGTCTTCCTGTCTCCATGCTGATCAACAGCAACAACAAACAAACAACCAGATCTCCATTTGTAATGGATGGTGGAGGAAGGAATGTAACGTTGCCTCTTGCACATCTCGAGACAACACCTTGCCGCTCAAACAAACCTGATGCAACCCCCTTGCACAGATGAGATGAGATGGCCTGATATGCCCTGTTACCCCTGCCCCCGGACTCAAGGACGCCCAAATGAGTATGTGCACGGCAGGGAAAAAAATGGAGAGGCAGGTAGCACAAAGCCCTCCAAAGGTGCTCGTCATTTGTGCGCTCAGTCCGCCCGGAGGAGCCCGTGGCAGGGGTGTTTTTCGGTCGACTCCCAGGATATGCTTGCTTTGAACAAGTTGTCCCATGCATCTCTCTGGACATGGGTCTTCGAACTGGGAGAAAGCATTTGGCGCGAGTGGATGTGGCGTGCTGTATTAAGTAATGGCATTCAGCTTTTCGCTGTCTGTCCATCGTGGGTCTCCACCGGGGCTTCCATACATATCGTTCCGCCGAAGTCAACTTCTTTTGTTTTGACAGACACGCAGGAACGAAAGAGAGAGAGACGAGGAGAAAGAAGAAAAAAGGGAGAAGAAAAAAGGAAAAATGTAAGTAGTTAGTCGACCAAGACATCCGGTCTGGTGGCTACAATCGAAGACATCCAGAAGGGTCCGAGATAATTCCCAGCAACGTGGGAATGCCATGTCGAGATAGATTATCCACACCCTGGAACCCCCTTCTTGTCGAGGCATTTGCCAGTAACTACTCCGTACATATGCTCCGTGTATGCATGAAAAGTTGCAGGCCCTTGATGCACTCTCTGGCTCTGCATACATATCAAGATTGCATGTCTTTCCCTCTGCCGTCTTTCATCCGGGCTTGCTGCAAGGGTAGTTCTGTCCGTAGAGGAAGAATCGCCAGCCGAAAGAGCCGTAGCAACCTGCTGTCTCCGGATTGACACTAGCCAGTGGAAAGCCCGCAACGGCTAAGTGTGCTCCATAGTTAGTTATATGTGCCCGGCGAGAGAGCTGCCCACTCGCTTCCGGCAGCGTAGTTAGGTTAGCCATGCGGCAAGCGGCAGTCACCACGGCGCCAGCTGGCTTGATATATCTGTGCCATCCAGATCATGTCCAGGGACGGAGCCCAGTTGAAAAGGCAATAGACGCAGCCATCTCGGTGCTAGACTGCAAGCGGCAGGTGTCTGACGTGCATCCGGCATATTCATTTGACAGCGTCGACAGCTCGGTGGTCAAGGGGGAGTTCGGAGTACATAACTGGCTCTCCACCAGGACGCCCCCCCAGGGCCCTCTTTTTGCTTCCTCGACACCCCCCCCCCGGCAGCGCAAACAGGAGCCTCCCACTCGTTATCGCTCACGTTTCCTCCCTCCGGCGGGACTCCTTGTAGCTATATAAATTGTGCTTTTTGGGCGCTGAGCGCGACCTTCTCTAAACGGGCTAGTTCAGTCATTCAAAAAGTCGCGGCTTTTGGCGTCACAGAAGTCGGACATTCGGTTTAAATATCAGTTCAGATCTTCTTTTGGCGGCTCCTCGAGACTCTGCTCTTAGCCAAAGTCGACGAGACGAGACAAGATATTTAATTACTAGCAGCAGGCTTCAATTTGATCCTCTGCCCTCGTACGCCGTCTCTCCAGGCATATCCTTTCGCCCGTCAATCAAACTCGTGTACCCGCCTCATTCGGCCTGGTTTTGCGACGATAACCACTGCTACATCGAGAATTAGCAGACAAAGAGACCGCAAGAGACGCAGAGACAGCCAGACGACAAGATGTTCGAAGCAGGCGTTGTTGAGACCGGCAAAGGCGACCTGGACGTTAGCTTCAACTCCGCCGACGATGCCTCCAACAACGACCAGAAAGACATGTCCCGGCTGGGGAAACCACAGCAGTTCAACGTGAGATTTGCCTCTGAAGTAACGGCGACCAGAGATAGCTGGACCTTTTTTACTGACTGGCATTGATAGAGAAATTTCCGTTTCCTGTCCACACTCGGCTTCACTTGCACGCTGATGGCAACATGGGAGTCGGTTCTACTGTATGTTGAAAGCTCAATCTCCTGCAAGACAGACTGATGGTGATGATGATCGAACGTGAACTAAACATGTCCTCTTCTCATGAGCAGTACTTCGACTCTTGCCCTGGTGAACGGTGGAAAGGCTGGCATGGTCTACATGTACATTGCCACCTTCGTCGGCTTCTTCTGCTCAGTAATATCCATGGCTGAGATTGCTTCCATGTAAGTTAATGCATACTATATACCTCATGCATTTGAATCGCTAGCTAACAATCGTAATAAAAAACAGTTCTCCAACATCCGGAGGTCAATATCACTGGGTCTCTGAGTTTGCTAGTCCCAAATATCAAAAGTTCCTGAGTTATATCACTGGTAAGACGGCTATACCCATGTTTTGTTCGTCTTCATGCATTCAGTGCTAACTGTTGGTTTTTTCAGGCTGGCTTTCCGTGCTGGGATGGCAGGGCGGCTTTGCCAGTATCTGCTTCCTCTGCGGTACTCTCATCCAGGGATTCCTCCAGCTGAACTACGGCGATGCATATGTCGCCCAGAGATGGCATGGAACCCTGCTTACCTTTGCCATTGCGCTCATTGCTACCTTCATCAACACCTATGCTGCTGGTCACCTCCCCAGCTTGGAAGGACTGATTCTCATTCTCCACGTCTTCGGATTCTTTGCTACCATGATCACGCTCTGGGTTATGGGAGACAAGGCCCCCTCCAAGGAGGTCTTCACTGAGTTCACCAACTTTGGTGGCTGGTCTACAGTTGGTGTTGCCGTCCTTGTTGGCCAGATTAGTCCCATCTTCTCCTTCTTGGGCCCTGATGGCGCAACCCATATTGGTAAGTTGGTCGTCTTGAAAGCATTTACAGTTATGTCCAGATGAGATACTGACTCCCGATGCAGCTGAGGAAATCAAGGATGCCTCTAAAGTTGTTCCATGGTGCATGATCTTCACTGCCATCATCAACGGCAGCCTTGGTTTCGTGATGTTGATCACCTTCCTCTTCACCATGGGCCCAGTCGATGACTCTATCCTTACGCCCCCGAGTGGCTTCTCCTTCCTTTCAGCTTACTACCATGCCACTGGCTCCACGAGCGCCACCACTGGTCTGGCATGCATCATCCTTGTCCTCGAAGTCTGCAGTGCCATCAGTATTCTCGCCACTTGCTCTCGCCAGGCCTTTGCATTCGCCCGAGACAACGCCCTTCCTTTCTCCAAATTCTTCGCCGATGTTGACCCGAAGTCTAAGATCCCAGTCAATGCTGTTCTCGCTACTACTTTCATCACTATCCTTCTGTCGCTAATTAACATCGGCTCTACTGCTGCATTCAATGCCATCGCCTCCCTCACTGTTGGGTCTCTCTATGCCTCCTACGTGTTGAGTATCGTCTGCTTCATGTACCGCCGACGAAGCGCTGAGCCATTGCCTGCACGACGATTCTCCCTTGGAAGCTGGGGAATGGGCATCAACCTCTTCTCCGCCCTCTACCTCTCCTTTGCCTTCGTCTTCACTTTCTTCCCAAGCACAAGGATTGTCACTCCCGAGACCATGAACTGGTCTTCCCTGGTATGGGGTGCCGTTATCCTGTTCGCCATTGCCCAGTACCTTATTCACGGAAGAAAAGTGTACGAAGGCCCGGTGGCATACATCCGCAAGTCAGAGTAAAAAGCATTTGCTCCATCCACCTTACGGCAAAAAAGTGTTTCATTTCTGTTCCCACCTTACGCACATACCATTGCTCTTGCACTCACCCTATTTTTTAATTTCTATTTTTTTTCATCTATTCTACGCCTTTCAAACACGGTTATTTCCGTTTCTATTCTTGTATTGCATTATGAACAAGCTTTATTTCAGGGGTTTTATGTCTTCACTCCTGTCATTCGACCCATTTTACTGGGCTCCTATTTTTCCATACCCCTATCAAGTATTAACTGTATCTGCTATCTTAACTATGTGTATAGATCCAGGCTATATCATGACGGAATAAGCCAACGGTATGCATGGTTAATGAACGGTCCATATCTCCATATTTGTCTATTTATATCCGTTTTTGTCTCTCCTTCGACATATCCATATTACTCCTTATAGGCCGGCCCCATTTCCCACGTTGACGGCTCAATCTTTCCGGTTTTGAAAGTCCGATTGCTTCACTCAAGCCTCCGGCCACTTGTCAAGCTTCGAACCATCAACTTCAAACTTCTAAGATACGGGCAGATCCACATTCCTTCCGTCGCAAGCGAGAGAGCCTTTTTTTTGCTTCTTTTCTGTTTCTGCACAGAACGCAGGCTATGCGATAAAACTCCGAATATTATGTCACAGCACATGCATACGGGGAATAATTTTTTTCCATTACCCTGCGAGTTAACGACCTTCTTGTTTAGGCAGGTCGTTTTACTTCCTAGCAACGTGGTATCAAATGCTCGTCTGGTGGTGATCCATTCATTCGTATTATTGTCACTATGCATGGAATGAGCGCTTTATGGCATTGTGTTTTTCCCGAGGGAGGTCGAGTAAAACATACTTATATTATAGTTACTTGATGGGCTTTGTCGGGGGATTCTAGTTTCTAGCTGGTTATATGATTGAATGCAAGTGCTGTTTAGATCAGATCATCCAGTTACTTTTACCCTAGACTAAGCAAGGATAATTATGCAGCTAAAAGGGCGCGCTCCTCAATCTTGTTCATTGTTTCTATCGTTATATATCATGCCATGCAGTGTTTTTTGGTCGCTCTTGGCTGAGCAAATATGCATGTAAGTGCATGCCGCCGAGGAATGCCTTGAAAGGGGTATCTTTTAAATATATGGAGTATGAAGAGACGGTGAAATGCATAGCACGCAGAGTGTATAGACCAGGTGCAGTGCAGCCAAGCGTCGGTTAACTCCTTCAGCATCCGAGCTGCGGGAAATCCCAGGCGAACGGGACCAGGATGACGGAAATATGTGGGTGAATGTATGTACATCTAGTGCATGACATGGGGGCCGAATATCGAATCCATGCCTATGGGTATATTTTATTATGTTATGCATGCGTTGGTTGTGTATTGGATGTGAGCAGTCTTATATGCATTCATGGCGCAAGAAATAAACATGTGAGAATTATGTGGAAGAGAGCAGGCATCAGAAGTGCAAGGAAAACCAACGAGTAGAATGAATCATGAAAGTAACGCTCCAAAAGTAAATGCATATATAGGTTGAAAAATTCAGGTAGCCGTTCCATTTGGCCGATCTGGGGCCACAAATATGCTTAGTGGCATTGTCATTACAATAGCATAGTTGGGCATGTCAACGACCTCGACCATCTTGAGACAGCCTGCCACACTGGTGAGCATATAGGCCTCCTCTCGCGTCAAGTCCTTGGTGCGAGTGAGCCATTCGATCATGTTCCGGGTTGCTTTCCGAGTTGCCTCGAGGAGGTCAGAGTCGATGCCCATGGTAGCGTATTCGCCCTTATCGGCGTCGATATCTGCCGCAGAGAGCGTCTGCTTGAGCGGAGGCGTCTGGAACTGCGGAGAGGTAACCCATGGCTGGTCTTTGCAGACCGTCAGGCGTAGTGAGGCAGTGAGAGTGGTCTCAACGGCCGTTCCGCAGACCTCTCCGTCTCCCTGGGCTGTATGGCCGTCACCGCAGCTGAAGAGGGCACCCTTGGTACGGATGGGCAGGTAGAGCGTTGAGCCCGCAGTGAGGTACCGGCAGTCCATATTTCCGCCAGTCTCCAGCGGCGGGATGGTAGAGAACTCGCCTTCGACGCCAGGAGCAACGGCCATAATGCCGAGAAAGGGTGCCTTGCGGATATGCACGCCTTCCTTGAACTTGACGTAGGGCAGGCTTGGATCAATGTCCCATATCTTAAGCCTCGCTTCCGGAAACTCATCAGCCAAGAGGCCAAAGTTAGGCACAATAGCAGTCCACGCCCAGTCGCCAAGTTGCAGGTCCAAGATCTCAACCTTGAGCACATCTCCGGGCTCGGCGTCGTTGACATAGATAGGTCCGAATCCAGGGTCCGCCCTCGCAACGTCGAACTTCAATATAGCGTCGTCGCCGGAATCCCTTGTTATCATGCCATTGCTTCCGTCAAGCGCATCGAAGGTGACCGTCTCACCCGAGTTGACCGTAAGGACGGGTGGGATATCTCGAGACCACTTCAGGTGCTGCTGGTGGCGGTGGACATGTATCGTCTTGGTTGAGAGGCCCATGGTGACGGACTATGAGAGGCAAATGCGAACGGCTTTGGCTAGTTATCCTTCTCCTCTGACGTGTATCTGCGTAGTGGCTGCGATGCTGTCTTCTCTGCGCGTCTCGTTGCTCTTCATCCAGCCTCCAAGCAGCACTTCCATGAGCAAACTGGACCGGGGAGGGAGAGAGGGAGGGAGGGAGGAACACAAGAGGACCGGTAGGCGGGACCGGCGCTGTAGTTATATAACCAACTAATTATATCGCAGCCGAAGCAGGTAGCAGCTCAGTCAAATGCGCTTCCAGCCCATCCTTGCAGTGCGCAAACACAGCGAGGGTGGACAACAGACAGCAGCCTTAAGAGGACGAGGAAGACGGAGGAAAAAGAAAGAAAAGAGACGAGGGCGAACGGGCGAGTGGGAACCGGTGGGCTTCCCAAAGAGGAAGGTCGCTTTGCCTCGACGCCGTCGCTTGTGGAGATTTCTCCGCCGCGCAAAGCGAATAACACACGAACGACTCGCTCTATACACAGACTGAGGGCATGTATATACATGCGCTCCGTATGTTCCGCGCGTTCAAAGAGGAAGGAGATTGATATGTCTGGCACGCGCGAAACGTAAGTGCAAGCCACAGCTCGCTTTGCCTGGTCTGTCCCCCCGTCTGCTTGCGCGTTGAGTGGCCGGAGGCGCCATCCGAGACCTGCTCTAGTCACTTGTTGATTGTCATGGAACTGACCTGCCAGGCGCAATCTCGCCAGCCAGCGTTATCTCCAGATATTACAGCTAATTAGCGCAGTGGTGCGATTCTGGGATGGCCTTCCCAACGATCTGTTATCGTCTGGGGAAACAATATCGATGTTGCCAGCTTTAAAGTGACTAGCGGCCCGGGGGGCCCTGGTTGCTCTCTGGGATCTATAAACTCCCTTTCTCCAGCAACTCCCAGGCATGCCGATTCAGCCCGCAGAAACGGAGTTGGTTCATGGTTCATCAGGCGATCGCACGAGAAACGAATACGCACAGACGAACCCAGGCTTCTTACCGAGGCTTTTCCTTCCTTTTCAACCCCAGGTTTCGAACGCATAACTATACGGAGTATACACAACTGTCAATTAGCATAGTTGACGTTGACTCCCTCGATCAGGTGGAGCTTGATGGCAAGCTTCTCGCTTCGGTAGATCAAAAACCATATTAAAATATCCAAGGGAGACGCCTGTTTCATGTTCCATGTTCTGGTGCGACTACCTAGGTACGCTACCGAGGAATGGAAGGGCGCTGAAGATATATATACCTGCCATGGCTTTGAAGTTCAAGCTCGTCATTCCGCATCCCGAAGCCGGACTCGCATTACGAGCAGTTCGCTTTCGTTCTTTCTTTTTTAGCTACGTTCCATCACGGGTGGGACCGAGCTGCCGGCATCCATCGTCCACTCGGATGCCGTTCCAGGGCAAGACTTTGGCAATGCCGTACATATATGCATGCACAGATATTGGCACGTTCGGGCATGTGTATGCAGACGTCACTCTTTTGATACCCGGGAAACCCCATGGGCTAGCATGAGGAATAAGATTTCAACTAGTTATTAGATCGGAGAGCCTCCCGTTATCGCGAAGCGTTGTTTCCACGGTATGATACCTAGGTATCTTTTGTCGGTAACATAAAACTAGCCCGCCGCTGTGAGATTAAATCGCCGGCTTATACCTACAACTTCAATTAATTCCCCACCTGCCTGCCTTTCGCTCCAGATGAGTTGAATACCTTAAAATCTCTAGCACCGCTCTTATACCATTCTTCAAATATCTACAGGAACAGAGCAGGAAGAATAAATAGTTAGCTTTCCAAAGAAGCCAGTTCCGGGAAAACGTTGCAAGTTCGATATTGTCGATGCCTATGGCATATATTTCAAGCGGCTGCCATTCTCTACGTCAATGATATTCATGGCCTCTGTGATGTTCTGTTGGTGATCACCCTGTGCAGAACATGGGCAAGTTTTGGCCGGAACCAGGATAGTTACCAAAGGTGAGCTTTGTGCATTCACAGTAACTACGGCCCTTGCCCAGTAACTCTAGCCCTATAAAACGGATAAGTTATAGCTAAGGGGTTGGACTGGGGCCACAGACGCATGCTGTTACCTGACCTAGTCTTCTCCTTAACCGTTTTACCTAGCACAATGGCAAAGAACTTATATGTTCGGAATATTACGGATGCGTTCGCAGTATCATTACTGTGGTAAGTATATCAAGGAACGGATCCTCTATAGAACCGTTATATGCAATAGCCGATACTGTCGGCACCGGCTTCCCATGGCTCTTGTACGTATTACTTCTAAAACCCCATGCAAAGCTTTCAACAATGCCATTTTCGAACGTACTCACACATAACCCAAGGCCACGCAAGACGCTACAACAAGTGAATTATCAATCACATTGGGTCCTATGAGCTGGCCTTGCAATACTGTGAAATACTGATATAATTATAAGCCTGAACTTGTTGGGAAGTCCAGCTAATCTCATCGTTAAAGCTGTCCTCACGACCCTTAGTGCGTATGTAATTATTGTGAGATACTAAGTATTTCCCCAAAGCCTTTCTCATGTTTAGCAACATGGTCTTGGGAGGCATAGGTTCCCTTGAGCTAAACCGGAGAAAGTGTGATCTTTGCTCTCTTTTAACTCAGAACCCTAGCTCATTGCGGATGGCTACTTCTCCGGCTTCGATATGCAGGCAGACATCCTTTCTGCGTCCTTGGAGTAAATTGGTAATTAGTTGGTAACAGTTGGATAAGTCAAGATATAGGGCTCAACACTGAAGCATAACTGTAGTAAACATAAAGTTGTTCAAAACATACCGTTTCGGGAAGGAGCATCTCGAGACGCGCGTGTAGTTACGCGGTCCGGGGATACCTTTAGCCGCGTTGTTACGCAATCTACGTCATTGGTCTGGGGAAGAAACCTTAAATAGCTGAGCCGCAACGCTATTCGAGGGGACAAAAGTTGAACCTAGACCTGTGCCGTGCTTGATATGAAGAGCAATGCGTGTGAAACAAGACACTGGCACCTTATCCTGAAGCAAACACTAGGGTATATGGACTGAATGGGTATCACGAATACCCTAGAGGATATTTTTTGGCTATAGCATCTCATTGAATATCCTGGCTAATCCCCAAACCTCAATGTGTCTAAGACAATTGTAAATTTGAGGCACTGAATTCCTCTCGAGGCGTTTATTGGGGAGAGATCCATGCCATAGTCCCATATGTTATCGCCATATTTTCCACATGTTAGTGTACCGCGGAACAGCCGGGATTCAGTAATTCCCATCTCCAGGAATATCAGTAATGGCTACCAATGCACTATCCCGATGCTCGAGACTTTCTGGAAATCAACCAGTCTGCTGCTGCATGAATTGGTCTGGCTTCCGCGGAGAAGCTCCCACGGGTCATATTCCACTAGCTCCTCTTGCCCAGCGGATGAACCGTGTGGGTCAACAAGAGCATTTTAAAGTTTCAAAGCCCGCAAGTGTTTAATCGAACGACTTCAGGCATGTCATATAACACCAATGCCACCATATCAAAGTAAGTAGCCGGCGTTGCTGGTTGAAGGCTCGGGTTCTAGTTCGTAGAGCCGATACCAACGTGTTATTTGACGGAAAGCTGGGCGTGGTTTAAAGGTCGTAACTAAATGCAGATAATGGGAAGAATGAGGTATCACAATAGCTGTATTGCTTGACATCCGACTCTGTAGTCATTGCGAAGTTGGCGTGCAGATAATATTGCATGTAAACGACGAGTCTAGATCCATTATCCCGTTTCTGAAGCCTTCTAAGTGCAAGGCAGTGGATTCTACCTGCAGAATCAAAACGCAGAGGTCCACGGATCGACAGAAGCTGATCGAAAGTTGGCGCTAAGTTCGTCTAGAAGTCGAGCGGCTGCGTTGATTTAAATTGACGCCAGTTAGCTCGCAAACCCTCTTGTGTTCTCGAACAAATATGGAGCTAAAAGAAAACGTATCACTATTTGATTTTTTTGTGGCGTTTCTTATTTCGTTGGTGCTAGAACCATTGAATGAGGATCGCTTCGTTATGAATATCGTTCTTAGTAGATTGGAACGAGGTTGTTGATAGCTCAAGCCAACATTAAAGGAAAGATAACGGAGTTCCCATTTAACGGTTATAGGCAATGCATAAATCGCAAAATACAGAACATGCTTGATGTATTATCCGTTGTGAATCATGGTGGGCGAAAAGCGAGGACAGATAGCTTTTATCGACAGAAAAGTGCTGCCAGAAAGGGTTTCATCGCAAATATCATCTAATGCATACTATCCTCATCATAAAGCATATGTTGGAAAGTTGTCCACAAAGAAAAGCTCCCGGAGGAGGTGGGCTGATGCGAAACATAAGAAAGGAGCAGAAGATTGACAGATATGCCATGTCGCTCAGTAGGGGCCTTGGTTGTATTTGACTGCCAAGGTTACCTTTCAGCGTGAAGAGCCACAAAACCACCTCCGATTAAAATTACCGTGTCAAGCAAGGCATTCAAATTCCTACATGATACTAGCTCCGTACTTAGTCACTCGCCTCGCGACCTGTCACCCCGGGAGCATGAGTGCGGCAGCCATGTGATGGTTCTGAGGCTGTTTAAAATTTGGAAGTTGAGGTTGACGAACCTTCCCGGAACCAAGGTGCGTGGAAGAACGGGAGAATGATGGGCAGAAAGAGTTCTAGATTTCGTGGTGACGGAGATTGTTGGTATTTGGCCCGAGCCAGGGAGAAAGAGGCATCCAGATCCTGGGCCGGGACAAATATCCACTGCCTGGCATGGATAGCGGCCAAACACACTTAAATGTGCAGGAGAGTGGCTCCCGTTATCACGAGCCTTGACAAGGCATCCAGCAACGGGTTACACAGCTTTGCCATTGGTGGGTGTTGAACACTATTTTTTGAGCAATATATAATCGGGCAGGCTGGCGAATCGATAATGAAGATCCAGCGAGCAGCATCGATATTCACGCATGCGGAAGAGGAGAGTATGATATATATATGCATCCAATGCACCAACCAAGAGTCAATGGGTGGAGATCTGCATGTTTAGAGGCTAGGGCTTGTCGGCGTATGTGTGCGAGATATGAAGCGAGGGTGCGAATGGAGGACTGTAACAGACTGGGATTGGTGTTTGTTCAACCATGTTCTCCTCGGCCGTGAGAGGAATCATGGCCCAGCCTTCCAATTGGATTCCTGTCCGTGTTCCGCCTGCCATTCCAAGGCAGGTATGTCACCCATAATGCGATTTTTCTCCTACCAAGAGGGGGGCGAACCGTACAACTGCACGAAGTAATGCCTCGCCGGTGACCTACCCTGAGGCTCCTTCATAACATGATCAGTGGTGATGTTCCCGGGTAGTCCCCCTGTATTTTCTAACTGGGCCAGAAGTCCTGGCTTGATTCACACCTTGGCTGCAAGCCTGAATGTATGAATCCACTTTCGAGCAGAGGCAAAATGAGCGCTAGACGGACAACTCTCAGGCCGGCCTAGAAAGGATAACAAAAACGCAGAGATGCATCTCAAACCAGGCTGACCTACCAACCTACTGTGTGTATATTTCGTTTGTCTGGGGCTTACTTGTTTAATAAGTAATGCCGTATCAATACGAGGCTGCCAGGCCGTAGGAAAATTGTATAACCGGATATCCAGCAGAGAATATAGCTAATTTGATCCGTCGCCATGAGAGTAAGTAAAGAGAACAGTACTATGAAGAGTGCATCATTTGAGCTTGAGACACCTTGCTCGACAGGGTCTTCTCTCCCATTGCAGAATGACGCAGGGCTAGAGGAGCTAAAGGGGTTAGTAGAACCGTTTTTGTACCAGGTGGCCACAGGGTATCGTTTTAAAAAGGTATTAGTATAACGGCGGATAATATCAGCCATCTGACATCTCTGAGAGATCAGGTTTTGAATAATATATATAGCGTAGTTGGTAAGGAGAGATGAGAAGACCGGCAACTTAGGATAATCCGGACTTTTGAGGGAAGGTATAAGGTAAATAAAGCCCAGCGTCGTGAGAATACCCCCTGTCGTTACTGAGTTAGTGGTATGGAGGACGTTCTGGAATAACATAAGGCAGGTATTTTTGACAGAGTGTGGCTGGCTGTCTGCTAGGATGCGGTGGGGCCTGCTGGGGGAGCAGAGAAGAAAAAAAGGAAAAAGAAGAGAGGAAATACAGGTACGAATGCAAAAATATCATATGTAACCTCAATCGGGGTCTAAGATCTCTCGACTTCTTGATAATTTCGCAAGGAGGGTATCACACGCTATGTCGTTCATGTGAGAGGCAGAGTAAGAGCTAGTTTCGGGCAATATCTGTATAATATTGATTGATCGTCTTTACGGAACGAGAGTGTGAAGATTGGCGGATGAAGAAGCGTGCCATTTGAGCCGTGCAGCCCGGCGTAACGGGTTCGTCATCCCCATGTCACTTACTGTCCCATTCATTTCTTCCCCTTCTTTTCTCCATTCTTTTTCTGTTTTTGGTTTCCTTTTTTTGCAATTGACTGGCACCCGACGGTAAGCCCTACTCCGCACGAGTGCGTACTCATTATAAGTAAAGGAAAAGGGGGAAACACATTGCAGCGTAACGGAGCTCCCAGTTTCACTAAAGATATGCAAGATTGGCCATCATGTGCGACGGGTTCGGCGAGGGAGCCAAGGGGAAACATCTGGAAAGAGATAGTGAATCCGGAGGAAGAGGCCAGGATAGAGGCCAAGTTACGAGCAACCCCATCCGATATGGACGCCCTACAATAACTCCGTGGTTCCGCGGTCCTGTCGATTGCTCGTTGGTGGCTGCTGACGGGCGATCAGGAATACCCCTGGCCATGCATCAAACTAAAGGCCGGCAAGGATGTACCTTAAGCCGCCGCGGATAGCGTTGCGCACACCTACCATTCCTCTTGTACGCCGTATCAAGTACGGAGTACTTAAGCCCGCTGCCTTCTTCTTCCTCCCTCTTCTCCCATGGCCTGGTCCTCCTTCTCCCGCGTCATGCTGCTTCCGTGATGTGAATGAGTATATATATATAGCTCTGGGAACACGCTGCCGCAGACAGGGTAGCACATGTCATGGCCGGGCTGTGGGGGTCTCTGACGGCCGTCAGCAGCAGCTAGTCACCTCGGTCCTCAACACCGGCTCTAGCGCTGTGATTGGAAGCGGGTTGAACCTGCGCAACAGCATGCTATCCTGAACGCAGCTCTGCATGCAGCACACCATTGACTGTGGGCTTGGTCTGTCAGGGTCCAGCCAATCACCACACCATCCCTCGGGCGTCGTCGTCTCGTCCCGTCCGGCCGCCTTTCGAGCAGTCATATCGCTGTCCTGGTCGTGCTTTTTCCTGCTGTATCAATAGTTCTTGCTTCTCGTTGTTCCGTAGAAAAGAAAGAAAAATAAAATAAAAAAAATAAAAAATAAAGAAAAAAGTAAAACGCGCTTTTGGCGCTTGTCGCCCGCCCGAGTCACGCCCCCATCCCAAAAGGGTAAGAGAAAAGCCAAAAAAAAAGCAACTTTGGACGACGAGCTTTCGACTTCTTCCTTTTCCTCACTTCCTCTCCTCAACGACGACGACGCGCAGGAAGACGAACGACGGCGAAGAAGCAGACGCGGAATAAGAAGAAAGCAGCCGAATACACAGCTCCATAGGCTATCGCGGCGCGCGCACTCCAGCTTTCTCCTTGGACGCCGAAGAACCCAGCTCGCGAGGCAGCTGCTCGCCCCCTTCCCCAGACCCAGCCAGAGCTTGCTGCAGCCGACGCAGCACAGCACGACACAGCGAACTCACCGTTTCTCCCCTCGCCGCGCAGGGCCTCACACATACGCTCAAGAGACCGACGGACAGACCCAAGGAGCAGTAACTCTCTGGGACATAGATCCGAACTGGCGACTTATCCCTGCTCCGTGATTTCTCTAGCTCCTCCAATTACATACGCCGGAAGCTTGTTCGTCGTCGTGCAGCCCATTTGAGGTCGCGCCATCCATCCCCCATCACACTTATCCCCACGGCTCGACACCAACGCCCAAGTCCAAACCCGCAGAGCCCCAAGACGGAAAAAGAAAAAGACGAGAGAGGGCAGAAAGATAACTGAGAAAAAAATTTAAAATAAACTAAGAATACAGTGCCAAAAGCGGGAAAGAGACAGCGAGAAGCGAACCCAGGAAGAAGCGGATAATAAGCCCTTCACTCGAGTGACTCTGAACGTGTGCTGGAATTCTCTGAGAGTCCAGTGCCTGCCTGTTGGCTGTCTTGTTTCATCGCTGATCCATATTATAATATATCCCGTTCTGCAACCTCCAAGTCATGGGTGCGTGTCTCCCGGTCGTTTCTTTTTTATTATCATTCTTCTCTCGTCCCTCGATTTCTCGGTTTAATTCTGTCTCTTACATATCTTTTTTCCTTGCCCCCTTTTCCCTTTCTCCCTACCTTTCGGCCCCTACCCTCTCCCTGCTGTTTGCTAGGAGACTCGCATATACCGTAAAAGATTGATATTTGTTCCTTCGTGTCTACCTTTCTCGCTGCTCCATTGGAGCTGCTGCCTTTTGCATATTTGTTCTCTCCCCAGTCAGCCAATTTCCGCCTACTCCCGTGTTTCCTTACCCCCCCCAAACAGGACCCTCCCATCCCTCTCACCTTGCCCTGCCCTATCACTGTTTACCTGCTCCCACACTCTGTTTCCCTGGCCTTGGCCTTCTGCTGCTGCAGTTGAGTCAACTCAGTCACCGTTGTATGAACTAGGCTTCCACGCCATCCCATTACCCACTCCCGAAGGAAAAACGTCACCTTTTCTTTCTCAGTTCACTTCCTCCTCCCATCCTCCTTTCACTACCATCGGTTTCCCTCTTAAAGGCATATTCTCCTTTCTTTTTTATTTCTTTCCCTTTTTCATATTATTGATCTATATCCTTATACTTGCGACTTATCCCTAATCTGATACATGCCTAGGTACAGCTGACGTTTATCGGCCTTCTCAAGTAAGTCAAGGGTTATCGGCCTGCGAATTTTTCTTCCCCTCTCTTCTACTCAGTTCCTCTGTTTGGTTTGAATTGCAATACTCCCACTCTGTATATCTGGCAGGGCCTTTGAAGGTGCTATAATGCTCAGATTTATGAGTGGGATTAGCCAACCTTCTGGGAGCCGAGTATACGTCATTTTCTCTTTCTTATGTGGCTCCATTATCCCAAAGCATCTCGTTCTTCAACGGCCCGACTATCTTATCCCTTTTGTTTGCCCCAAACACTTCCTTTCCCCCGACTTGTCTCTCACAGGTCCTTCGGGCATGTTTTCAGCCGGGTATTTTTATACATGAACTGGCCAGCTTGTGCATTCATGCCATTACCTGGCATATTGCAGGCATGGATATTTAGTTTCTTTTTCTTTCTTTTCTTTTCCCTCTTCACCTCTGGAGGCATTGCACACTTAACTTTTGACCGTTTATCAAAAAAACCCTTGTTTAGACGGTGGTAACAGCAAATGTGACACCGTTTGTTCGAAATCGACTAACTAAATCTAGCGTGAGCGATCACGCTCTCCACGTCGCCGTTCCCGGAGCCCACGTCGGAATCGGCGATCATTCTCACCCCGGAGCCGTTCCCGCAGCCGTGAAGACTATCGACGCAGTGATCGTCGATCAAGATCCCCCATGAGCGGAGTGGCTGCTGCATCTGGAGGCTATTCAGGTTCCGCCTACGGAGGCCGTAGTGGTCCTCCACCTGCTCGTTCTCTCGAGGATCGCGCCGTTGCCAAGGAACAAATGATGCAATCAGTCCGTGAATCGTCCCAGCAAGACCGCCGGGTCTATGTTGGCAACTTATCTTACGATGTCAAATGGCATCATTTGAAAGATTTTATGAGACAGGGTGAGCTGGGCCAATGCAAGAAAAATCGCGCAGTGAACGGCAATTGATGGGGATGGTTTATCTTTTTGCCTGCGAGAGTGTTTTGGAGGAGCTTAGCTGACTATTGATTCCCCTCTCGTTTTCTACTATAGCTGGAGAAGTTCTCTTCGCCGATGTCTTATTACTTCCGAATGGAATGTCGAAGGTGGGCGTCATTGTGTAGTTGCGGCTGGTTTCCTGGTTTTCTTTGGCCATTTTGATGAAATGTTGGGTTGACGGGTTGGGGCTTGGTGATATGGTTTATGTAGGGCTGCGGGTAAGTTACATTCTGACTCTCCCTTATTATCAACCTCATTCGGGGAAAAGAGGCCTATATACTAATTGGATGACAGGATTGTGGAATACGCAACGAGGGAGCAAGCTCAGCAGGCTGTTGCAACGCTCAGTAACCAGAATCTTATGGGCAGACTCGTATACGTCCGCGAAGTCAGTTAAAATGGTCATATCCCTCGTTTATTCTAGTACTAATAATTTCCTAGGACCGAGAGGCAGAACCTCGTTTCACAGGGCCACCCCAGCGTGGCGATTTCGCAGGCGGCAGAGGCGGATTTGGGGGCCCTGGCAGTGGCCCTGGTGGTGGTGGCCGCCAGATCTATGTTGCTAACGTTTGTATACCGCTTTATAATTCGTGCTCTGCATTTCAACCATTATATTCCCAGAATATAATCGATGGTTGAGAAGGTATGGAATTCTTCTAGGAAGAGATCTGGCTGATTTAGTTTATAGCTTCCCTACAACGTTGGCTGGCAGGATCTGAAGGACCTTTTCCGCCAAGCTAGTAAGTCATGATAAGCTCCTTGACCACGGCATCACCCTTTTGATCGGTATGTATGTGGAGGGTGAGAGTTTGAAGTTATTAACCATAGTTACAGCACAGCAAGGCGCCGTCGTCCGTGCAGATGTCCACATGGATGCCTCTGGCCGTCCAAAAGGATCTGGCATTGTTGCCTTTGAAAGTCCCGATGATGCCCGCAATGCTATTCAGCAATTCAATGGATATGAATGGCAAGGCCGTCTACTCGAAGTCCGTGAAGACCGTTATGCTGGCTCTGCCGGTTTCCCTGGCCGTGGTGGTTTTGGCGGTTTTGGCGGTCGAGGTGGATTCGGTGGTCGAGGCGGCGGTTTCGGGGGCCGTGGGGGCTTTGGAGGCTATGGAGGTGCAGGTGGCAGAGGAGGGTTTGGTGGTGCTGGGTTTTCTGGACCTGGAAGTGCACACGATGGTGCTGCTGCCGCTTCCATTCCTGCTAACCCATTTACTGATTATGCCACATATGGCGGAGAACGAGGTATCTCGATATACGTCCGCAACGTGAGTTGTCGCCCTCTCTAGTCTCCCTGAATGTTCCGTTCAACCTAACTTTAATTTAGCTTCCATGGTCTACCTGTAATGAGGACCTTGTCGAGCTGTTCTCTACTATCGGGAAAGTTGAACGTGCTGAAATTCAGTATGAGCCAAACGGCCGCTCCCGTGGTACCGGTGTCGTCCAGTTTGACACCGCAGATAATGCTGAGACTGCAATTAGTAAGTTCTGGCTCAGAACATTATCTATGTTGCAATATATTAACGCAGTAATTAGGCAAGTTTACTGGTTATCAATATGGTGGTCGTCCTCTTGGCTTGTCTTTCGTCAAATATGTCAACCCAGGACAGAACCAGGCTCAGGCCCCAGGCCCAGCAACCACCGATCTCAATGGCTCTAGCGAAGCTGCCCCAATTACTCAGGACCAGATCATGTAACAGTATGTGGCCGCAGACGATGACGGATCAGAAGCAAGCTAGTGGTGGGAAATCTAAAAATGGAGATGAAAGTTTCATTAGAGCCCTCCTAATTCTCCAAAGTTTCCACACAATTTAGCATTACACTGAGAATCCGGCGTCGGGCGACAGGGAATTGGCTTTTCTTTTGGATGATAACGCTACAGCAAAAACTCATCTATCTGCATCTACCTCTTTCGACTCTAGCATTCCCTTTCGTCGCTTTCCCTGCCATCTGCTTCTCGGGCTTCCAGATTCATCCATCTACTAATGTGTTTCCTTTTTATATCTGCCCTTTTTTCCATATTAACCAGCTTGTACTATCTTATTTCTCCTAAAAACAAAAACAAACTTTTCTTTGTCTTCCATAAAGTTATAACTAATGTTCGAAGTAACTTTGCCTACGCCTTACTGAAATGTCTTGCATTGGTAGACGGGTGAGAGGATAGAACGATTGGAAGAAACTGAGTTTCCATAGGTAAAAATGCAGTTATATAAAGTTGACAATGTAGCGAAGGTACATGCGATATGTCAAAAGAGAGGAATGAGCCCTTTTTAACTAGGTTTGCTTCCCCTCAACAGCTGGTGGCAGCCAGAGTATATATGTGCGTATATGTAGACAGAAAAGAAAGAAGGATATATCGCTGAATGATGCGATGCAGAATGGTACAAAAAGTGTCAAAAGGTAGACGACAGGGAAGCAGAAGCATAAGAAGAATAGGGCAAAAGAAAAGTGAATTGAAAGACAAAAATTAGGATTTTTGAGGAAACTGGCCGGGAACTTTCAGGTCCATTGTTGAAGTTCGACTCATGGGTTGCTCGAGAGGTGAAGTTGGGTAGAGCGATGATCTATTGTTGGTAACTCCGTCAGTGACGATGGGTTCGATATCTCTTCCGTTGCCGTCTAGATGATGCGCGGTTCCGTTAATGCCATCTGGTTTTATGTCATGGTTTGTGATATGTGGATGGGATGTTGGCGGGGGGTGATGATGATCATGGTCCGTGAGATCCCCGAGCGGCGGCCCCTGGCTGTAGCGCAAGGGAGATTCCGAGAGTGGAGAAGGAGTTTGTTGCACGGTGCGGCTGGTATCTCCACCGTGGGAGGATATTGTGATTGGTCGTGGGTGGTGATGTGGTTGCGCCCAGTCTTCATATTTGACTTGCGAGCGGCGTCTGTCGAATATTGGTCTACCGGACCTAGATTCACTGTCCATTGATGTCCGGCTCGGAAGATCGTTTATGCCTTGGTTGAACTGCAGGCTTTGTCTTTGTTCGTTGCCGATGCTATTGTGGCTGTGATTGGCTGAGTTGGAGAACGGCATAGCATTGCTACTGTCGCGATTCTCAGAGCTGGAAGGCGAGAGTGGTGCGTTCAGGTGCTGGTTAATCTGGACATCGCTTGGGAATCGGCCAACGCTTCTCTGGCGTCGCCATTGAGAGCCGGTGGTGGTGGTGGCTTCGCTTACGGGAGAATGTTGTCTCTGTATCAAATGGTCTGCCGAATAGGGAGTCTTATCGGCTTCGTCTTCGTCCATGACTCCGTCACTGCTGATGGAAGCAGTTCGGTAGCTGGCGCCACTGTAAGAGCGAGCATGTTTTCGTACAAACGCATCTCTTGCAGCACCAGTCTTTTCGGTCAGAGCTTTGATGTCATCGTACCAGGCTAGCATCGTTTCATGGGATTCAGCACGGAATACCCAAGCATGTCCCCGGTGCATTGATCCCGTCTGACGGCCCTTGAGCATGAATTTATGAGATGACGATTCGGGAGTTGAGTGGGATCCAAGCTTTTGCTCGGGGAGATACAGAGACATCACAGGGTGCTGGGATGCAATTCGGTCTGCCGACTTGAACTCATGCAAATGAGTGGGCGACAGCACGTACCTTTTATGGTATTGTTAGTATATACGTATCAACGGTCGATATTGGGTCCCATATTACTTACCATCCAGGAGTGTAGCTTCGCAAATACTTGCTCTTCCTCTCCAGCATGCCTGCGCGCACCTCTGCCGCAGCCGGGTGATCTTTTCCGGGGTATGTTATGTTTGCCAAATCTCTCAAATCCAGGTCAGGATCGACCATCTGGTCAGTCTGGTCGATGAAGTAACGCCACTCATGGTCCTTGGGAATAGAAATAGGCCCTTCTTTGAGTCTCTCCACCGCATGGTAAGCGGAATCGGCGTCTCGCTTCAAAATGCTGGCATACACATTGTATGCTTTCTGTATTTCACCCACAACGATTGATTCGAGTTCTCGTCCAGACCTTTCAAGGTTTAGATACGCCTGAAAGTTGTCAGTATAATAATAACAACAGTAGTGGCAGCAGCAGCAGCCTTATGTATAAACTTCAAAACTTACTCGATGTAGATAATTCTCTTCCTCAATCTGCCTCTCCAACTGCCTGTCAACGCTCATCCGAAGCAGAAACGGATCGCCTTTACCCGACGTAGCAGCAGCATCACTGTCTACCAGACCCAGCGCCTCATGTAGATGCTTGACGGCCTTTCGAGTAATTTCAACCTCCTTGTCGACGGTATTCTTAAAGTCTCCAGACAGGTTCTTGATTTCTTTTATTTTCTGGCTTAGATCTGCCCGTAGTCCGTTGAGCTGCATGATGATCTCGGTCTCCATCTCTCTAGCCTTGTTGGACTCATGCAATGCCTGTTTATGATAGTCCTTTAAGATCTCCGTCGCATCCGATATGCCACCGGAGATTAAAAACATTGGTGGCATGGATATATTGTTTATAGCGTTTGAAGCGGAGATGAGACTCTTTGCGCGCGTTTCACATGAGCGCTGGACATCACGGAAGAATGCGACCAGGTCCTTTAGCACTTTTCTCCAAGCTGTAGTTTATAGTAAGTCTGGTTAGTCATGATTTTTATTTTATTTTATTGTTTTCCCACTTCTATCTTAAGGGAGGGAGGAGAGAGGCTGACCTTGAAACCGAGCAGCGAGGACGTCAGTCGGATTCCCACCGGTTGGAATGGGAACATAGAATGCGCTATTGGTCTCGTCCTGCGCAACTCCATACTTCTCCTTCTCGCCCAGGTTCATGCTGCGCACGCTACCGGCCCGGCTACTCTTGCGGCTGCCTCCCCGCCGCAAACTGGCCTTCTTGCTAAGAGACGGTTTTTTCTTGAGCGTCGAGCTCCGAGACGGAAGCGAAATGGGATGTGTATTTGATGTCGAAACCGGAGAGTCCGTACGCGGACCTTCTCTGACGGAACCGCCGTCCATAACGGAACCTCGCCGGCTGACTGAGAGCACTTCCTGGAACCGAGACTGATGGGGAACAGGCTGTTGTTGTTGTTGTTGCTGCTGCTGCTGCTGCTGCTGCTGGCTGAGAGGGGACGCGTCTGGGATGTTGTTGCGGACGTGGAAGTCTGACGGCCCAATTGACGAATTCGCAATGTAGGAGACCGGGCGCGAGCCGGCCATGGAGTTGTAGTCTGTGTTTAACTGTGTATTGTCGATGTTGGCCATGGAGTTGGCGATGGTGTAGCTGGTATCGTGTGGTGCGCTGCCGGGTGTAGTGTTTGCCATGGTCGACGGCGACGTCTCTGGCCGGCGAGAGAACCAGCAGGACACCTCAGCTTGCTCTCCTCTGTGCACCTCTTGTGTACCTCTGCGTGCGTCCGACAGTATCGCTTCGTATGTAGGAAATATCCAGCGCCTTTTGCCCGCTGTCTGGCGGCCCTTGACCCCCGCGAGTTCAAGGGGCCAGGAGAAAAAAAAAAGAACTGTCAAGCGGTTAAATAGTCCGAGACGACGACGACGACAACGACGATGATGCAGGAGAGTCCAGTCTGTATGGGCCAATGTTGTGTTTCTTTGCTGCGTCTCTCCGTCTCTCCGTCTTTCTGTCTTCCTGGCGCCTCTGTGTCTGTTTCTCAGGAGGCAGAAGAAGAAAAAAAGGAGAGAAAGGAGAAGTGGAAGAAGCCGAAGTTGATGACGTCGTTGGCCCAGAAGTTCTAGTGGGCGGCCTCCTTTTTTTCTGTTTATTTTACGACCGGAGATACAGACAGGAGGCAGCAGGTGGGTAAGAGTGTTGATTAGAGGATATTTAAGAGACGGACGGTGGTAGCTACGCTGGCGACTTCTATGACGCTGGCCGTTGGGTGCTGCTGCTGCTGCTGGCCTGACTACGGAGCAACTCGACTGCTGCTACTCGCTCTGCTCGCTCTGCTGCTGCCCTAACTAGCTACAGCCACAGTGCGAGATCTGCCAGCCAGACCCGATAACCGCTGCCGGACGATCTCTCGGTCCCTTTCCAAGGTTAGGGGAGGCTGAACGATATCGAGCAGCGACGGGGAACAACCTCATCCTCGTCACTCTGCCTGAACAGCCACTTTTGTCGACGTCATCCAGCGTCTTCTTCATGCTTTTCTTTTTGTCTTTTACTTTTCTTGTTTCTCGGATCGTGCGCGGGTGGCTGTACCTTCTGTCATGTGATATCAAAGTTGTCTAAAGGGCAGGGATGTTTGGACGCTGTTTTGCTGGATACAAGGAGACCATGGGGAGGAGAGACAAGCTGGCAGGCGGGCGGAGATGGATGCCTGACAGGTCGGTGGGTGGGCTGTAATAACAGACGCTGACTTGACTTGACATTCCTGTCTAGATGTTATAGTTAAGAAAAAATAAGGAAAGGAAAAGGAAGAGAAAACAGAGAGAGAGAGAGAGAGAGAGCCGAGCTGGTTTATACTCGGAGATATACTACATATGGACATGTAACAGGGTAGAGTTGTAGTTGTGCTTCCAGTCCTACGAGAGAGGAGTCGGGGCGGCGGATGCTTGGGTGACGGGGACATCAATCCCGTAGTTCTGTTTTATCCTCTCTCGTCGTCTCTCTGCGAAGCCGGGTCCCTCCAGTCCTGTCCATGCGGTTAGTATCGTCAATTGCAGAGATATATACGGGTACGACAGTAATGGAGCCATGGGATGACGATGACATACCTCTTCGCTCACCCAGCTCTGCAAGTGTCTCCTCGACGGGGCTTCGGAAGTTCTTCCTGAGCGCGGTTCTTCGGTCGTACTCGTCGACGTCAGGGTCTGCAATCTTGCCTCCTATGCTTCCTCCGCTGTATTCAAAGACACCTAGAAGTGTAGCCAGGGCGACTCCGTAACCGATCATGGCAGGGAACGTTCGAGCTAGAGAAACACACATCAGTACCGGCTACAGCTATATATATAAACGACCAAAGAAAGGGACAAGGACTCACCTCTGAATCCTACCAGAGAACCGGCGGCGAATCCTCCGTAGACCGAGTTCCAGTGGTCTTCCTTTGCCCGCAGGTTGGCAGAGGCAGTCTTCACAAACTCGTAGGATCCTCCCATGGCAGCTGCAGCACACAAGAAACCCGTCAGTCAGCATCAGTCAGTCCAATTGCACCGTAACCAAGCGCCAATTCATCTCCCTCCCTACGTGCATGTCAGTAGAATCGACGTACCAAACAAGACGATCGTGCTGCCTGTCCGGGTGAAGACTCCCCACGGGCCGATGTTCTGCTTCTGGAGGGTATTCTGGACGGCGGAGGTGAAGAGACCGACGCCGCCAGTGACCATGGTCGTGTTGATGGCGCGGTTGAGCGCATCCTGGGGGTGGTAGATCGGAGCCTCCTGCTGGCCGGCCATCGTTGCTGGACGAGCGAGATGTTGCGGCGTTGATGGGCGGTTGCGTGTCGCTGGCGTCTTTGCGTCTTTGCGCTGGTCGTGGAATTGATTCTTGACGTTTCGCCTTTTTTTCTGCCTTTTTCGGACGTTTGGGAAGTGAAAGTCTTGGCGGGCGACGACGCAGCAAAAGACGAGATTTGGACGTTTGAGCTTCTTGTTCACTTTCTCGCTGCGCCTGGACGGGCTGATGGACTGACGACTGACGATTGACGACGACGACGACGATGCCCTGAGGCCGCTGCTTGACCCTGCCCGACCGTCACTCGTTGCTGCTTGCCTGTCTGCCCTGCCTGCGTGCTTGCTCCCGAGCCGCCTGCCTGCCTGTGTACCTCCCCGCGCCCCGTCAAGTCAAGCCTGGCTCGTTTACCCGCCCGGCCAGCAAGCTCCCTTCACGCCCGACCTGCACCGCTACAGCCCTCGTTCGTGCTTTAAAGGACTGCCCGGAGTCTGTCGATCCTCTCGCTCAGCCAAAGAAAGCAGAAAAAGGCCGCCCAGGTTGCACGGAAGAAGCTCGCCTGCTGCGGTTCCTAGATAGGTAAACACTGGGCTGAACACCACCTATCTCAAGCTACGCCAGACCCATCGCCAGCTTAGGAGAGCTGGAAGAAACGCCTATATGTCTCTACCGGCCAAGCTGGGTATGTCTGCAGCACCTCCTGTCTGTCCTAGCAGTTCCCGGACGCTGACCTTGCCGTTGTGCTGCGCAAATGCTATCTAGGCAAAACCGCTCCTCTACTCATACAGGATGTCCTGCACCATGACCCAGCGAGCCCTACTCGGCCGCCGTTCAATATCCTGAGAGACCTGCCGCCCATCTTCTACGATGAAGCGTCGTACCCGGACAACTCCGACCCGAATGCCTGCGTCCATCTCTTCATCACAAAGCCTCACCAGTCAGTGCTGCCCGCAAACGACAGCCAGCGTGTTGCAGGCGCCAGATACAAGGTCTCGTCGATATGTCAGAAGTGCAGACTTCACTTTGAGCTCGGAGTGGTCTTCAAGAGCCAGCTGGCGTGTAGACCAGGGACTGTTCACCACTTCTCCTACTTGCACAAGGAGTCGCTCGAGAGACTCAAGACCGTTGCCAAATTGCCCGGTCAAACGGTAGAGACATATGTCTACAGCTGCACGCAGACCCAATGCTCTGCCACAGTTCACCTGAAGCTCTGGACACCGCTTATCAAGCGGGATTGGGTGAGCTTGCTGACGGACGAAGATATCCTGAAGAAACGAGTAGACGATGCTCTAGCCTTGGAACCGGAGCGATTGGAAGGGATAGGCAGACCAACTCCGCTGGTTGTCCTCACGCACCTCAAGACGTACATCGATAATGCGTTGCATGATGAACAGCGCAGCAGATCAATCAATGTCATGAACAAGAAGTTCACAGTCTGCTTTGGCACCGGCGGAGAACCCTGCAAGCAATTGTTTGAATATCTAGGCTTTACGCTGGCGGTATGACTTCTCGTCTCTCCCCTTTCTTTTCTTCCTTTTTATGCATGGCATCTGACTGTTCTTTACCATAGAACGATCGCTGGGAACCACCACGTCCCGATACAAAAGCTCTGAAGCCATACACTGACCCGTTGAATATATTTCTGGACAATATCTCATTCGAGCTTCTGGTGCTTATAACCCAGCGGCCACAGCATGAGACAGAGGGCCAGGGGACAAGTCTAGCTTTTACGCCTTCTTTAAGCCAGTTCAACCAGCTTCTCGGCTCAGCAGACTGTCAGTACAACACTCCATTTTTATTTACCAAGCGTTGACTTACACCTCTTATAGATGCAAAAACCAGCGCGTTCCCTCATAGCGCTCAACTAAAAGCTCCGTACGTCGCATACATTGTTTAATGGATATATATTAAGGACTCTGCTCTAACTAGCGTATAGCTTCTATGAACATCTAGGCGCTGTCAGTGACATGTCTAATGAGCTAGTCATTGAAGCCTACCGCCAGCAAAACAAAATTATACCGTCACGGAATAGCTACTATCTCAGATGCATTCGATCAATTGGCCACTGGCGAGGCCCTGTCGATGGCAAGGCAATACACGATCTTGTTGAGATAGAATCCACAAACGGCAAGTATGCTGACGACGACGTACCCGAGTCTTACTCATATTTCAACTTCGACTTCTTCCAAGACCATGCTATAAGCGATGATGCTATCATTGGATCATTCTACGCTCGGCTTGAAGATACCCAGAACGACATGGAACTTCGAAAGCACCTCTGGAGAATAGGCGACTACCGCAAGAGCGAAAAGATCAAAGCAGCTGCAGAGGAGAGTACGTGTTTTCCTTATCATCATTATTATTATCGTTCTCTCATAAAGTTAACCGCATCTTCTAGGAGTGACGACCGCGGAGCAGGCTCAGGTATTCCTCGGAGTCCATGCAGATACCCCTGACGATTTCGTGATTTCCATGTATACAGCAAAGGTACAGTCTGCTTGAGCTCTATGTTACCATAGATTCTCGGTTACTAACCGCGAATCAAACGAGTAGATCAGCGATAGCCCTGACAGCAAGGAGATAGCCAAACGAGCTGTTCGGCTTATCGCAGACAGCCGAAAATCAGAAGCTCTACAGCACTTTATCAAAACAGGGGAACCCGCCTCCGCCCAAATGGATATAGGGGATGCATTCCGCTTGCTACAGATCCCTGATAGATCAATAGATGACGCTGCGATAATAGCTGCATACTCAGTATGTTGCTCTGAAGCTCCGGAACAGATCGAGACATACCGACAAGCACTTGCTGTTATTGCCGAGGAGAGCGGAAGCGCTGTCATCCGTAGCATGCTTGTGGACGACAACGCCCCAGCGAACCGCGCGCTGTTAGACTGGCCGGTTGGACTTCGAAATATCGGTAACACCTGCTATCTAAACAGCTTGCTTCAGTTCTATTTTACCATCCAACCTTTCCGAAACATGGTACTGGATCTTGACCGCTATAAAACCGAACTTGACGAGGGTGTGATTCGGAATAAAAAAGTTGGATCTCGAAAGGTATCCCTGTTAGAGATTCAACGCTCACAGAAATGTTAGTTCCATTTTTGACGTTAATAAGTCTCGCACCTAGCTGATATGTTTTAACTGCAGTTCTTGTCCAATTGAAAGCTCTTTTCAACGACATGATCACTTCCCCGGATGCATTCGTGACACCAACCCAAGAGCTTGCTAGGTTGACTTTGCTCAGCTCCACCAGCGAAGCTGCATTTCGACGCAAATCTCTATCAACCCACAAAGCCTCAGAGCTAGGGGAGATTAACGGAATGCCTGTCATGGGGCCCGTTGGTCCTCCAGCTCCAATCCCCGAAGAGCAGTCTACGCCGAGCGATGGTTCTCCAGGAAAGGAGGATTCGGCTAAAGAAGATACTGACATCGCCGCTCTTACGGGAACTTCCAGTGAGCTAGAGTCCAGCAACACTTCAGACCAAACCGTGATACCCACCGTAGAAACAAAAGAAGTTACTTCTTCTTCCAGTGAAAATGGCATCTCGCCTGAAAACCCGGTGTCAGAGGCTATTGCAGCCCCTAGTAGACCACCGCCAGTTCCTCCACGGCCTGCTCCTCGAGTAGATAATGAGCAGCTAATTCGAGAAGAAGTCGAGCTGGGCGCACAGCAGGATGTCACGGAAGTTATCAACAACGTGCTTTTCCAAGCGCAGTGCGCAATTAAGCCAACCAAGATTGATGCAGACGGGAATCAGATCGATTTGATCATGGAGTAAGTAATACCTCTGTGCTATAATTTGGAGGACGCGCTAACTCTTTGAACAAGTCTGTTTTATGGCCAGACCAAGTCCTATATCACTGCTAGAAACGGTATACGTTCTAAAAATGAGTTCTGGTCAGATATCAAAGTTGATGTTGCTACTGGCTCGAGAGATATCTACTCAGCCATTGACGGAGCCTTTGATAGGCAAAAAGTACATGTTGATGGTGCAGACGCGGAACAGTACGGAGCCATCAGCAAGATCCCACCAGTACTCCAGGTTCAAGTACAGCGTGTTCAGTTCGACCAGGTCAAGAAATCGTCCTTCAAATCCACTCATCACCTAGAGCTAAAAGAAACAATATATATGGACCGCTACATGGACGTCCCCGAACATGATAACATGGGTCTATATAAGCGACGGCGAGAAAAATGGGCATGGATCGATGAGCTTAGCGGATTAAAAGTTCGACGGGAGGAACTTCTAAACAGCGAAGTATTATTCCCCGTTGCTAAAATGTGAAATAGATTTTGGCTAACCTTTCTTCGTTTAGGAATCTCTTCCCGATCTTTTCCAAGATGCTCGTGACAAGGTCAAGGACTTGATATCGATGAAAGATGATCCTGAAATGGCGGATGACGCTCTAGACATCGATGAAGGAGTAATGACACAGCTTTCAAATTTGGAAATAATGACGAGAAAGGAACTTGTTCGTAAGTATTATCCCAGCTGTCTTATTTTGTAGCTTAATACTAATTTGGCATTCAGGCATTGACTCCCGAATGGAGCAGCTCACCCATCTAATAGATAATCAGTTCGCCGATATGAAGTCCCTCCCCTACCATCTCTATGCGGTGTTCATTCATCATGGATCCGTGGAATTCGGACACTACTACATTTACATATTTGACTTTGAAAAGCAGATATGGCGAAAATATAACGACTCCGAAGTAACTGAGGTCCACAGCACGGCAGAAATATTCAGTGACCGCAATATGAAGAACCCACCGACTCCCTACTTCCTTGTTTACCTGAATGACGGATTAAAGGAACGCCTGGCTAAACCTGTGTGTCGTCATGTCGAGGAGCCTCCAGCACAGACAACTTCTGCGGCAGACCATTCAAATCCCGACCGAGGACGTGCAGGTCACGGATCAGACACAGAAATGACCGACCTGCCTCCCAGCTACGACGAGGCACAAAAGACAGCCCCAGGTAGGGACACATCACACCCAGAGAGCCAGGGGAACTTCCGTCAAGGGAGCAAGAGCAGTATCCCCATCCGGGGAACCTGGGAGAGTAACCATGCTGACCGACCTGAAAACGCGTGGTAGACGAGAAGAAAACTATCCCAACAGTCCTAGCTGCGATAGCGAAGAAGAAAATGTCGCCATCACCTGACCGTAAACGATTAAAACGACAGGGCGCTGAGAGTGAGGGATACTCGAACGCTGAATCGAAGAACTAAGCCCATTACTGTTCGCACGACTTGGAACCACATCATACCCCGCACACCACTCAATACCGAATCCATTATTACAATTATTCGACGCCAAAGCATCTATAAGTCTACCACCCCCGATACCATAGAAAATCTTTTAGCACCATTTTATTTTCCTCCTTGCTTCGTACTGTTCATGATTATGGATATCCCCTGTCTACAGTAAAAAAAGCGCTTATCGGCTATTTCCAGCAAACCTTTAGACTTGCATTCCTTCCCAGTATTAGCTGTTTCTTGCTGGTTGGTGGATTTGGTGTATATACCCTCATAGCGTAGGAAGAGAATAGGAGCCGCCATTCCCGCAGAGAAGTAAGATAGTGCCCACTGGGTGGTGAATTGCACTAGATCTCATTTTACACCTCATCGAGTTGGCTTTCAAATCCAATAGACGAGGGGTTTCCCGTTACCCATGCAAATACCAAGTACTCTGTAGTCTTTCTGTTAACTGCAATAAGAGGGACAATGGAACACAGCACTGCGCTAGCAGCTACAGGGCCTGCAAACCTCTGTGATGGCGTAAGTCTACCTGGCCAGGAATCGGCCAAGGTGCCAGTGACGGGTGAGCTGAATGTATGTCACTATTAGACCCTAAATAAGGAGGATGGATATAATATAGCGGTAATACCTATTCCTCACCTGCGTAGAGTGATACTTTATATAAGTATGAAAGCAGTGTGCTTACTATGGTCTCGCGTTGAACCAGCTCTATGCATCTCAACAGGTGAATTTTAACTTTATTGAGCCGCACTAAAAATAGCTTAACTTTAACCTCGTTGTTCTGCTCCTTCGTTCGGGAGGCCGCAGCATACGGAGTACAACTGTATTGACTTCAACCATCCAACCTGTCGGACGGAATTAAACCGCACACTTATAGAGTACTCTTCAAAGCTTACACAACGTCCGGGGCAAATTCTATGGAGTACTCGTCGTGATTTTCCGGGATAGTTCCGCTATCTTGTGCATTCTTTTTCGAAACGCCAATTGCGAAGACTACATGCAAATGCAATGTCAACCACAACACCTCGGGTCAAAACGGAATGTAAGCGTCTGCTTAATAATCCTTTTGGTAGCGCGTGCCATGCGGCAGCTGCCAGCCCGCATCACCGCCAAGGCGATAGTGGTGAGCCTGCTGTTTGACCTTGAGCGCGTAAATGAGCGCAAAAACACCATTAACAGACAGCTTTTATATCTGATAAACTTTTTTGTGTTATTATGCGAGAGACGTGTTGAAATTACTGTATTAGGAAGGCTAGGTGAAAAGCGGCAAGAAGCGGCAATTTGAACACCCGCGTCACGTGATCAGGGCTATTTGCGGGATGCTGACTAAGCGAACTGCCGATTTTGCCGAGGCACGAAGAAAAGACGTGAAGAAAGATACAAGAAAAGACAGGAAAAGAGAGAGAAAGAAGAGACAAAAGAGTCGAGAAACGGGAAGAAAAATAAATAGTTTTATTTGTCCGAGTAGCTATTATTATACGAAGGGTAACTTGTGTCCAGCTGTATCCTTGTCTTCGGCATTTGCGTGCGCTGCGGTTAAGTCTTCGGCCCGCACGACCGATACTCGAAAAAGAAAGACACGGAAATTCCCGCCTCCCGCCAAGCTTGTACTGAGGAGGCAGTACATATTCCCCGAGCTCCACGCGAGCAGGACATCACCACCACCAACCATCTCCAGCAGCAGCCAAACCGCAGCAGAGAAAAGGAAGAGCTTCGAAGCAGAAGAGAGGTGCCGGCACTTGGATAGATCTGCTGTTTTTGTTCTGCGTTAGATTTGAATTACAATGCCTTTCCACGCTGCAAAGACCTGCCTCCGCACCGCGGGGAGGTTCGCTACCAAGCCAACATCGGTAAGAGCTTGCTCACAGAAATTGACAGACTATGGGGAAGACGTGGTTAACTGACTGGATGTATTCATTTGCAGAGCCAACACTTCCTCGTTCGTGCCTTTTCGAGCACCGTTGCTCGGTATGAGATCAACAAGGTCTACCCCTCTGCCAAAGAGGCGATCAAGGACATGAAGTCCAACTCGACAGTGCTGGCTGGTGGATTCGGTCTTTGTGGCATTCCTGGTACTCTGATCAATGAGATTCTCTCTACCCCTTCGATCACTGGCCTGACTGCTGTCAGCAACAATGCCGGTATCGATGGGGCTGGACTGGGTCTCTTGATTGCCAGTGGGCAGATCAAGAAGATGATTGCCAGTTATGTTGGCGAGAACAAGTCTCTTGAGCAGAAATACCTCTCCGGAGAGATTGAGCTTGAGCTTACTCCTCAGGGTACCCTTGCTGAGCGATGCCGCTCCGGTGGTGCTGGTATCCCCGCTTTCTACACTCCAGCTGCCTTTGGCACCGTTGTCCAGACTGGTGACCTGGCTGTTAAGAACCGGCCAGATGGATCCGTTGCTACCTACGGAACCCCCAGAGACGTCAAGGTCTTCGATGGCAAGAGCTATGTTATGGAGGAGTCTATCAAGGGTGATTACGCCCTGGTCAAGGCCTGGAAGGCAGACAAACTTGGAAACTGCCAGTTCCGATACTCTGCTGCCAACTTCAACGGTGCCATGGGCCGTAACGCAAAGGTCACCATCGTCGAGGCCGAGAACATCGTTGAGGTCGGCGAGATTGACCCAGCCGCCGTCCACCTTCCCGGAATCTACGTCAAGCGTGTCATCCAGAGCAATGCCGAGAAGCAGATCGAGAGACTCACCTTCGCCAAGGAGAATGAAGATACCGCTGCTCTCGGCAAGGGTGAGACCGCTAACAAGAGAGAACGTATCGTGCGCCGCGCAGCCAAGGAGTTCAAGAACGGAATGTACGCCAACTTGGGTATCGGTATGCCCATGCTTGCTCCTAGCTTCGTCGACCCATCAGTCGAAGTCCAGCTTCAGTCTGAGAACGGTATCCTGGGTCTTGGACCCTACCCCAAGGAGGGCCAGCAGGATGCTGATCTGATCAACGCCGGCAAGGAGACTGTCACTCTCCTCCCTGGTGCCTCCGTCTTCGGAAGTGAAGAGTCCTTTGGAATGATCCGAGCCGGACGAATTGACTTGACTATTCTTGGTGCCATGCAGGTCAGCGCCAAGGGAGATTTGGCCAACTGTAAGTCTTTTAGTTCTGATCCCCATCATCTTTTTCTTTTCTTCTAGACCCCATATATCTAACGTTGAAAATAGGGATGCTTCCAGGTAAGGTCAAGGGCTTCGGCGGAGCCATGGACCTCGTCTCCAACCCTACTGCCACCAAAGTCGTCGTCACCATGGAACACACCGATAAGAAAGGAAACCCCAAGATTCTCAAGCAGTGCGAGTTCCCACTCACCGGCCGAGCTTGTGTCAGCCGAATTATCACCGAGCTCTGTGTCTTTGACGTTGACTTCGCCAACGGCCTTACTCTGATCGAGTTGGCTGACGGTGTTACCGTTGAGGAGGTCCGCTCCAAGACCGAAGCCCCCTTCAAGGTGGCTGATGACGTTAAGCCAATGTTGTAGGCGAAGAAAAGAGCTGGATTTATTGCTGTATATACCATGAGTTTCTTGTATTTCCTTTCTTTCTTTTCTTTTATGTGTGTTGTTTTCTTGGGCATTTGGGATGTACTTGACGAATTTTCTAAGGGAATCTATTTGATATATACCTAAAATGTCTGATATTTTCATCAATAATATTCTATAAAATTGAGATGCCTCTCAAGACATATTTTCATGCTCCGTTCTATCGTACACTTTGATATCCCATATAATTATACAAATGCTCCATATCACCTTCTCCCCGATCGTTTACTTCAGCCTTAACGACCCACTGACTCTCCTGCGCAGTCTCCCGAACGCCGATCGATGCGCAGCTTCATCAAACTCCTTTATCAGCAAGTCGTAGTGCTTTGGCTGACTGGCGGGGTACCGCACGCTCCGTCGAAGGGGGTACTCCTCTGG